ACACAACCTCATCCTCCACACACACTTCTACATCACATAACCTCATCCTCCATACACACTACTACATCACACAACCTCATCCTCCACACACACTACTACATCACATAACCTCATCCTCCACACACACTACTACACCACATAACCTCATCCTCCACACACACACTACTACATCACATAACATCATCCTAAACACACTACCACACCACATAACCTCATCCTCCATACACACTACTACATCACACAACCTCATCCTCCATACACAATACTACATCACATAACCTCATCCTCCACACTCACTACTACATCACATAACCTCATCCTCCACACACACTACTACATCACACAACCCCATTCTCCATACTCACTACTATATCACATGACCTCATCCTCCACACACACTACTACATCACACAACCTCATCCTTCATACATACTACTACATCACACAACCTCATCCTTCATACATACTACTACATCACACAACCTCATCCTAAACACACTACCACACCACATAACCTCATCCTCCACACACACTACTACATCACACAACCTCATCCTTCATACATACTACTACATCACACAACCTCATCCTTCATACATACTACTACATCACACAACCTCATCCTAAACACACTACCACACCACATAACCTCATCCTCCACACACACTGCTACATCACACAACCTCATCCTCCATACACACTACTACATCACACAACCTCATCCTCCACACACACTACTACACCACATAACCTCATCCTCCACACACACACTACTACATCACATAACATCATCCTAAACACACTACTACATCACATAACCTCATCCTCCATACACACTACTACATCACACAACCTCATCCTAAACACACTACTACATCACACAACCTCATCCTCCATACACAATACCACATCACACAACCTCATCCTCCACACACACTACCACACCACATAACCTCATCCTCCACACACACTACTACATCACACAACCTCATCCTCCACACACACACTACATCACACAACCTCATCCTAAACACACTACTACATCACACAACCTCATCCTCCATACACAATACCACATCACACAACCTCATCCTCCACACACACTGCTACATCACATAACATCATCCTAAACATACTACTACATCACACAACCTCATCCTCCACACACACTGCTACATCACATAACATCATCCTAAACATACTACTACATCACATAACCTCATCCTCCACACACACTGCTACATCACATAACCTCATCCTCCATACACACTACTACATCACACAACCTCATCCTAAACACACTACTACATCACACAACCTCATCCTCCATACACAATACCACATCACACAACCTCATCCTCCATACACACTACTACATCACACAACCTCATCCTCCATACACAATAACACATCACACAACCTCATCCTCCACACACACTGCTACATCACATAACATCATCCTAAACATACTACTACATCACACAACCTCATCCTCCACACACACTGCTACATCACATAACATCATCCTAAACATACTACTACATCACATAACCTCATCCTAAACACACTACTACATCACATAACATCATCCTAAACATACTACTACATCACATAACCTCATCCTCCATACACACACTACTACATCACATAACATCATCCTAAACACACTACTACATCACATAACCTCATCCTCCATACACACTACTACATCACACAACCTCATCCTAAACACACTACTACATCACACAACCTCATCCTCCATACACAATACCACATCACACAACCTCATCCTCCACACACACTACTACATCACACAACCTCATCCTCCATACACACTAATACATCACACAACCTCATCCTAAACACACTACTACATCACACAACCTCATCCTCCATACACAATACCACATCACACAACCTCATCCTCCACACACACTACTACATCACACAACCTCATCCTCCATACACACTAATACATCACACAACCTCATCCTAAACACACTACCACACCACGCTACCTCATCCTGCACACACACTGCTACATCACACAACCTCATCCTAAACATACTACTACATCACATAACCTCATCCTAAACACACTACTACATCACATAACATCATCCTAAACATACTACTACACCACATAACCTCATCCTCCACACACACACTACTACATCACATAACATCATCCTAAACACACTACTACATCACATAACCTCATCCTCCATACACACTACTACATCACACAACCTCATCCTAAACACACTACTACATCACACAACCTCATCCTCCATACACAATACCACATCACACAACCTCATCCTCCACACACACTACCACACCACATAACCTCATCCTCCACACTCACTACTACATCACACAACCTCATCCTCCACACACACACTACATCACACAACCTCATCCTAAACACACTACTACATCACACAACCTCATCCTCCATACACAATACCACATCACACAACCTCATCCTCCACACACACTGCTACATCACATAACATCATCCTAAACATACTACTACATCACACAACCTCATCCTCCACACACACTGCTACATCACATAACATCATCCTAAACATACTACTACATCACATAACCTCATCCTCCACACACACTGCTACATCACATAACCTCATCCTCCATACACACTACTACATCACACAACCTCATCCTAAACACACTACTACATCACACAACCTCATCCTCCATACACAATACCACATCACACAACCTCATCCTCCATACACACTACTACATCACACAACCTCATCCTCCATACACAATAACACATCACACAACCTCATCCTCCACACACACTGCTACATCACATAACATCATCCTAAACATACTACTACATCACACAACCTCATCCTCCACACACACTGCTACATCACATAACATCATCCTAAACATACTACTACATCACATAACCTCATCCTAAACACACTACTACATCACATAACATCATCCTAAACATACTACTACATCACATAACCTCATCCTCCATACACACACTACTACATCACATAACATCATCCTAAACACACTACTACATCACATAACCTCATCCTCCATACACACTACTACATCACACAACCTCATCCTAAACACACTACTACATCACACAACCTCATCCTCCATACACAATACCACATCACACAACCTCATCCTCCACACACACTACTACATCACACAACCTCATCCTCCATACACACTAATACATCACACAACCTCATCCTAAACACACTACTACATCACACAACCTCATCCTCCATACACAATACCACATCACACAACCTCATCCTCCACACACACTACTACATCACACAACCTCATCCTCCATACACACTAATACATCACACAACCTCATCCTAAACACACTACCACACCACGCTACCTCATCCTGCACACACACTGCTACATCACACAACCTCATCCTAAACATACTACTACATCACATAACCTCATCCTAAACACACTACTACATCACATAACATCATCCTAAACATACTACTACATCACATAACCTCATCCTCCATACACACACTACTACATCACATAACATCATCCTAAACACACTACTACATCACATAACCTCATCCTCCATACACACTACTACATCACACAACCTCATCCTAAACACACTACTACATCACACAACCTCATCCTCCATACACAATACCACATCACACAACCTCATCCTCCACACACACTACTACATCACACAACCTCATCCTCCATAAACACTAATACATCACACAACCTCATAAACACACTACTACATCACACAACCTCATCCTCCATACACAATACCACATCACACAACCTCATCCTCCATACACACTAATACATCACACAACCTCATCCTAAACACACTACTACATCACACAACCTCATCCTCCATACACAATACCACATCACACAACCTCATCCTCCACACACACTACTACATCACACAACCTCATCCTCCATACACACTACCACACCACGCTACCTCATCCTAAACACACTACCACATCACACAACCTCATCCTGCACACACACTACCACACCACACTACCTCCTAAACACACATCACATAACATCACAACATACTACTACATCACATAACCTCATCCTCCATACACACACTACTACATCACATAACATCATCCTAAACACACTACTACATCACAACCTCATACACACTCCATCACACACACACTACTACATCACACACACCCACATCTCATCCTCCACACACACTACTAAACACACTACACACATCACACAACCTCATCCTCCATACACAATACCACATCACACAACCTCATCCTCCACACACACTACTACATCACACAACCTCATCCTCCATACACACTAATACATCACACAACCTCATCCTAAACACACTACTACATCACACAACCTCATCCTCCATACACAATACCACATCACACAACCTCATCCTCCATACACACTACTACATCACACAACCTCATACACACCTCCATAAACACACACATCACACACATCACACATACCTCATCCTATCAACACACAACACACATCACACAACCTCATCCTAAACACACAACCACATCACACAACCTCATCCTAAACACACAACCACATCACACAACCTCATCCTAAACACACAACCACATCACACAACCTCATCCTGCACACACACTACCACACCACACTACCTCATCCTGCACACCACACAACCATATCCTCTAAAAAGCATTACCAGACCACAACCTTCTCTAAACACCCCATCACACCCCAAAACTACAACACACCACCATAGCACACCACAAAACCATATCTCTCCTACAGATGGCCACAAAACAAAACTGAAATCCCACATACCTATAACACCACACAACCCCCATCTTCCAATCCACCACCAACACAAAGACACTCTCACACACAGAAGAACATAAGATCTGCCTGAACACAGGCAGTACCAGTAGTAGAGTAAAACAAAACATGTTTACCTGTGGACAGTCTTTAATGTAATGGCCCTTGGTGAAGCACAGATGACAGAGGTAAGTGCTGGGAGGGCGTTTGCTGGGCTTTCTGTCCAGGGATAGTGACAGGTCACTGAAGTGGTCCACCAGATCATTGATGCTTCCGTAAGGTGAAGTTGATACTTGCTGGGACAACGTACCCTGGAAGGCATTCTGTAAAGATAAACACCCAACAAACATGATAAATATCTTTGATCAAATTTCTACCCTAAAACATGTAAGCAAAGAACTTTCTTTTAAAAAAGTTGCACGACACCATTTTTCAAAAACTGTATTTGAAGGAAACTGAACAAACCAGTATAATTGGAAAGGAATCATTTCTATGCATCCGTCCTGTGTGGCAGAACCGAATATTTGTCAATATTGCAACAAATTTCAGCCTCAACAGTCACCCAGGTTTATTAATGCCATTGTTCTTCTTGTAACAAATAAGTAACGAACAACTCTCATATGGAAAAAGGTAGGTCCAAGGGCTTTAAGTCACCTGAGATCTATAAAAACAGCCATATTTTTTGTAACACTGGCTGTTAATGAAATCATCTTGTTCACAAAATCAATTATATCTGCCATTTGTATTGTATAAGTAAAGCTTAAGATTAAATTCTTTGGTAAAATTCCTTCTATCCATTAAGAGTATTTGATTCTACCATATCTGGACCTTCAGAAGATGATTTTTATACCATTAATTACTTTGACCCATTTCAGCTTTACCCATCCACCACTGGGGGTCAGGCAGGACAATTTGTGCATTCCAAATGAAGTCTAATCAAATTTCAATTATTTCCAATAAAAATCATTAAATACACTATGCTCAGAAGTGTTATATTATTCTATAAAATTGTCATCTTTCACAGAGAGAAATACAAGACCCTTGGATCATGAAATTCACAATTCTGTTTAAACAACTTTTTCTGGTTAAAGAATGCGACATATCTGGGCTGATAAAATTTTGACAGTTACACAATGTGGTGACTGATCACAACGGAGAAAATGTCTAAGATTGTTACAAATAAAGTCTATGCTCACTCTAGAATATGATTCCTTTTAGAAAAGTAGCTAAAGGCTCATTTTTCTTTTAGCTATTAAGGATTGGATTCATATGATAACAGATGTAAATATTGTTTGGTGTGTGATATGCTATTGTCAACTATTAACAATTTACCTTAGTTTTTACTTAAGGATCCTTTTTTGCCGATGCTTCCCACTTTTGACTTACAAAAGGAAGAAATCAGAAAGTGGAGACAAATGCTGTATTTCACCAAAGAGACTGTTTAATACTGCAGCAATCTCCTGTGTCTAATTTGTTCAGAACAACCACTCAAATACTAATGCTTTATAGTAACAGCTATTTTACCTTGAAGAGACAAAGAAACCAAGTTCAATAGACAGTTCCTTTCCTTCCATGACTTGAATGCCATGTAGGGGGGGCCTTTCACTTATATGTCTGATGGTAATAGTGCCAAACTAAGTTTACCTATCACCATTTTGGTTGTCTAATGAGATAGCAGTCAGAACACTTCATACTTATTCGAGTCCAGTACATTAAATTTAAATGATTTAATGGAATCGGCTGAAGTGTTCCATTAGGAATGATCACATTAATGTTGTGTTGAATGGCAACTTTGCATTAGTCCCACAAGCATTTTTTTCAATATTTCATAATCTATATTGTAATGCGAAAGTCAGCAGTTCATGTGAAATGTTCTGTCAGCTATTTTTGGGAAGAAAAAAATGTTTTCACAAAAGTAGCGAAGATACATTATTTTTGTAAATAAATATGTATTTTTGTTAATAACAAAAATGGGAATGGCTAGCATGAGCATAGGTAGTGGTCCATTAGAGCTATGGAAATGTCTGTGATTGTTACAGAATGAAGTGATCAATCAGAACTGATGAGATGGTTCTATAAAGTGGTGGTCACAGCTTAGGAAATGATGATTGTCAGAGGCAGTGTGATAGCCAATCAGGGTCAAGGAAACGTTCCATGATTGTTTTAGAATGTGGTAGCCAATTACTGCTTAGATGATGTTGCTAATTGTTATACCTTGTAGTAGCCAATGATTGTTATAGATTGTGGTAGCCAATGATTGTTACAGATTGTGGTAGCCAATGATTGTTACAGATTGTGGTAGCCAATGATTGTTATAAATTGTGGTAGCCAATGCTTGTTACAGATTGTGGCAGCCAATGCTTGTTACAGATTGTGGTAGCCAATGATTGTTACAGATTGTGGTAGCCAATGATTGTTATAGATTGTGGTAGCCAATGATTGTTACAGATTGTGGTAGCCAATGATTGTTACAGATTGTGGTAACCAATGATTGTTACAGATTGTGGTAGCCAATGATTGTTATAGATTGTGGTAGCCAATGATTGTTACAGATTGTGGTAGCCAATGATTGTTACAGATTGTGGTAGCCAATGATTGTTATAGATTGTGGTAGCCAATGATTGTTACAGATTGTGGTAGCCAATGATTGTTACAGATTGTGGTAGCCAATGCTTGTTACAGATTGTGGTAGCCAATGATTGTTACAGATTGTGGTAGCCAATGATTTTTACAGGTTGTGGTAGCCAATGCTTGTTACAGATTGTGGTAGCCAATGATTGATATAGATTGTGGTAGCCAATGATTGTTACAGATTGTGGTAGCCAATAATTGTTACAGATTGTGGTAGCCAATGATTGTTATAGATTGTGGTAGCCAATGATTGTTATAGATTGTGGTAGCCAATAATTGTTACAGATTGTGGTAGCCAATGATTGTTACAGATTGTGGTAGCCAATGATTGTTACAGGTTGTGGTAGCCAATGATTGTTATAGATTGTGGTAGCCAATGATTGTTATAGATTGTAGTAGCCAATGATTGTTACAGATTGTGGTAGCCAATGAATGATACAGATTGTGGTAGCCAATGATTGTTACAGATTGTGGTAGCCAATGATTGTTACAGATTGTGGTAGCCAATGATTGTTACAGATTGTGGTAGCCAATGCTTGTTACAGATTGTGGTAGCCAATGATTGATATAGATTGTGGTAGCCAATTACTGCTTAGGAAATGTTGATGATATAGATTGTGGTAGCCAATGATTGTTATAGATTGTGGTAGGCAATTACAGCTAAGAAAATGTTGATAATTGCTATAGATTGTGGTAGCCAATTATTGTTATAGATTGTGGTAGCCAATTATTGTTATAGATTGTGGTAGCCAATTACTGCTTAGGAAATGTTGATGATTGTTATAGATTGTGGTAGCCAATTATTGTTATAGATTGTGGTAGCCAATTACTGCTTGGAAAATGTTGATGATTGTTATAGATTGTGGTAGCCAATTATTGTTATAGATTGTGGTAGCCAATTACTGCTTAGGAAATGTTGATGATTGTTATAGATTGTGGTAGCCAATTATTGTTATAGATTGTGGTAGCCAATGATTGTTATAGATTGTGGTAGCCAATTATTGTTATAGATTGTGGTAGCCAATTACTGCTTAGGAAATGTTGATGACTGTTATAGATTGTGGTAGCCAATTACTGCTTAGAAAATGTTGATGATATAGATTGTGGTAGCCAATCATTGGTATAGATTGTGGTAGCCAATTACTGCTTAAAAAATGTTGATGATTGTCATAAAGTGGTACCCATTCACAGCTGAAGAATTATGCTGATGATTGTCATAGTATGGTATCAGGACCAAGGAAATTGTCAGAGAATGTGGGTGCCAATCAGTGCTGAGGAAATGTTAAGGATTGTCACTATGGAGAAAGTACCATATGATTAATTGTCTAAAATGTTTATAAATCCTTCACATTGATGTTGTCATTATTATGAAATCTTTTGTATTTTAATAAAAGTCCATTTAATCACTACTGAAATATTACAACTCTTACCACAAGCCAGTAAAATTGGTCAAGTCAAATATATCCAATCAATTTCTGTAAGACATAGTTGAGAATATCACACATTGTATAATAAATATGCCTGTTATTTTGCACTCACGTTACACTGCAACTTACTATGGTCAGGTTAAAGCTGAATCAGCAATGAACTTGATGATTAACTTTCAGCTCCATGATATATCCTGTTTTGGGTCTTTTGATCAATACAAATTTTTTAAGTAAAGTTTCATGCATTAAATATTTTATCTCTCAGACATATTGCAATCACTTGAGTATGTTTCGTTATACATGGTACGTAACAGAATGTTTAAAAAAAAATAAAAACTTGGCATAAAGTTTTCATCAAGAAGGGAAAATGTCAGCTATGTTCCCCAGGCTATGTCAACACTCCAGTGCTTCCCCTGCATACTACGGTTTAAGTGGCCACAGCTGTGTGAGGGCCACAGAAATATGCCTGGTTCCATTGGACCTTCACCCTTACTAGGCCACCAAAACAAACAATACTCAAACTAACCACATTATGTTTCTCAAAATATCAATTTCTTATCAAGACGACCTGATGAAAAAATCCAAAAATCCAACACATTCACAAAACCATCATTACTCCTATTTGGTAAGAGTGTAATTAACCTTATTTTGTCGTTTTTATACAAAACTGAAACGTGTAGTAGTATGCAGTGAAAATGTACCAAATAGTTTTGATGTGGCACTTAAAAGTCATGCGTGCGAAGAGAGTTTTGGCATGATTTTTGAAAAGCCACAGATCTTTCACATTTCTACACTTAATATTTAAATTCTCAGATATAATTTCGCGAAAATGGCATTATTTTCTTCTGCCTTTACTCTACAAGAAACATCTGTTGGTATGCGCTGTGTCTGAGGGGTAGATTACAGATACGGGCCTCCTCAAGAAAGTTCCCCGTCGCGAGGCAGACGATACCGTCCCCACTCCCGTACCACTTCTCGTGTTGTACTCGGCTGCCTAAGTAGGTTATTTCAGCCATGTTCACTTTATATAACACTATATTCCTTAAATGGTTTTTTCACATATTATATTTGCATAAACATAGACTCCTCTTCACGCCGTCAGGAAATGGGTCATTTGCTTCCAAGTACATCTGATGATAATTAGCTCCAAACTGCACGTGCCCAAACACCACTCGTTCACTTTCTCAGTTTTCTCAGTCTTAGTAGTATATGTTAGAGCAGATAAGTATCACGACGTTGTTTTGGCGACGTAGAACATGTTCACAGAAATCAGACAATTCTGTATATATAAAATTACATTAATATGATAACTCAAAAAATCGCAACAAATGAAATCTTTGTCAAAGATCGTCGTAACATGGCTGTCGCCATCGAGATACAGAGGCTGGAACAAAGATTAGAATGCCAACGGATTTGGTAGTAAATATGTACTTACAGCATTTAGTCCATTCAACGACACCGGGGACCACCCGTCCGGACCGTAAATGTTCTGTCCATTTTTTAACAAAGAGGTTACGGTATTGACGGAGTTGACCGTGGAGACAGGACTGGACCACGGGTCACTGTAGAGGGACTGTCCCCCTTGTACCCCTCCCTGGCCGTCCGCGAGGGTAAGGTAGACCCCCCAGTTCATGAGGAGCTGAGTGGGCTGATACTGAAGCGACCCAGCGCTGTCCATGGTGGCCAAGGAGGTCATATTCACAGATCTACACCCCACCGGAAAGATGTTCTAAATGCCGAAAACTTGGCTAACTTCATGTGGAGTTGTAGAAGGCGGAGTCATTCTGCCATTCAACTCTGTTGGCACTGTCTAGCGGAGTTCCGTCTGGCATATTAGGTAAGGAGGCGGAGACTGCGGCAACCCCTATTGGCTTGCACCGCATGCAGCTTCTGATGAGAAGCACACCTGGAGCGATGATAGCTCACCCTTATCTATCAATTTTGTTAAAAGAACTCCATGCTGGCAATTGGTGTATGTTGTGTTAAATAAGAAATAGCTTTCTCGCTTAGAAATATATTTTTGCTCATTGCTTTTCTGTAAACTACACTGTAATACAATCATTGGAATATAAGTAATTGTTGCTGCAGCTATACAACAAAAATGTTATTCGAATGAGAAGCCAGTGGTGAAGAAAGCAAGGATGTAGGTTGTCACATCATTCAGAGATTGGACAAAGAACTTGAACAATTAGAATGAAAAGAGCTGCTGACATTCGGGTCTTGGTTCGATTGACCTTAAATAGTAAAGAGATGTCAACACGGAAGAAACGAAGCGAACATGTTATCTTACGTAGTCTATACGAAAATAAACTCAACAGATTTTGCGCGTGGGAACAAATTTTGGACATTCCCATCATCACTGAATATCGTTTGACTTCACGATGTTATCGGTAAAGGAAGAAAGGTCGCATTCAGCTGAATAGGTAGGAACGTGAAAAAAGGAATGACATCGTCTTGTTTCCATAGCCACTGAATGATACCAGGTCTAAACTACGTAACGCATTGTTTTTGCTCCAGACTGAAATATACTTTTCCTTTTTTCCCATGATAACCGACTTATTATTGCTGATGACGCTGGTTTGAGGCGTGGAATCGATGACGTCAAACTGCCATCCAGACTATATATGAAAATGAGAAATTCGCGAACGGTATATGCCGTAAATTATTTCATTGTGCAATCAAATTAAAGATTAACTAGAATTGTCTAGATTTATCCTCTGATTCGCTTTTCACGGACAATGTGCAATAGTACTTCATTGTTTCTCGAAGCGATTACAGCTCGGAGCATCCTTTGGTATGGGGCACGTGTTCAGCGGTCCCTTTGATCATAAACCAATCAGTGTAAATTACTATCACTAACGGAACGGTTTCCGCTGTTTGTTTCTGTAATAGTTTCATTTCTTTTGTTAAAAAAAAAAGAAAAAACTTAAACGTAGAGGAAATCTGACAATCCGGATGGTGATTCCTCGTTATTTTCTCTTAATAAGCAAAGTTACCATTAAGTTAGTTTTTTAAAATCAATCCCATTCAAGATGAAGAATGTCAATCACTACTTTGATTGAGCCCGTTTTTCTTTTCATTATTCTATTTAGTGTGACTGTCGTTAATATGCTTAAGTCATAGCGCTGCGTCCGTTCGTCAACCTTTTCTTTAAAACGCAAGGGAAATTTTTACCGTGTTTGGCTGGAACATCCTTGGATGAGGGTTATCATATTTGTATAAACGAAGTTGAAATCTCCAATTGACGAGATGGACGGGGTACAGTGAAGAAAATTGGGGTCTTGTTTTTGAAACACTACTCGTCAATAAATCCTATTAAAAACATCCTATAGGAGGTCAATCTATTTTGGATATTGATGTGTGAAATTGACGACTCCCCGTGTACCGAACGGCAGAGGTATAAACGGTAAATTCATGGTTTTGATGTTGGTGCAAACCAATGTGAAAATTTGTTGCAATTTTTGTTTGCTTTAATGCTTGGATGACATATATATTTTGTTTTTGAGAAAATAATATCAATTGGCATGAAGCCATGGACCCATTGAAGTATTAATGCAGACGATACAGTTCTCCAGTTAGAGACAGTCTACACCTTGTAGTATATTGTGAAAACTGAAGCTCTTCGAAAACCAAAATTTTGATGTTTAAAGAGAAGACAAAAGCATAGTTGAATTTGTATGGGAAACATTAACCACGAAATCGAAGGTGAGTGGTAACATATATAGTTACATGGCTTGTTTTAACTACAAAAATAGACTTACCTAACAACGATCAACTCAGTAGGGCACAAGAACATTGTTGGCAATATGTAGTCCCTCAAGTAATTGATCACCATTTAAAATTGTTCAGTTCAAAACAAATTCCGGTGTACAGTGCAGCTGATTAACTTACATTTGCAGAATGAAACAGACAGATACCATAAGTAGATGAAGCGCCCAGTAAAATGATAGTGTTCTGATAGTTATCAAATACAATTTAGTTTTAATTATCACAGCATATCTGGTAACCCTCGACTGGACCATTAAGGAAGTTTTCAATGGGCATAAGAATTCATCCAAAGATTAATATACATGTGACAGCCTCATTTAGAAGTACCAACAATAAATATATTCTAATGAATCCAGTTTGGCCAAGAGGAAAACATTTGACACGACTTGGAGGGAAAAGATACTGGGAAATATAAACTAATTTTAGAAATTATTTCTAGAATTCAAATTGAAAAAGGGGGCAAATATCCCATGTGAAAACAGTATATATCCTCTCAGTTAGCAGGACAATGGGCAGGTATCCCAAGGGAAAACAGAATATGTCTTCACTGTAACAGGATGATGGACAGGTATCCCAAGGGAAAACAGAATATGTCTTCTCTGTAACAGGATGATGGACAGGTATCCCAAGGGAAAACAGAATATGTCCACTCTGTAACAGGATGATGGACAGGTATCCCAAGGGAAAACAGAATATGTCCTCTCTGTAACAGGATGACGGATAGGTATCCCAAGGGAAAACAGAATATGTCTTCTCTGTAACAGGATGATGGGTAGGTATCCGTAGGGAAAACAGAATATGTCCTCTCTGTAACAGGATGACGGGTAGGTATCCCAAGGGAAAACAGAATATGTCTTCTCTGTAACAGGATGATGGGTAGGTATCCGTAGGGAAAACAGAATATGTCCACTCTGTAACAGGATGATGGACAGGTATCCCAAGGGAAAACAGAATATGTCTTCTCTGTAACAGGATGATGAACAGGTATCCCAAGGGAAAACAGAATATGTCTTCTCTGTAACAGGATGATGGACAGGTATCCCAAGGGATAACAGAATATGTCTTCTCTGTAACAGGATGAAGGACAGGTATCCCAAGGGATAACAGAATATGTCTTCTCTGTAACAGGATAATGGACAGGTATCCCAAGGGAAAACAGAATATGTCTTCTCTGTAACAGGATGATGGACAGGTATCCCAAGGGAAAACAGATTATGTCTTCTCTGTAACAGGATGATGGGTGGGTATCCCAAGGGAAAACAGAATATGTCCACTCTGTAACAGGATGATGGACAGGTATCCCAAGGGAAAACAGAATATGTCCTCTCTGTAACAGGATGACGGGTAGGTATCCCAAGGGAAAACAGATTATGTCCACTCTGTAACAGGATGATCGACAGGTCACAAAGGAAAACAGAATATGTCTTCTCTGTAACAGGATGATGGACAGGTATCCCAAGGGATAACAGAATATGTCTTCTCTGTAACAGGATGATGGGTAGGTATCCCAAGGGAAAACAGAATATGTCTTCCCTGTAACAGGATGATGGGCAGGTATCCCCAGAGAAAACAGAATATGTCCACTCTGTAACAGGATGATGGGTGGGTATCCCAAGGGAAAACAGAATACGCCCTCTCTGTAACAGGATGATGGGTAGGTATCCCAAGGGAAAACAGAATATGTCCTCTCTGTAACAGGATGATGGACAGGTATCCCAAGGGAAAACAGAATATGTCCTCTCTGTAACAGGATGATGGACAGATATCCCAAGGGAAAACAGAATATGTCTTCTCTGTAACAGGATGATGGACAGGTATCCCAAGGGAAAACAGAATATGTCTTCTCTGTAACAGGATATGTCCACTCTGTACTCAAAGGGAGAATATGTCTTCTCTGTAACAGGATGATGGACAGGTATCAGGGAAAACAATATGTCTTCTCTGTAACAGGATGATCCCAAGGGGACAGGACAGGTATAACAGAATATGTCTTCTCACAAAGGAAAACAGAATATGTCCTCTCTGTAACAGGATGATGGACAGATATCCCAAGGGAAAACAGAATATGCCTTCTCTGTAACAGGATGATGAGTAGGTATCCCAAGGGAAAACAGAATATGTCTTCTCTGTAACAGGATGATGGACAGATATCCCAAGGGAAAACAGAATATGCCTTCTCTGTAACAGGATGATGGACAGATATCCCAAGGGAAAACAGAATATGCCTTCTCTGTAACAGGATGACAGGTAGGTATCCCAAGGGAAAACAGAATATGTCTTCCTCTGTAACAGGATGATGGGCAGGTATCACCAGGGAAAACAGAATATGTCCACTCTGTAACAGGATGATGGGTGGGTATCCCAAGGGAAAAGAGAATACGCCCTCTCTGTCAAAGGATGATCGTCTGGTATCCAAAAGGAAAAAAAGAACATGTTCACTCTGAAACAACAGTGAAAGCAATATATTTTGTTAATTATTGATTTGAAATGCATACATACCTATTTATAACAATAACTATCGAACGATTGTTTCAATACTGCTCTCTTCTATAAAAGTGTTGTGTTTATCATAGAATGTACGTCTATAACACACATAATATGCTGGCAGTTGTATGGAGTGCAACAAGGACGAAAGTCAACCGAGGAGAGACATTCAAACTAATACAAATAGTTAATACTCTTCACCTGTCAATCACAACATGAAAAAAGTTACAGGGATATCGATACAGATTGATTCTTGAATATTATTTGTACTAAGGTGTCAAACAGTGACAGTTTAACCCACACTAGTGTAAATAAAATCTGATATCACTCTTATTGATATTTTTGACCAGCAGTTATCGTTCATTTTGACAGTTATAGTTTGGTATCACTGTTTTTTGTGAAGTATTTAATGGATCATTCTAAAATTTCGTATGTATGTTTCTCTTGGTCATTTTCCATGCAATGCATTCCATATTTTGTGACAGATCAGGAAATCAAAATGGATGATGGGCACCAGCTCTATTTGCTATTTTTTTGAAAGTGTTCAATTGATCGTTGTGAAATTTTACATGTTAACGGGCTTTTGTCCCTTGTTGTGCATTGTGTAATATGGGACTGATTGGAATCATAATATTGTGTGACAGTTTGTCACCTGTGAGACTAATAGTTTGTTTGCTATTTATTAAAAAGTATTGTGTACATCAAGGTTGTGCATTATTTGGATTGATTATTGACCAGAGAACACAAACGGCTGAAAAGTTGCAATCTGAAATCTCAAAAAAAATGGCTAACAGGTAGCCATCTTAAATTTTGACTCATAATTGTTTTCTTTTAAATGAATATTATTATCTCTTGTGATGTACTTTGTTTACTAATATTACCATATAAGATTAATTTACTTGTCAATACAACACATAAGTAAGAGAAAAGAAAGGAAAACTCATCCTTTAAAGAGCGTAAATTGTATGATGGTTTGTGCCTGTCGGAGATCTCTTTCCACTTACTTTGTGAGTCAGTTATTTCAACTTTGAACTCTGTTGTAAAATTCACGTTTTATCTGGCTATATCTCTGCTTCTCACTCAGATAAAGCCTCATTGCAAATAAAGCTGTCGTAAAACTGTTTCACTACAAAGTCTTAACAACTTTGGAAGAGTTATCATCCTTTGTTTTTTGGCACTCTAAGTGCACTCTAACTAGCATGCATCACTTGTGCCGTAAAATTTTGTTGCTGTTAGCAGCCTTTTGATTTAGTAATGTCTTGAGTTACTGCTAAGCATTTGAGCACTTTAATCTTGTCTAGAGATCCTCTCCCTCAGTTTAAAACAATTTCTTTAAAATTAACAAGGAATTTCTAAAAATAGTAATGATGACCTTCATACTAAAATCTGAACTTGTGTAGACGTTGAATGTGCAAGTCACCTTACTAGCATCAGCTGGTGAGAATTTCCCTCTGTCTCTAGGTGGACACCCTACTCTTTCCTATTACACTTGTCCGAGATTGACTAAATTCACAAAAGGAATGGCATGCAAAAAGAATTTCTAAAATAGTGACAGTGGCCTTCACCCTGGAATCCCGAAATCGAGATATAACGGTCTTGTTTGAGTGTGTGAAGTTTGATCAAAAGCTCTCAAGGAATGACGCTGGTAGAGATCCAACAAATAATTCCTTCAAATAGTACTAGTGTCCTTGTCCTTGATCCTAGAACTCTGAAATTTAAACTTGACCCAAGATATTTTTGTCCTTTATTAGCGTTTCAATTTTTTATCAAAATTGCTCAAGGAATAAAGCTGCTACCGTGTTGACAAGGATAATTGTTACATTAAAGACATACAGAAACATCCTTATATCCCCTCAATGACAGTGATATTTCTCCAGGACTATACATGTATCTAAATCAAAGATGGTTGCCTCTCATGCTTCTTGCTTTCTATGGTAGTTTTATAAAGAAGTATTCAAACATAAAGACCATGACAAAACATAAAGATCCCTCTAGCTTTTTCTACAAAATGGCAACCTTTTAATTCCAACATGGCTGTATTTTGACAATCTTGTTTTTTTATATATGTTAAAGACACTGAAGATTTTGAATTAAAAACACAAAGTCATGTGAAAGTAAAATAAACACACCTGTAATCTGTTTGGTTTTACTTTTATTGCTAACAATTCAAAAGTTATTGCAAAATGGTTACACAAAGGTAAAACAAACAATGATTTGTAACATTCCTCACTGTACATACATCAGTTGAAACCATTGCATACTTACGATATATCAACATGATACTGCTAACATACAGTTACACACAGTTTTATATATTTCTCGATGGTTTATTTGGGTGCTTTTTTGTGTTGTGAAACTCATTTTAATGTGATGTTGTATAACATTATGAGCTTGCGTTTCATTTTTAACTATTTTTATAAGGCTAAGCCCATACTTGGTTAGAAGCCCTACCTTGTATACTGGGTATTGCTCTTCAGTAGAATTATTCACATAGTTTATTGTCCTAATAACCCTGCCATCTGATACCATGTTGGCATCATCAGCTTATCTCAGGTTGAATATGGCGTAAGTGTGCCATACTATTTTACCTGTTTATCTATAATGTACTTGGATGTAATTAATATAATTTTGATAGTTTGAACATGTAAGTTTAATATTACCTTTATTAGTATGTAAAACATAGGCATCATTTTAGGCCTTGAGCTATAAACTTTGAAAAAAATACCCCTCGGTTTGAGATATCCCTGTCTACAAAACACAAGGGTGAAAGATTCTATTAATCTATATGTACAGGTAAGTGTAATATTACCTTTATTAGTGTGTAATAGATAGGCATCATTTTACCTGTATGTACAGGTAAGTGTAATATTACCTTTATTAGTGTGTAATAGATAGGCATCATTTTACCTGTATGTACAGGTAAGTGTAATATTACCTTTATTAGTGTGTAATAGATAGGCATCATTTTACCTGTATGTACAGGTAAGTGTAATATTACCTTTATTAATATGTAACAGATAGGCATCATTTTACCTGTATGTACAGGTAAGTATAATATTACCTTTATTAGTATGTAATAGATAGGCATCATTTTACCTGTATGTACAGGTAAGTATAATATTACCTATACTTGTATGTACCATAATTTAGTGTAATATTACACATACTGGTATGTAATTTTTATAATTATTTCCGTATATACTGGTTAGTATAATACATTTACCTGTAGGTAGTAAATACTTTTTTTACTTATATGTCCCGGTAAGTGTAATATTGCGTATATTTTATGTAATAGATATCATTTTACCTGTATATACAAGTCAATATAATATTGCCAATCCTAGTATGTAAAATGTATAATTTTACCTGTATTTAAGTGTTAAAGGAGAGTTATAGAAATTGCTTTAAGCCTATTTTCCTTTTTTTCATATTTGTGTTTGTAATAAGAAAATGTTGGAAATAAAATGTTGTTTGACAAATACCCGTACATTACATATACTTGTAAGCAGTAGTGTGGGGTTTTTTTTTACTAGTATTTAAGTGTTTTACCTGTACAAATGTGTTCTATTGCATATATTTATTTGTAGTAGTGTGCTATCTTAACTGTACATCAAATACTTGTATGTAATAATGTGTTGTTAACCCTGTATGTTTTATTTTCTATATACTGGTATGTAATGGTTAGCTATTTGGAATTTATACTAAAGTGAAGAAGAGTTTGTAATAACTCTGTGGAAAAAAATGTACACAAAAAGTTCTATAAGGTTTCGGATATGTGATTGAGATAGAGATAATGCACGACATCATCTGGTTCATCAGTACTTCTACAGCTATTCCATTCCTGGTGACAGGAAATTACAACACCAATAACATTCTTGTTGAATGTCTGCTGCCAGTGATAGTAGCAAGGTCATTTAAATCACTATTCCAGCAAATTTGGGCCATTATTAAGTACAGCAGCATATGCTGTTTTTTTCTTTTAAAAAGTACTTAGAAACCTCACTGGAATAAGTAATACTATTGTATATATATATATATAAGTATGAAAACTACAGACTGGCATTTTCTCACATGTGCACATCGCATTGAATGGTAATGAAGATGATAATGTAGATGAAGATGCCATGAGACATTAGGTAATTATGATATGCCAATTTCCACACAATATTTTTACATACATATCCATTCCCTCAAACAAAAAGGTCCATCTGGCCTTTATCACTTCTTTAATTTATAGTCAGAATCAACCTGGAAGTCAAACTGTTTAAGGCAATGGTAACCATGTCAAATTTTACACAATCTACATTTTGTAGTATTTCACATAATAATATAATAATTGGCAGATGCCATACCATATCAAATTTGCACATTAAAGAAATGCCACAGGTACCTCTTGACAAAGAAACAGTTCCCACTATAACATGGTTCACACTGCATCATGTTTTCATTACAAAACTTACATCTCTGACTAATATCAAATATGTGAGACAATTCTATGTCACAATTTAACACTTTCAGAAAAAAATTGGTGATAAAACACATTTCCTGAAATCTTAAGTATCACTTCTTGGAGACAATAAACACAAGTTTCAATTAGGAGACGGGGAACTTTTAACAATCCTCAATAGAATTCCAATAAAAATATTTTGGCAGAAGCTTCAATTTTCCAGAGAATAAGAAACTACTATTCGGTCCCAACAAAATAATAAATGATGTATATTATTTCCTTAAGTAGTCTTCACACATAAGTAGACATAGCAACATTTGGCACGCAGGTCAATGTATAGAATAGTATTTATACACGATTAATATATTACAGTAGCTATTACATATCTTCTGTAATACCTCAGGAAAGAGCCAAGTGTCTCTACAACAGATATTTGTACAACACCAGTGCAATAAAATTGTCAGCACTCTTACATAGTTTGAGCACTGGGGACAATGAAGCACTTTTAATGATCAACATTTAAAGGTGATATGTTTTCACACCTGCTACCAAATTCAGGTTTAATGTAGCTACCTAAGTTTCGATATCAACTACCCCACATATCTATTACATGCTTTGTCTAATTTGATGACTGCTACCTCGGCTATAATATTGTAGCTTCAGCAAACTTTTTACAACATGGTTCATGGTTTTACTAACAGATATAGACATATTTTCAATTACTTAGCCAAGATATGAGGTACTAAGCTATTTTGGTATTAGCTACCCATCTTAACTTTGGTATTTTGATACCAGTAAGGGACTCAATCAAACGACTGATTCTATTTCCACTTAGATTTGATACTGTGCTTGAAACACAGATACTAGATACCTAACTCCAAAATCAATTCAGGTTAAGTACTGACATTTTGGAAAATACCTGCACAGTACATGGTATCATATTGTAAGGAAGATAACGTAAATCAACATTTAAAGGGAGATAACTTTCCAAATACGAGCACAAAAAATCACAGGCCTATGTAGACTGCAGGCCCCACACATTCAAGGTCTTGTGCATCCAACCAGTGTTAAATACCAACTGCCATTTCAACAAGAGATCCCAGAACGATCTTGGCACCCACCATTGTTTAATCCGTATTTGCTCTTTGAAAGTTGGTCGCCTGAAAGTCATTTTGTCTTTTCTGATCAGTCCAAATTCAAACAGGCACAAGTAGAGGACAAAGGGAACTTATATATAAAATCTGAGAGGTCCATTCGGTACTTCTCAAAAAATAGGGATAACAATCATTACTAAGCAAAATCCAAGACGGCTGCCTGTCAGTCATTTTGTTTTTCTGATCAGCTCCAAACACGAACAGGCACAACTAGAGAGGAATCTATACATAAAATTTGAGAAATATCTATGCAGTATTTCTCAAGAAGCAGCAATAAACAAACTTTCAAACTCAAAATCGGCCATTTTGTCTTCATGATCAGACCCTAAATCAAATGGGCAAAAAGGAAGTTATACATAAAATTTGAGAAAGATCTATGCTGTATTTCTCAAGAAATAGCAATAGCAAACTTTACTTTTCAAAATACAAAATGGCTGCCTGTCAGTGATCACAGAAATTTTTTTTGGATGGACAGACCATGAACAACTGACGTAGGGTGATTTGAATAGCCCACCATCTGATGATAGTGGGCTAAAAATATAAAAATGATTTGTGATATGATGCAAAATGATCTTCAAAAAACGAGAAATTGTGGGGAAAAATATCACTGCAACAAAACATTTTGAGGGTGGTCAGGTGGCGCAGTAGTTACACACTCACCTTTCACCTAGCTATCTGGGGTTTGATTCCCAGAATGGACGAGGTCACCTGTCGACCACATGGGTTCTTCCCTGGTACTCAGGTTTCCTCCCACAGTAAGACCCCCATGGGCTTCCATCCAGGCCAACAAGAGTGATTAATATGAGATTAAGCTTGTTTCAAAAGTGTTGTAAAATAGATCAAGTTTATTCATTAAGATATTTTGACATCTCCTCTGTGGATAAAGTGGAAGAGCAATTATTTACACATACTGACCTTCAATATGGCACAACTAACATTTTCTTTTTAACCAAAAAATGATGGAACACTTTTGTTGATAAGTCATAGTACACTGTCAATGTGACAAGAAACAGTCGGTTAGATTACATCTAATAAACTGTGCCAGAGATGATGTTTAAGTTCCTTATCACGAAAAATTGTAAAATCTACCTTCTCACTTTTCTTTATTCCCATCTTAAATCAAAATGTACTCTTATGAGTTCAGAAATTTCTTTGTTTTCAAGTGAATAATTAACAAATAAAATATTACAAAAAATAAGTACAAATATCAAAATGCCTTGATACAAACATCCTCACAAACATGATTTAAAAAACATGATTAATATTGTAATGTAAAATTGAACAGTAATCAGATCCTTTACTGGTATTGTGTCCTGCTATCAACTCTCACAATCCTCTCAGCAATGATATAAAACTATATGATTTGTGTGAGACAAACTTTCCTAAAAGTATTTTCTAACACATTACACAGATCTGGTGAAGATTATACACACAAGGATGATTAATCATGTAAAAATTACTTTGATAAGTCAGAATTCATGTCAAAAATATACACTGATAAAATATTTTGCCAAGAGTAGACAATCTTATATGACTAGAACAACATATTACTCGGAAATCTTGGCCCAGAAGATGTCATGATCATCCACTGTCATGACCTTGTACATCAGATAAAGATCATGACAAGTAACACAAATTAAAAGTCCTCTCTTTCCATTTTATATCATTGTATACATAGAACTGAAGGTTTATTACTTAACAGTTACAAGTAAAATCTCATTTCAGAGCACTCACAATGTCACATCAATGAACACAGGGCAGCGAGACTTATCTACAAAGCACTGAGTTCTCGGTCAAAATAAAACTTTAATAAATAGTCATTAAAAAATAAATATCCTTATTCTTTACAAGTCAATATCAAGCTTGTACTGTCCAACTCCATGTTCTTCTGGGTTAATCAACATATATAAAAAAAGATATTTTAACAATGACTGTAACAAAGATCTTGTTCAAATTGATTGAACAATGCCTTAGAATTTTTCTCCATTCTCAATGTTGGGCATTAGAATCTGATTTCATAACAGTACCACAGGTAAGCATTGAAGGAGATAATGTCAATTAAAAATATCTTCTGGATCAGAGTCAACAAACAACCTACACCAAACTACATATCACAGTAACAATTTTATCACATGGGCGATGGGAGACAACTCTCTTCTATCCAATAACAAGCAGAGCACTGGAAATAATGATACGGTCATTCTACTGTCATCTATTTATATGAACTACTGGTGGACCACTGCATATCATCACACAGAAATAGCATACCAGATAAGTTGATGTTATCTAGTGAGTCTGGACTGGACAGTTATTTCTTAACAAGGTTTTGAGTGGACTGCAGTAGTTGGTGTTATGCATTTAACAATGTTTGGAGTGGACTACAGCAGCTAGTTTTATTTACTTAACCAGGTTTTGAGTGGACTGCAGTAGCTCATGTTGTTAACTTAACTAGAAATGGAGTGAAATCCAGTGGTTAGCATTAAATTCCAAACTGGGTATGGACTGGAGTAGACTGAAGAAGTTGGTGTGAAGTATTGAGAGAAAAGATAACAATGTATGACATTGTACAAAACCTCAATGATATCATCATATCATAATGTGGCCATATGGAACAATCAATACCAGTTGCCCACTGACAAGTGTGACCACGACAATAACCTTGGTACAGTTTAGCTTCACATCCTTGTTGGCTGGTCGTATGATGAGGTAGGTATGGTGATCTTCGACTGTAGAGACAGCTATCTACCAATTCCAGGACATGTCACTGACCTGAACATTCATTCAGAGCTCCAATAGAATTTCAGTGAAATAGGTTTACTCTCCGTCAAAATCTTCAAGCTTCTGTCACCTTTTTAGCCTAGAATGAAAGATTATGCACTAATACACAAATAGAACCAACTATTCTCCTCGACTTATTGTTGTATGAACTATGACAGGATATGCAGGGCTTTAAGTAAAATAATGATATCTTCTCAATTTTCCTGGAACACAAAGTCCTGTGGAATGTGGAGAGAAGGTTACTTACCTGTTGATGTTATCAGGTGTAACTGAGGATAGAGGCATCACTTACCTGTGGATGTTATCAAGTGTGACTGAGGATAGAGGCATCACTTACCTGTGGATGTTATCAAGTGTGACTGAGGATAGAGGCATCACTTACCTGTGGATGTTATCAAGTGTGACTGAGGATAGAGGCATCACTTACCTGTGGATGTTATCAAGTGTGACTGAGGATAGAGGCATCACTTACCTGTGGATGTTATCAAGTGTGACTGAGGATAGAGGCATCACTTACCTGTGGATGTTATCATGTGTGACTGAGGATAGAGGCATCACTTACCTGTGGATGTTATCAAGTGTGACTGAGGATAGAGGCATCACTTACCTGTGGATGTCATAAGGTGTGGCTGTAGAGAGAGGCTTTATTTGCCTGGGGATGCCATCATGTGAGAGGCTTTACTTACCTGTGGATGCCATCAGGTGAGAGGCTTTACTTACCTGTGGATGCCATCATGTGAGAGGCTTTACTTACCTGTGGATGTCATATGGTGTGGCTGTAGAGAGAGGCTTTATTTGCCTGGGGATGCCATCATGTGAGAGGCTTTACTTACCTGTGTATGCCATCAGGTGAGAGGCTTTACTTACCTGTGGATGCCATCATGTGAGAGGCTTTACTTACCTGTGGATGCCATCATGTGAGAGGCTTTACTTACCTGTGGATGCCATCATGTGAGAGGCTTTACTTACCTGTGGATGCCATCAGGTGAGAGGCTTTACTTACCTGTGGATGCCATCATGTGAGAGGCTTTACTTACCTGTGGATGCCATCATGTGAGAGGCTTTACTTACCTGTGGATGCCATCATGTGTGACTGTAGAAAGAGGCTTTACTTACCTGTGGATGCCATCATGTGAGAGGCTTTACTTACCTGTGGATGCCATCATGTGAGAGGCTTTACTTACCTGTGGATGCCATCATGTGTGACTGTAGAAAGAGGCTTTACTTACCTGTGGATGCCATCATGTGAGAGGCTTTACTTACCTGTGGATGCCATCATGTGAGAGGCTTTACTTACCTGTGGATGCCATCATGTGAGAGGCTTTACTTACCTGTGGATGCCATCAGGTGAGAGGCTTTACTTACCTGTGGATGCCATCATGTGAGAGGCTTTACTTACCTGTGGATGCCATCATGTGAGAGGCTTTACTTACCTGTGGATGCCATCATGTGTGACTGTAGAAAGAGGCTTTACTTACCTGTGGATGCCATCATGTAAGAGGCTTTACTTACCTGTGGATGCCATCAGGTGTGACTGTGGAGAGAAGCTTTACTTACCTGTGGATGCCATCAGGTGTGACTGTGGAGAGAAGCTTACTTACCTGTGAATGCCATCAGGTGTGACTGCAGACAGACTGCTCTGTGATGTGCCAATACTAAGCGAGGAGAATGCACTGTGGCTTGACTGCAAGCTTGTCATTGACCCTCTGTGTGAGATAAAAGAATTTCTATTCAGTGACAAAAGAGATCAATAACTTTGTCTTTCTAATTTCTTCAACCTACATTGTTTCCACAATCTATCAAAAGATCAGAAAATTTTGACTATGGAACCTTTTCATGTCATCTTTGTGAATAATAATGGGTTTGATCAATGATTTTCTCACTTTCCAATAATGTATTTGAAGTGTTGACACTTATATAGTCTCATTCATTTACTATGCAAATCGAGCAAATTTGAAGACACTAACCTGAAGGCTGCAGACTCCAGTACCTCTGTGTAATACATGACCTTAGACTTGTGTGTGGCCAGTGGAAAATCAAACACAGCTTTACCAGCATCAAAGTACTTCCATTGTAGTATATAACTTCCTACCTGACTAGTCACATGAGAACCCTGTCAAACAAACAACATTTTACATTTTCATCCAATTTCCCATACACAAATCAACTATAAACATAAAGAACACTAATCAATCACAATATGCACAAGTAGCACTCAAAAGAAGCTTCAGAACGTTCCAAGAAATAGCCAGGATAAGCAAGTTATATCCATGTACAGTATTTTTAAATAATGCAAATTGATGGTCAAAGGATGAAAACTGATGAGGAAAAAACTCTCCTAATGATTGGTTAAAAGTGTTCAAATGTTACCAGGTGTTTGCTGCTAGCAGAGATGTTCTGGCCATTCAACTTTAAACTTGAGGCTTGTGAAAACATAAAACAGTTGCAAAAACCACTAAAACAGTCTTTAAAATCTTAGGTTATCTCCAATAATACTACTGTAATTAGGAATCAAATATGAATTCTGTACGTGTATGAAATTTTTCCAAGTCATTTGTTAACAATTAGTTTTGAATAACTTGGGCAATATGACATTCTGAAAGTAAAAAGTACTGTTTTTTGTAACAAACAAGACGCATTTCCATTGTGAAGTCCACATAATTCTGTATATGTAAGAACAAAACCAGTTTAACAGCAAATGGAATCAACAACTGGAGGACCACTTATTTGGCAAATATAAGTCAAGGAAAGTAACATTCAGGAACTCTTAATGTCTAAGAACTAGAAATATGCTAAATCTAGAATGCTGGAGAGTGGAGGAATGAAGGGAGTATATTGAGCTAGGAGATAATCTTCCATGCCTATACACTATCTCCATTTTATCTGTACACTATCTCCATCTTACCTGTAAACTATCTCTATCTTATCTGTAAACTATCTCTATCTTATCTGTAAACTATCTCAATCTTACCTGTACACTATCTCCATCTTACCTGTACACTATCTCCATTTTATCTGTACACTATCTCCATCTTACCTGTACACTATCTCCATCTTATCTGTACACTATCTCCATCTTACCTGTAAACTATCTCTATCTTATCTGTAAACTATCTCAATCTTACCTGTACACTATCTCCATCTTACCTGTACACTATCTCCATTTTATCTGTACACTATCTCCATCTTACCTGTACACTATCTCCATCTTATCTGTACACTATCTCCATCTTACCTGTACACTATCTCCATCTTACCTGTACACTATCTCCATCTTATCTGTACACTATCTCTATCTTATCTGTACACTATTTCCATCTTACCTGTACACTATCTCCATCTTACCTGTACACTATCTCCATCTTACCTGTACACTATCTCTATCTTACCTGTACAATATCTCAATCTTATTTGTACACTATCTCCATCTTACCTGTACACTATCTCTATCTTACCTGTAAACTATTTCCATCTTACCTGTACACTATCTCCATCTTACCTGTACACTATCTCCATCCCTACATATATGAGGCGGCTCTACAATGCTTAGATCCATGCCAACTTGCATGGTCTTGTCGATGTATTGCGTAGAGCCGATACCGCCCATGGCCCCGCTGATGTGGTGTTGGTGCCGCGGGTCCCCAGACACCTCATGTTTACACCGTAGTACAGTGAATGTCACATCACCCTTTAAAATGTCAAAGTCCCAAGTAATCACAGATCCTTTCTGTGGAATGGATATCATCACCTACAAAGATACAAAGAACAGTCATTACTACTTAACACATTGATTTTAATGTGATATCATCACTAATGAACACCTCAACATTATTGTAAACAATTCTGAAGTTATATCTCTCTTTATATGAAGGTCTTACCTCATGAGGAAAATCTTTGACAATGTGACAAGTCTGGTACAAGCTATCTGTACTGAGGGGTGGGCCTTCTGGGGCCTTTTCTGTAAACTCCTCCTTGTAGAGGGATTTAGGTACCAAACCTCCTTCAGGCACATCACACTGGTAAGAAAGTAGTCCCAGGTGAAAAAAGCAGTCATACACATCATATAAATGTATTTATATAAACAATTAACATTCAGAAGGTCTGCTGTTTAAGTCAAAAACAAGAAAGAAACATTATTTCAATATTTAAAAATCAATGTCAACCATTCTATTGTATATAACTTTTTCTACAGAATAAATATCTAAGATTTGTTGAAAATTACTTCAAACTCACAAAACAATCTCCACCAAGGAAGTCAGGGATGTATTTCTTGTCTATAAACTCAATGAGACCTCCTGGCCCTTGGTAGTCATTGCCTCCATAAATCATGAACTTTTGTCTTGTGTCCTCATCAATGAACGGGCTGACAAGTGTCCATAGTACAGGGAAAACTCTTGGAGCTCGCACAATGAGCAGGCGTCCCATGGTCTCTGGATAGTTAGCCTCAACCATCTCTATGATCCTGAGCAGTGCCCGGATTCCTGGTCTCCACAGGTGTCGCATGCTGAGGCCATCAAGGTCCACAATACATGTACAGGCACTTACAGGGAAACCTCGCAGTCGAGTGGCATCACCTGCTCGCCGCAACCCTTCTTCATTCACATATAAAACCTGTAACATACAACATTTGTTCACTACGTGTACTATGACATCTCAAATTTATTTGAATACTTGTACCTGAATGTTAGTAACACAACACTCGTTCAGGTAACAAACATCAAATGAAATATAAAATTCTTCTTCAGTTACATTACACACCAGACACCTGTGATATATAAAAAAATCTCTGAATTTAAATACAGAACACCTGAAACACAGGACTCACCAATTAAATATACAACATATTAACACCTGCAAAATACAAACGCTCTTTGTACCACAATATCTCTATATCATATAAATTATCTGTAATCTATAGGAAGATATGGATTGTAATCTCTGATGTCAAATCTAAATATCTGTGTTTTCGTTTGAGCAGATAAATCAGCTAGCAAGAAAACAATATAGTTTCAACATACATGTTTAAGGAGTACCTCCTCCCCAACAGATTTCATTAGCCCCTTCACATCCATTTGCCCAAGTTTGAGGACATACAATGGCCGTCCATCTAAAACAAAAAAAATATATCTAAATACAATGGTATTGACTATCAATCTATAATCACTATACACATTAGTAAGTACACTGATCTTAATTATACTCCTCTTAATATCATAACAATGCCCTCATCCCAGTCTGTATACCCTTCTCAGTTCAAAATGTATCTGTGAATTTGAAAGAACTATTATTCAAGCATGGTTTTAGATACAAGACAAATTTCGTTCACATGTATTTAGTGTGGATTTGATTCCCCAAGAATTGTAATTCAGGGCTATTCTCAATATAGCTAACCTTTATCGTTGTAGTGCCAACCACCGCTGTAATACTGGTTCATAATGTCACCCGGTTGGTAAGTCTCCAGCAGGTGATCAATATTGTGGAGTTTCCTCCAGGCCAGTGAATGCACCAACATGTCACGTGACTTGTCCAGGTTAAATTCACGTGCTCTGAGAAAACGCAGAATGTGAGCATCCCTTGGTATCTATAACAGTGAAATATTCAACAGTGTCATTTCACAATATCTAAAACATTCCAAGGTGAAATTCCACAATTTGCTGACTGATGACTGGGACAGACAAATGGGTGAGCAAAGCTGATGACCGAGACAGACTTATGAGTGAGCAAAGCTAATGACTGAGACACACATGTGGGTGAGCAAAGCTGATGACTGAGACACACATACGGGTGAGCAAAGCTAATGACTGAGACACACATGAGGGTGAGCAAAGCTGATGACTGAGACACATGTGGGTGAGCAAAGCTGTTGCTGAGACAGACTTGTGGGTAATCAAACATGATGACTGAGAAAGACTTGTGAGTAAGTAAACCTACCTTTCCTTTGTGAGTCTCTTGTAGCCACTGTCGCAGCTGTACCAGTCTGCTCTCCTGTACTGGAGTGAGTGAGCCAAGGAAACGCTCAATATATACATCTTCCAACTTTCCGGCTTTGTCAGGGGGAGACAACCCTGTAACAATATTATTCATTTGGTGAAATTACCTTCAGCTGCAAAACCAGTCTAAATACAATGACTTCTCAAAAAACAAAACTTAATCTTGCGTTGCAACAAAACTTTTTCAACAAGACAGGACACAATCAGAAAGGTTGATGTTTAATCTCTTAAACTCAAATCCATACAGTTGTACAGTACAAGATAGTAATAGCTTACAAGTCTACAGACAATCTGTATAGGTGAGAATGAATAACTTCATCAGGGTCAGTAGGCAGTTTGTATAGATAACAGCTCTAGTTGGTACATGTAAACAGAGACTTACCATCAGGGTCAGTAGGCAGTTTGTATAGATAACAGCTCTAGTTGGTACATGTAAACGGAGACTTACCATCAGGGTCAGTAGGCAGTTTGTATAGCTAACAGCTCTAGTTGGTACATGTAAACGGAGACTTACCATCAGGGTCAGTGGGGAGTTAGTATAGATAACAGCTCTAGTTGGTACATGTAAACGGAGACTTACCATCAGGGTCAGTGGGGAGCTTGTACAGATAATAGCAGTTCTTGTAGGTACATGTAAATGGGGACTTAAACTCAGGGTCAGTAAGGATTTTGTGATAGAGAGTGGCTGTAGTAGCCACCAATACCAGGTTAAACTAGCTGCTGTGACTGAAAATTTACCATCAAGGTCAGAAGGAAGTTTGTTTGTACAGAGAGAGGCTGCATTAGCTGACTGGGAACTTACCCTCAGGATCAATAGGGAGTTTGTTGGTACAGATAGTGGCTGCAGTAGCGCCTAATACCAGGCTGGATTGGCTGCTGTGGCTGTGGGTACTGTTTGAACGACTTCTCAAGCCGCTGTCCTGGGATGGAGTATCATCTGTCTTGATATCAATGGCTGCAGTCTCTGGAGGCTGCCAACGTGGTGTGTATGGTACACCAGAACTCAGAATCTCATTGATGTAGTACTCTATCACTTCCTTACCCTGTGAAAAAGATAGCCAATAATGTGTACAAAATGACTTATTTCACAAAGACTTATCAACCTCCTAATACAGTGAAACCTGCTTAATATCATGTTTTGTTTGTCAGGGGCGAATGCGATAATAAACAGAATGTGACATCTAAACCCAGAAGTTAATTTTCTGATGCGCCAAACTGACTTTTTTCCGACAGAAATTGTTTGAAGACAAGAAATTTGAAATTTGATTTGTTTTTCCCAGTGATTGTTTATTCTTTGAAATATCTAAACTGCTATTAGATTCTCAGATTTGTATGTGACACTACTGTGTCATCGGCTGGTGTTTTGCCATAAGATTTATTCATCCATTACTGATGGTGCATCATAGCAAAGTTGATATATATATACAGTGTATATACCTACAACTTCGATAAAATGTGTTTTGAAGATTGCAACTTGAGCATTGCCAACAAAAATTGCCAACAGAGTGTGAACTGTTCACCTTTAAAACACCATGTTTCATTGGCTGTTAAATTACAGATTTTTTTTAATGACCAATCAGATGTCGTGAAACATGGCACAGAAAAAAACCTGGTTTCAGAACATTCTACTGTCACAAGTGCTCATGATAATTTAAGCAATAAATGATTTAAAGATATATTAAAATGTCGACATTCTGACATTATGACCAAATTCCATATGCTACGTTTTTTACTCTAAATGAATCGCCTAAGAAAAATGATTAAGATATCAGCAAAGATGTAAGTGGCCCGGTGTTACTTTTCAGGTTTGGTGTCCAATGGATCATTTAACAAAGAAACAAAACAAACACAATTTGCAAAGTCACAAGGTGTGAAAAGTTAGCCAGTAAGGCAGTGACAATGTTTACATAACATGTCCAGGTGTATCGGATGACACTCCAGGCATGAATCTATAGTTCCTGTCCTCACTTACAGATGATGAAGTGATATTAAGCATTGCCCACATGAAAATAAGTGACATTATCAGATGTTGGCTTACATAAAATATATAGGGAAAAATATCTGTGTTTCAAGATAAACTTAACTGTAAGTGGGTTCCACTATCAAATACACAGTGTCTGTGTGAATAAGTTTTAGATATATTTATCATTTCTACTCTGGTTTAGGTCTTAGCCCAAAATATTCTCAGTATTTCTCCAGTCTCAGAACTTACAAACAGTATTGTGATTACAAATTTCAAAAGCTGTAAACAGAGTTATAGTCGAAGAGTACAAAGTGGACTTTGTAAAAGGTTTTGTCACTCAGATGTACACAACCTTCCAACTGACCTTTTTTATATTAGCAGCATACTGTTTCATAGCTATCTTCTCGACCATGCTTTCAAAATTGAAGAAATGTTTGATGTCTAAGCTTGCACTCTGTTCAAAACAGGTCCAGTCTGGGTTTTCTGAGTGTACCTGTGTGAAAAGAGTCAATATATTATATATGAAACAGATATAAGACTTCAGGAATGTTGGGAAGATGCATGTATAACTGGTTGCTTGGTACTTAAAACTTCTCAAACTCAAGTTTTACATCAGACAGCTTCATAGAATTGAAAACAAATTTTTTAAGACAGCTTATTCAAGTTCACAGGGTGTAAAACTTTTTTCAAAGCAAGTGTCCTGTGAGGATGCTTTACACCCTGGATAATCCAGGGTAATTATAAATCCACTAACAGTGTCCAATGTTTCTATCAAATACCAACTATGTTACAGGGATGTTAAATACAGCTGAGATAAGTAAACTGCTTGTCCAATCAATTATTCATCCCCTGATAGTTTTAACTGTTAAGTAGACACTACCGGGAGTCAGTGGTCAGATGTGAACTCACAGAATATTGACAGTGTTCGTTGATTATGATCCTTGAAGAGAAACTCTCGTTGTGGGCGTCTATTTTCAGGACACGATTGCGCCTATCCAAGGCATTTGTCTGAATGAAGTACACATGATCAACGCCCATGATCTGAAATTGTAGCAGAATGTGAAAATCACATTAAAAGACACAAAGAAACAGATGGCAAACCCTGAGGGCTGTTGTGTGACCATTTTACATCAAGCAACTATTAATATGACAATAAATTCAATTTAAACCAATCATTTCTGCACAAATTTTCAAAATAAACTTGTTAATCAATTTGAATTTCAAGGCCAAATCCATCAACATTTTTAGTGTTGATCATGTTGCCAGGTCCTAGAAAGCCAGATAAAGCTGTAACACAATAGAACGTGGACAGGTGTAAATGACATGAGAATTAGAATGATACTGTATAATCAATACAGAAGTCATCAGTCTGTTGCCATACCCTCTGTACTCCAAAACTACCCCTGAATCAAACAACCAGCCCATGGAGTAGGAAATCTATATAGCTAATTAGAATCATATAGATTTTTCTCCTCAACAGATAATTAGAGTGCATGAGATAAGTTTGAATTTCTGGGACCATATCAAGTTTTGATCATACAAGCACAGCTGTCTTTCCAGTAATTATATAAGAAGTAAAGACAGAAGTTTCAGTACTAGGTTTACCATGTCAGGTTATTAATCATACCCATATGTCTTCCAAAACTAACACATACAGCTCATACATCCACAGTACCACATGTTAGGATGTATACATTCTATATAGAAATAAATATACATAGCTTATGTGTGCATATCACATTCACACTTAAGCACAATCCAAAGAGCCCAACACTGAAATACATCTACATATAACAGTATTGACCTAACCATTGTTTGTAAGGTCGTGGAACATGACTAATGGCATAAAAACAATCCCAAACATGACTGATCAATAGAGACTTTGAATATGGTGACAGCTGGCTATGTAAAGTCAACAATACTCCTATATAAGTGATATTCATACATCAGAACCTGGAATGATTGTAACAGGCTAAGGTTTGCTGCCTACTTGGATTCTGCTATACACAAAAATAAAACCAGACTTTTTATCGTTTTCATAGACATGCAGTTGTAGGTTTCCAACACATATATGGCAATTACTGTTTGAGTAAATGTTGTTATAACAATATTACCAACCTCTAATATCCTGGAACTAATCGATGATGCTGCAGTAGGAGAGAAACAGTATCTTATCCATATCTATCATCTTTAATCATGTGCACACATTTAGATACCTATCAATATAGTGGAATGCTAACGTTTGGATGTTTATAAGGATGTCTACCATTACATCTATTGAATGTACAGTAAACTTCACAATGGTCAAAAGGATGTACAGTCATTACCTTTTTCAGTATATAAGGTGCGTCCACATTCAGTTTACACCTGCGTTCCACTACATGCTCAGCTTCATCTTCTGTTTTGTGTTCTGAAATAACCTCACAGCCGAGAAACACTGGAATCATTTTACAGGTGGGAAATCTTTTCTCATATGCCTGCAACACGTAGACAACACAAACTCCATCAGTGTTTAAAGGTACATTGTTAGCATGTATATGTACTCAATATCATAAAATTAGATCAAAGTACTGTACAGTGTGGAATTTCAATAGTTTTAATACACATCCTGTCAGTATACAAAGAAAATAATGAAGTGATGCAACACATGTACAGGTTCTAATATATACATATGTATCTTCGACGTTATCTGACTGGTGAAATATGTACAGATTTTTTGGGAATACTTAGTAAATGTTCTCATATGTAGCCAGAGGGGTTGCAATATTTCTGTAAGATTGCAATCAATTCCAGTTTTGAATATACCCAAAAAAATTATAACCATGACAGTTACAAATATCACTAAAACTTCCTCTCATGTTTGATGAATGGATTTCAAAACTGAGACATTAAATGGTGCTTTCACTTTTTTGTAGTAATTAGAGAAAAGAATGTGACAGTGACTCATCCTTCAAATAAATGTATTAACACTTTACAACTTTCTAAATGAAGAGCTAAACTTCTACAGAACAAACATATCAAAACTTGGATGTCTCATATCTTCGAGGTTGACACCCACCATTGTTTTATCTTTATTTGCTCTTTGAAAGTGGGATCTTTTCCCTCATTTCTCTTACTGTCTCTGTTTTTGCTCTTAATGATAAGAAATTTGAACATTCCTTTGCAGAAATTGTGATGGTAAGAAATTTGAGAGATACATTCAGTACTTCCAAGAAATATGTATAACAATCTTTACTGGGTGAAATCAAAGATGGCTGCCTGTTAGTCTTTTTGTTTTTCTGACAAAGAGGAATCTATATATAAAATTTGAAATATATCTATGCAGGATTTCTTAAGAAGTAACCGTAACAAACTTTCTAAATCAAAATTTAAGAAGGTCACCTGCAGACCATTTTCTTTATCTGATCAGTGCCAAAATCAAACAGACGCAAATAGGGATCAAGGAAAATATAAGAAACAACAATAACACACTTTCAAAGTCAAAATCCAAGATGGTTACCTGTCAGTCGTTTTGTTTTTCTGATTGGATCCAAAATTAAACAAGCACAACTTCGGACCAAGAGGCCTACATATGGAATTTTAGAAAGATTTATCCAGTACCTTTCAAGAAATTGTGATGACCAAAAAATGTAGGGCCATTTGAATAGTCCACCATCTGATGATGGTGACCTTGAAGTGCAATACACCTTGTGATATACTTGAACCAACATAATCACCGACCATATCTACTACTGTTTAGATGCAAAAATGCCAACCAAATTCAAATTGGCACATAGGCTCAGTAAATAAAAATTTTTAACTTAGATTCAAATTGGATACTCTTACTTCTAAGTACACAGCTGTAACTGTATGTGTATTTTCTAAATTCATAAGAAGTGTGGCAATTTTAAGAATATCTGAAAAATATCTATAATTACTTCTAGAATATAGACAAAGTCACCTATATAAGTATTAAGACTGTTGTTGGGTTGGCAAAGATGGTCTTTTACAGATCGTTTAGTGCTCAGTGTTTCGCAAAAATACTCTTATCAATTAGATATCAATTATCTAAGACAGGACAGAAGCCAAGTCTAGTCAGATCTACTTGGAGTTTGTTATGGTGATTATATGGGTCTTGTATACCCTTTCCTCATGCTTGACAAATCAAACACATTCAAATTATTTGTTTGACTAAAAGCCAAATATGGAACTCCATTTTGAGCATTTTTAACATTACCATGATCATCTTTAAAGTGAAGTTATCTTTCCAGACAGAGTAACACTTTGTCTATGCAAAATTGATGTTTTAACACACATTAGCTAACCTCCAGTTCACCATAACAAGAATGGTTCCAGATGACAGATCTGAAAGGAATAAGCAAGTAAAATGCCCAGAGATCATACAAACTACAGAATGCTGCCTTTAGATCTGATCCATGCGTGTAACAGTATAATAAACTCTTGAAAGCACCAACAAGTCATTACCAAACCTTTGAATGATCTTAAACTCATACACACCTACATGTCTGCTTCTTTTCATTTTATGTTTTCTTACACATCGTGCTTGACAAGGTTTGTTTATTTACAAGTCAATCACCTTTCTAGACAGTCCTGACATCAGATTTTTTTAGATAGTGATTTAATATAGGCATTTATTCACTATTGGATGTAAACAAGAGAATGATTGATCCATACAAAATTATATATGTATGTTGTGTATTATGTGCTATCTTTTCATACACCAAATTAAAGTCCCCAGTAAATACTCTACACCTACCTATTATTTGTTCTATCATGTTTGACACAGATTATGAATTCAGAAGGATGGATCATATAAAATCCAACACTAGGTATATATTTTTTACACTAAGGTGAGTGTTGAGATTTGGTCTCACCACTCCTTGTACTGCAGAATATCAAAGCCTATCAATTTACACCTCCACAGGCTTGTACTATAACAGACAACAATAGCAACAAGAAGAACTTGCGTCACTGCAGTGTTCCATGACAAGTTTCAGTTATATTTGTGGATTATAGTTGTCATGGATCACCAGTCAAACCCCTGGAGGTCAATTTTGTCGGTAACTCCTATCATGCTATTCTACACCTACCATTTACAACATAAATACAAAGCTAAAAAAAAGACATGTATATATATTTCAAAAGCTATAATTAAATAAGAGAATGACATATGACAACCTACATATACATCAAATTAAGAAAATTGGAGTTGTTTTATCTGAGTTTTTTGAGCATGAAATTCTACAACGATATAATCTAAAATACATTACTTGATTATAATTTGCATAGGAATGAATATTAATGGCCAGTGGCATCTTTATTAAGAAAAATATGAGTTTTGTTTTTGCTAAAAACACAAGAAAATATAAGGTACCAATGATCGTTAAAATGTCAATGTAGAAAAAATCAAACTGAAATATCAGTTAATATTTCTAAGTCTGTAAACACTTTAATAACTTCCCCTTGATTGTATATTATTCAATTATAAATATACATTTCAATGTCATAGTCATCAACATGTTGGAGCAAGTCCATGTTATGTTACAAATCATCAAATCATTTCAATGTAGTCTTTATATCACATTCCATTATTAACTCAAGATTTTTGTTGAAAGATAATCTATCATACAGAAAAAATATCTAAACAAATTAAAATTAATTGCTAGCTACAGACTTGGTATATATTTCAATTTACACAGCTTTGGTACCTTTACATACAAATATGTGATGAAAGTTAGGCTAATTATTGTCTGAGAAGGTCACGCAAGATTTTAACTCTGTTAAAAGGATTGTAGAATACACTACCTACTAAACACAGTGGCAAGTTAATGTGTATAGTTACGGGGCTATTACTGACAATCAATGAACACATAACTCAAGTAGCAAGGACACTCAAAGCTGTCTTCTATCAAACTGAATACTGAAAAGTAATGCTAGTGTTTTTCTTCTGTTTTTCTTACGAGAACTGGTAAGGAATTTTCACCTGGCATATGTTTGTTAGACAAGAATACGCTGTATGTACTTATTTGGTCACCTTGACCCTGTTCCTGTCCCCAAATATTTCATTAACTTTATAAGAGGGGAAACCATTCAGCTAAAATTATTTTTTTCAACCTGGTTCAATCATCTTTAGTAATTGATCTCTTCAAACCTGTTTAAGACCCTTAACAAATGAGGAAACATGAGGCCCAATGGCCCGGCAGCAGTCACATGGTATATACCAGCCAAATATCATGCCTCTAGGCCTTTTAGTTCATCATCAGAAGTTGTTTAAGGTTTTGGCAAATTTGATCCCTGTGACCTTGAATATAAGTCAAGGTTGTTTCTCTTCATAAACTTTTTCGGGCTTCATCCTAGGAACATACCAGCTAAAATATCATACCTCTAGGCCTTTTAGTTCATGAGAAGAAGTCATTTATAGGTTTTGATAAATCTTACCCCTGTGACGCTCCGGCCAGGTGACCTACCAATACTAATGAATTTTTTTAGTAACTGTAGGCTTTTGAATTAAAGTTACAGCTGAAGATGGACAATGTGAAACTTTTTGTTTAGTTTGAAAGATATAATTTACAAAAATTTACACCAGAAAAGCCTTGCATTCTTTTTATCACATAGAAAATATCTCCAAACTTGATGCATGGTGCTTTATGCCACAGCAATTTAATATGTTATTAGTCTAATTCAACATTTATAAATCTATTTCCAGTGAGTTCTAAAGTGTACAATAGGAAAAGACCTAGGATGATATTTGATTCTTTACCAGAAACAAATTTTAGAATAATCCATAACACTGAGACTGACAAGCAAATTGTTGTTCTGCTATGAATCTAATCATTAATACTCGCAACTGATGAATTTGGCAGCATCATAATTGCATCATCAAATATTACCATACTGTTAAGATGAGATTTGGAAGAATCTACAAATTAAATCTTTTCATTGATACTTTGGACACAACTACAGAAAACTTGATATCAGATAAATTTGGCAAATGCTTAATCTAATATAGATTTTAAAACTGCAATATATTTTTTCCAGCACATTTTTGATGGCTATAAATTAACCATCTATGGCTTGCAAGTGATGATACTGTTGACTTGCACTAGATCTGGGAGATCCAACAAGTCTGTTTACAGTGTAATGGTGTTCCCTATGCAGCAATTTGATGGAATGATCGTTCATTTGTCATAGACCCCTTAACATCCATTTTGATGTTATTGAGTATTTACTGACATTAGGTCCTTACTGCTAGTTTTATATCACCACTACTTTTTAACAAGATGTGTTGGAAAAACACTATGACTCAAAGAGGATGCTATTCCTGATAGCTACACATTCAACTAAAAGCATTTTTGCAAGAATATGTATCAAAGGCATAGGTTAACAAATGTGGTATCCAGTAAAATGTCATTAAGAATACTTGTGCTGTATAAGAATGCATTTTATAAAACAGTATGAAATACTGATTGGGATAGTGACTACAAGTTAGGGAAATGAAATGCAAATAAATTATATAATATAACCCATCATGCAAAGTGGTTGACTTACTTTTTTCCTACATTTCTCATAATTAGTTTCCTTATCAAAGTCCCTAAGCTCTGGCAAATATTGACCAATTTTGACCAACATCTGACTCATCTGAGATCTCAATAATACATGTATCTATAAAGCAATATACCAAATTTGGTTCAAATCTGACCATAAAGTTTAAAGTTTATGATAGAAACAAAGAAATGATCTATTTTAAGAATTGTAAAAGTTGATGAATTTGGACCTATACTAAACCCTTCATAGATTTGATTGATATAAAGAACTATCTATACCAAATTTAATCTAAATCCAATCAATAATTCTCGAGTTATTTGACTGAAACCCAAAAACAAACAAACAAACACAGACCAACCAAATACAATATTCTCAACCCCCCACCCTGATTGTTAATCTTGGGGTCATTTAAAAACATGGATTCATGTAGTATATCAGTGATATTAATTTCAGGCAGTACATCTGTCTCTACACCATGACTATCAGAGTGTACCTTCTCAATGTGTCAGGGAACATGTAGAACAATATCCGTTATTCTACATCAGTCATCATATACACTCATTGGCATGTCATTACTGCGGTCGATTTCCATCTAAAATGTATGGTGTACTTGAACCTAAATTTGATTAATGGAGAATTGTAATTTATACTTTTACATACACACTATTAAGCTTGAAAAACTAAATGTTGTAAGGAAATAAATAAGTGAAAGGCATGATTTTATTACATGTAGCTGAAAGGGTTTGTAAATGTTATAAGATCAGACCACTTTATCAACATCTAATAACAAACTGAAACATCAAAATATACATCCAAGTGGATACTTCCCCAACACATTATCAACAGGCAGATTTGCAGTTTATACCCATGAGCTACAACAAGCAGACACTCTAATGAAAAAGACTGTATTCAATGTGATTGTACACTGCATACCTGTAAGTTTACAAACATAACTTGTATTTATCGTACATGTATCTTATCACTGGTTGTAATATTACTAGTAACCAAGGCTGTGTGTTCTTTGCATTTAACACTGGGTACAACATACAAACTTGTACAATTCATCATTGTATTAGATAACAATAATGAAGTACAAGAGCATTAGGGGTTGACAATAATGCATGATAACCCCATGATCATTATACTAGCATACCAGTGCTCGAAACCGTCAAAAAGCTTATCTAATCTACAAACTATCAAAGCTCATAATGGTGGTGTTGGTAAACTGTTACACAAAAAGCAAAGAAAGACTAAAGTGACCAGCTCTTTTTGTCTGCTTGTTCTGGGAACACAATCTGTCAAGTGACTTCTACAGCTACATGTATATAGACAATTAACAGCTGTATCAACATATATGAAAGATATACCTTTATCTAATTTACTAAAATATAACAAAATTGCATTTGAATGATAATAGACCGGCCAGCTGATTCTACCAGACCGGTTATTATTATTTTCATTCATTTATTTATTGTGAATCAACTAGACGACATTCTCTTTAAAAAAACAGGAAAGGTAAGGCTGAATGACCTTAGTTTTCCTCCAGATATATGACCCCGTGAGATTCAAAGAAATGTCACTTTACTCGTTAGTCATAGCAGACAGCTGTCAAACGTCGAGGCACGTGCACGACTTGATGGTCAGTTTCCTCGTTTCAAAATTCTGAATAGTAAGACAAACCCAACAACCATAAAAAACAATTAATTGTCGTACATCTCAGATCATCTCTTATTATTACGATAGATGTCGGAGTTTGTTGCCATTTATAAAGTTACGCAAGCACGATACTTGATCGCGGTGACAATAGTTTATACGAATGACTCGCCAGTTTGACAGGTCGAATTCAGGACACCTCGCTACGACGTTAAACTGGTGATTATGACTAGATATTAAATGTGAAAAATATCATTGGTGTACTCACGGCCATGACAAGTTCGAAAGGGTATTTATATACCCTTACGGGTGACTGATACGTCTGCACCATCCCGATTTCTCAATAATCCGAACCACTCGAAATGATCAACACTCCTGTCGCATCTTGAGCCTAACAACACATATAAGCTTATGCTGCAAAACAATATAGTTCTTCAGATAAACCCGGATCATATTTAAACAATATACTTTAGTCATGACAATAAAAAGTAATGCAAAACCTTTCTAAATAGAAATTATAACTGGTTGGTTGCCACTGTACGATACCATAAATGTAAATATCATAAGGTATTTTCATATTTTTTTTAAACATTCTTCCGCGTGTAGGGGGAATAACTCTTCATATATGATAATAAGGTATCACTAAATAAATAGTAACACTGTTAAGAAGACATTCATACATTGTAGAAATGAAAAGAGAAACAGTACAGATATTATTCTTGTAACTTGTAAAGCTTTCATCTGAACAATGGAATGGAAATGTTCAGATTTATTTTTTAGGATACACTGATATTTACACAAAGTTTGTAAAACAAACACATAATGATTTAACGGTCATCCTGCTTACTCTATGAATTATTGATATAAATGCACAGTCTGAAATAAACTAGTGATCAAATGAATGCTAACTAGTTGACTGACCACCCCTGCAGTGTTTGAATGTACTGGGTTTTTTTCCCACTTAAGCTGAGATATATACAGCATATTGTATACTTCTCTGTTAAGGTCCATTTTTTATTTGTTTGTTTTTTTGTTTTTTGTTTTTTTTTTTGTAATTAACAAAAAGGAAAAAGAGAACGATCAACATGTACATTGTCACTATTCAACATTGATTATATGTCCAGGTTTGCATGTAAACTTTTTTTCAGAACAGAGATGCATACAACATTCTTTAATTTACGTGTCTAAAAACAGGAAAGAAGCCAAAGCTGAACAACGTTAACTTGACATTTGAACGTAATATGAACATGACATTTGAACGTAATATGAACATGACATTTGAACGTAATATGAACATGACATTTGAAAAACGGCCTTATATTTGTACAAACAGTCTGACAGACCATTCTTCATTATATAATTCGTTTGCCCTACCCATTGTAATTGTCAGAAGTTATGAGGCATAAAAACAAATTTGGCCTTTGATCTCAATTTGACTTCTGGCATACAGACCTGAAAATGGTATGCCAAGCACTAACTAAAGTCAGCCTGCATATATCAATGAATTCGTATTGACCTACAAGTAAAAAGTAGTAGCCAGGACAAGAAATTGGACCTCTCTTCTCAATGTGATCTTGACTTAGGTATGCAGACATGAAAATGGTGACACACTGCTTTAACATATATGGATGTTGATTTATCAACTTTATTGAGTAAGAAGAAATTATGCCTGTCCAACGAATTTGATGAATCAACCTTAATTTGACCTTGATCTTCAGCCTGTAGACATGAAAACTGTTTGAGAGCACTTCATTGCAACACATCCTTCATGTATCAATGATTTTTTTCATGTCCTGTGTGAACCTTTATTTTGATGGCACAGACAATGATATTTGACTTTTAATATCAATATGATCTCAGCTGCAAGCAAACAGACCTAAAGGTATGCAACATACTGCCTTACTCTTGCATATATGCTCAGAATTTCAAATACCTATCTTCAGTCATCTGTAAACACATCTTGAACAGATAAATAAAAAAAGTATATTATGTACCCTTGCATATCTCAGGGAGCATGTGTGATAGAGAAACCTTCAAGAAAATACCAACATGTCATCATTATCATAATCCAAACTCAAATTAAAAAAGACATGAAATAATACATGGAGAATAAGAGCAGATGCTCATGAGCAACACCCGCAATGTAAACCTTGGTCAATCCAAGTAAGTAATATCATGTTCTCAAATGAGAACAAGATATACAACAACGGAACCAAAAGGCAAATTAATGGGCATCAAACACATCCAGCTTCATACACACAAAGAAATAAAATGTTTCTAAATGAGATCATTATGACGACCATAAAACTTCCCCATACTTTTCATCAACTTGCATCTTTTGAAACCCTGTGTTACGAGTTAGTTCATCAACTCATGACTTCTTGCAAGGAAATCATGATAATGGAAACAGGCCGTTGAATATCGAATCAACTGCGACGTGAAAATGTTATTTGTTGGAAGATGCAGGGATGTTGTAATCCAGGAATGAAAAATTCACAATAGGGAAATTGAAATCATCATGTTTATCATACAGCTTGGTGGAAAGCTGTCCACGTTGGTTTCATTGTAGGAAAAGATTCAGAAAAGTGGCAGATGTAGAAAAGTCTGTCATGTCAATGATTTCCAATTCAGGTGGGTATATATGATGGATGTGGTTAATAAAATTCTTGTTATTTAAAGAAAATACATCATCAATATATCTGAGGGCTAAATTATAACTTTGCAAGGTCTTTGGGACCTGTTTTGACAAGTCCTTCAATAAATTCAGCTTCGTATGAACTGGTCAACCAACAGAGGAGTGTAATAACAGTAGTTCCCATAAGTAAGTCTGTTGGAAGATCTTCATACCACCAAAATCAATATGTATGGCACTGTTCATCTTTCTTGGAACAGAAAGCTCTCATAACAAGAGAACGAAGGCATTCTGTCAGCTTGGTTGAACAGCGAGAAGAGCCAGCAATAAAACTTGTTTATATGGATTCTTGTGAAGGTTAGGAATCCAATATAAACTGGAGAGGTCTGTATCCTTACCATCAATATCTAAGAAATTGCAGAAGTTTTTCTACTTTGAAAGTATGGTGGAATGTTAACATGAACAGACTTCTGGTGTAAAATATTGCTGATATTGATGGCATCCACTTCCTTATTTACAAACTCAACTTTCATATATTGCCAAGTTGTTGGAGGGTCGTGGCCACCTGTTCAGACAAGTTTAAAATGCCTGATCTGTGCCACATCATCAATAACTGTTCCGACAAGTTTAAAATGCCTGATCTGTGCCACATCATCAATAACTGTTCCGACAAGTTTCAAATGCCTGATCTGTGCCACATCATCAATAACTGTTCCGACAAGTTTAAAATGCCTGATCTGTGCCACATCATCAATAACTGTTCCGACAAGTTTCAAATGCCTGATCTGTGCCACATCATCAATAACTGTTCTGACAAGTTTAAAATGCCTGATCTGTGCCACATCATCAATAATTTTATGAAGTCTCAAAGTTAGTTTTTCTCGTGTCACCAGATGCAGTATTAGCTGAATCCACTTGTTTTTGTAGCACTGATGGAGGAAGCAAATATAACATATGTGGTATCTTAAAAATGATTTTTGGTATACTGGAAAGGTACTCAGATAATATTGAATGAATATAGTGAATGGAGTAGGATAAGGTCATTCAAGAAATAATAATCACATGTTTGTACTTTGTATGAGCACAAAAACAGATTCATGATGGTTGCTATGGCCTGTTTAGTTCATCCTTCCAACATTTCAAATCCTGGTATCAAATATTTTGACATTATTTATAAACATTTTAATTATATCTTAGCCTTTGTGTATTTGGATGTCTAAAAAAATACACGAAAATCAAATAATATCTTTAAACAAGATGCCCATGGGCCTTAACAGTTACCTGGCTACAAAAGAGATGGGAGAAGGGTTATTTTTCCTATTTTAAATGAAATGTTATCAAGAAGCTGCTTTCTATGATGCAGATAGTAGTTTTGGTGAGGAGTTGATAACTGTAACAAGTGTTACCTATGTTTTCATAGTAAAGTTGCAGCTCAATCCAAATGATGAAATTTGAGAAGTTTGAAATTGTTTGATTGTACAATCATATTACAAAATGGCCTCCCCGACTGCCATGTTAATTTTTGACAAAATCAAAACATAATAACACTTTTTTGGCTACCTTTCTTTAACATTCCCAACAATTTTTAGCTCAAAGGCACCAGTGGAAATGAAGAAGTTTAAAATATGTTTTTCAAGATGGTGGCCATCTTGAATTTCAGACATATCTGAAAAATAACAACGCATGATCAGGATCATTTCACACAAGTTGGAGCTCAATTTCACTGGTGAAACTTGAGAAGTTTGAAATAGGTATTGCACAGGAAAACCATGATTACACAATCATGTTACAAAATGGCCTCCCTGGCTGCTGTGTCGAAGCTTTGACAAGGTCGAAAAATAACAACACTTCATTGGCTACTTTTCCTTAACATTCCCATCAAGTTTAAGCTCAATGGCACCAGTGGAACTGGAGAAGTTTAAAATATGTTTTCCAAGATGGCACCATCTTGTATTTCAGACTGACCCAAAAAAAAACAACACTTGGTTAGGACCATCTCAGGATCATTTCATGCAAGTTTGAGCTGAATCCCAAAGGTGGAACTTGAGAAAAAGTTAAAAATGTCAAAAGTTTACAGATGATGGACAGTGCATGACGAAAGACAAAGCACATTGGCTATAGGTCATCATGACCCTTCAGGCCAGATGACCTAAAAAGTTATATTGCAGAAACCAAATAGTGAACATTCATCAATTGGAACATGTTTTTAAGTTCGTCACATCAATAAGAAACTGGCAAGTGTTATGACTCTAATGACTGAAAGGTTGACAGAGAACATCAGTGGAAAAATTGAATGCATGAGCAGGGTTTGAACCTGGGACAATCCTGAATCTAGATGAACATCTGCTAGTAGTATATCATGGTTTCACTGTAGATTGTCAGGTGAGCATGTACAGCCATGAAGTATTAGCATGATAAAACATGGTATATTAACAGGAAAAGTTTGAGAAATTCTGATGTAATTGTACTAAATAACACAACATTCTGGTAACACAAGAGGTTCAATAGGTCTGTATCACTCAATTAGCTTCTGGATATTCATCTTACAGGTCAACAAAGATTCACTCTCATTTCCACTTAACCTGGCTTAACACTTAAACACATTTACCAGTACATCAGTGCGGTTGTTTTAAATCTCTGCTGACTAAGTTTAATCAAACATACCTTATGAGATTAAACTTTCTCTACATAATGGATACCCAACTTCATAGTCCTCTATCTCTGTTCACTGCTCTTCCAATATTCATATGACAAGGCCTGGTGGTCATTCAGAAGTCATTTAACTTGATCATGTGACCTTAAATATTAAAACAGGTCATTTGATTATTTCAGTATTCTTCTGGCCACAGACCACTTTAGTTCTCTTCGCAATTTGTTATTATGTTGTGGGTTGAGATTTTTAACATAGCTGTCCCCTCTTATCTATAAAAGTGTCTTGTTTTCAAGGCTGATTACATCTCAATGTGTTCTTTAAATCTTCTGTAATTTTCTGTAGTCATCTGATAAAGGTGTGCATCAAGTTGTTGATATTTCAGGATATTTGTAGATCTGCTGGAAAATATTTCATCCTCAACAATGAGAAACAAAAGTTCTACATCAGATTAAGTCTATTACATAATTTATTAAACAAGACAAAGCTATAGTTATAGATACACATATTTATCACACTATAACTAGCTCTTCCTAACAATTCGCACATTCACCTCTTTCATTGACCTAAGGAATATCACTAACATGTTTGTGTTCACAGTTCCGCATGTCGTACATCACTTGACTGTAGTTCAATGATCCACAGAACCATATGTATTTACATCCCTTGATTGATCCAAACATATAGTGCCTTACATCCCTTTACAATGGTTCACTGATTTATAAATGCAGTGTTTGACATAATTTGACTGTAGTTCTACAATGTAACAGTATGATAGTTTATAGGACATTACTGTTGTTAACTGGTCCATATACTAAGTACAAGCAAACATTCACCATTCTATCACAATATATACATATATTTCAAACAAATTATTCCTGTGTAAAATATTACACAAAAGTTATATATCCCATATTTACTAAAATATTGTTGTAAAACTTTGCACAAATGTAAAGGGTTAAACTGTCACAGATGTGATAGGTTTATTTGCAAATTCATTGAAGCTGTAAACTTTACACAAACGTATGAAAAACATACACAAATATAACAAATGTAAAACTACACAAATGTGTTATGATGCAAACTCCAACAACCTCTAGGTTGATGCTCTACCAATACAATGTAAAGTTGTCATCAAAACTCATTACAGTTATAATTCTATCAAATTTATTACTTTGAAATATTGTACAACAATAAGCTGAACAAATTCCATTCTAAATGTCAATACGACAAATACTTTTAATACAAATGAAATTTAGAATGACCATTCAATATGATCAAAGTCAAGGACATAGGCAGCTATTGTGTACCTATGGCCGAGATTAACATGGTTCTAACACAATCACACGATCGTGTATCTCAGAAACCTAGTAACATGTTGCTGCCATGGTGATATACCATATTTCCTAAGATAACAATAGTAATAATGAGATGTCACAGATGTCAAAATACTGGTCTAAACATGGTGATGTGTATTGGTTATTTAAGATATTACCATGTATCACCTAGGACATTGTGATACAATACAGTGTTACCATGTATCACCTAGGACATTGTGATACAATATAGTGTTACCATGTATCACCTAGGACATTGTGATACAATACAGTGTTACCATGTATCACCTAGGACATTGTGATACAATACAGTGTTACCATGTATCACCTAGGACATTGTGATACAATACAGTGTTACCATGTATCACCTAGGACATTGTGATACAATACAGTGTTACCATGTATCACCTAGGACATTGTGATACAATACAGTGTTACCATGTATCACCTAGGACATTGTGATACAATACAGTGTTACCATGTATCACCTAGGACATTGTGATACAATACAGTGTTACCATGTATCACCTAGGACATTGTGATACAATACAGTGTTACCATGTATCACCTAGGACATTGTGATACAATACAGTGTTACCATGTATCACCTAGGACATTGTGATACAATACAGTGTTACCATGTATCACCTAGGACATTGTGATACAATACAGTGTTACCATGTATCACCTAGGACATTGTCATACAATACAGAGTAACTGTAGTACTGTTTTTAGGCAATACATTACTGATTACTTTGGACAGATGACCTGACTACTATATTAATACATACACATATCAAACCACTCATCATCTGAACATAGCTTTCAACTTGTCAAGCCAAACTTCAATGTTTTAGTAAGTTTTGTTTTCTAATATCACTGATGATTACATTGTTAGACTACCTATATAAATAATATATAATAATAATTAAATATTGATCACTAGAAATGAATAATGATAAAACAGTGTATAATCTTTGACATACTTTTCTCTACACTTATCTACATTCATAATCTCATTCATACATAAGTCTACACACTCTCTCATACAACCCAGTAATGAATCAATGTTAGTCTTCAGTTACATAAAGCTAATACTTTACACAAAAACATGATTTACGAAAAAGATATAAGGAATTAAATTATCAAAGCATTTTACAGCGCTAAGATACAAAGAAGAAATATTGACACTCACAACTTGCTGTTTGTATCAGAAATAAATTTCAATAATACAACAATTTGTACATCTCTTCCTGTTTTATGTTTTAACATCTCAGATTGAATCATTTCTAGGGTTCTACATTATCAAATATGTTGTAATTTGACATCTTCCTAAGTCCTCTCACATAGAGGTTAAAGATTTTTAATTCCCTACCACTTCGAAGCTTACGTTCAACTTGAAAATTAAAAGAAAATTTTTTTATCTTTTCACTTACACATTAAATCAGAATTTTATGATATCGTAAAATAAAATGATTAGGTGATCACAGGAGCCTCGCATTACATGTTCCACAGTTAGTATAAAACAAATTTCTATGCCTTTTAATGACAAAACTTATTGACCATAGTTATACATTCACTTCCCATATGAGTATTTCTGCATGGGCCACAGAGAATAGATATTTACTATCAGCAGAGAATTTGACAACAGTCACAGAGTCATTGTGGCCAGTAAAATCTTGGAAGCTTCCTTCATAATAATCCATCAGCTTCATCAGACGTTCTGTAAATAAAAAAGACATATGCAATGGTACTTATCCAGTAAGAATTAATTGTTTTATGATATTGCACATCTTTTTAAAATGCAAGTTATGTTTTGATATATTATCACAATATTTTATCTATGGCAATAATTCTGTAATTCTGTGATTAAGAACTTTTGAGATCTATCTACCTATGAAATTTTATGTTGTTACCTCATATGGTTTTAGGATATGTTCCAGACAAAATTATGATGGATGGATGGATGGACAAAGTGGTGACTATATGTTCTCCCTTCAGGGAGCATGAAAAGTCCATAAACAATTCTACATTTCTAATTTTGGTTGTTGGGAGAATAAAGAGGAAAGAAGGCTTTAAGTTGTTTGAGCCTCCAGAACAAACAATTTACCAAGCATTATCCAGATCTATGAGCCCCCATCACTGAAATTTTACCACATATTATCCAGATCTATGAGCCCCCATCACTGAAATTTTACCACATATTATCCACTAAAAGTTTACCACATATTATCCATATGTATGAGCCCCCATCACTGAACTTTTACCACATATTATCCAGATCTCTGTGCCTCCAGCACTAAAAGTTTACCACATATTAGCCAGATCTATGAGCCCCAAGGTATAAAAGTTTACCATGCATTATCCATATCTATGAGCTCCGTGCACTATAGTATACTATGTGTTACCAAGATCTATGCATGATTTACCCTAAGTTCCCAATTCTATAAAAGATCTACCTTTAGACACTATATTTGCAGAGGTTAAGTTTACCTTTAGTTCAAGAGTCATAAGTGACTTATTGGTCCCTAAACTATGAAAGACTTACCATTAGCACCCAAAGCAATCAAAGAGGAGGTGGGGCTCATATCCATACATGTTGACCAATGTGTTAGTGCTGATGTCCGCACCACCTGCACAAAGCAATCATGTTAATGAAGCTGTGATGAGACTAAAATTCTGTTTCAATGTAAACATGGAAAAATATATATACTATAATTCATACAGATTTATTATGTTAATTTAGAAATCTTTCATTTGTTTCTAAATAGTGTCTAAGAGTTTTATTTCCTTAAGATATATAACAGCTATATGATGCAGTTTAATTCACTGTTTGACCCTACTGTTTCTAAATCTTAATTTGTATGAAAAGGTGCTACTCATTTGTGTGTCTATCGTACAGCCTCCAAAGGAATCCATATCTAAACAAGTCTCAGAAAATTAGGAAATTCTCTATCACACAAATCTTTTAGAATTAAAGTTTAGAAGCAGATATTGCATATACCTTGCGTTGTGATAAGCTGTAGAACTGCACATGTTTCTGACTGCCATATCCTGTGTAGATTATAATATCTTGCTCCTCTGGAGAAAATTTTGCAATACTTGGGGGCAGGTTACCATATAAGCCCTGAAAAATTGCAAACAAAAAAATTTCATACTCATATCCAGTATCTATTAATAATATGTGTATGTCAAACTTTGTGATAAACAACCAAAAGGAATCTGATATCAACATATCTACCTACCTGATCTTGTTTAGCGATGACAGCGCCATCTGGTGTGTATGCTGGAGCTGGGAATGTCAGCCAATCTACCAGTTCACAGAAGTCCTTTGACCAGTCAGCAGACCAAACACTGACACGACGGTCAGCACTAGTGGCGAGCCACAGTAGTGGGGCAGTGATACCTACATCTTGGTCCTTGGTTCAAAACAAACAGCTATTTATTGCAATTATCAGCCAGGTCCTACATCAATACACAGTGGGCTATTATAGATCTTCCATTATCACAGGTAGGCTGTTATTATTGATAATGGTCACAGGTGGGCAGTTACAGAAATTGGATTGCCACAAAATAATGAAAGTAATTACACATTGAAAATCGTTTCAGTACTGTATTTCAGTTAATTCCAAAAATGACAACTATCAATTTTTAAAAATGCACCCTTTATATTTCAGTATACAGTGCAACATCCCAATCCTTCTCAAAACCAATCATTATAATATCTACAGAGTCTTTAATGCATTCAGTAACTTGGACATGTGTAGTTTAAATGCCAAGGAAAAATCTATATCATAGTATTGTACAGTATAGCATTCAACCAATTATATCAGGGTTTAGACTGGTCTACTTCATTCACTTCTGAAAACTCTACCCTCCCCAAATTGGCATGTTACATACATGGTCAGTTTGGGAAGTTCCTATGTACAATTACTTGCTATTTAAAAATGTAGGCATAGTTAAAAAAGTACACATAAGTGGTTTACAGTAACTAATACTGATGAAATACATAATTATAGTATCTATAAACACTATAGTATGCTTATTTATAAAATCACACAATATCTATATTGGTTTGTGTACCTGTTTGTCTGTGACATCAATACTGGTGATGGGGGCACCCTTGTGGTCATTGATAACACGGACAGTCATTCCAGTGGTGGGACTGCTGACTGCAATCAGGCCATCACTTCCTCCAGATATTATCATTCGTCCTGAACAAATGTATCAAAATGAAATCATTTTCCGTGCTAGATATGAATTCTAATAAGTTTTAATGAAAGAGATTATAACTACAAACATTTCCTAATTACTTTTTGTATAAAGTGTTTCGAACAATCTTTCACTAGTTATATCTATTAACCTTCACCAAGCAGAAGATTCATTGTTCGGGGAAAAAGACCTTAGTTAGAGTATCTTGTTTGTGTTGGTAACTGATAAAACATCCAGTTTTGACTTAATATATTGAAGTACTACACACATCCCTTTCCTTGATACCTACCATCAGAGGAGAAACTGATAGCAGTAACAGCGACTGCATGAGGGTGCATCTTGAGTACCATTTCCACCTTATTAGGGTCAAACAGGCGTACAGTGCCATCACTGTACCCAGACACAAGATGAGGTAGTTGATTATTCTCTCGATGCTGGTGGGCCACCACAGGGGCCTCCTCCACATTACTTACTGTTGTCATGGTGACAATGTCTGGACCCGAAGGGGCAAATGCTACACAGGTGCAAGACTGAGAAACAGAAATCCAAAGTTAGAATTTACATGAAAAGTTTATATAACCTACCAATTTATGGGGTATCTTGTACTTTATAAGCATGCCAAGAAAAAACACAAACTTTTCTTCTTCATATAGAGACGAGATCATAACACCACCTCGACCGGAGTCTTTAACACAATAGTTTACAACACTTATGGTAAAAGGAACATGTGTATTTATTCTTCTTGTTTTGTTACTGTTCCAAATGATGCATTATAAAGTGTAAAATATAACATAATACTAATTATGTAAGACTCGGCTAAAACTTCTGTAAAAGGGAAATAACGAAAAACTGATGCAATGTGGCCAATACATTTGTGAAGTATTTTAGTCCAAACTTGTAGCAGATGTTGAACTGTTTTAAGGTAACAACTTTGTAAGTGAGGCATAGCTCCTCAAAAATAGCCAGAAAATGGGTTAAGGACTGAAGAACTTAGGAGCAACTACCTGATCCCGGACTTGGAACTGTAAGAGCTGTTCTCGGTCCTCGATTGACCAAACACGCAAACTTCCGTCATTAGCACAAGATGCCACATGGGAACTACTGCAGGAAGATAGGCCGTTCACCTGGTAAAAGAACACAGTAAATCTACATTAAATAGGTACATTAAGGCAGTAAACACATACATCAAACTTATTTCTGACTGTGGTTCACATATCCATCACATTTTTATAGACAACAATCACATAAATGTACATCACAGTTAAAATTATTTAAACACAAACAGGCTATTTACTGTATTCTATGCAATGCAAAATGGACTTGGACTTCAAATTCAGGAATGATTTTTGCCTTCGTTTTTTTTTCAATTGAAACAAACCAAATTTATTCTACACAATTTAGATAAAATTATGACAAGGAAAATTAATAACTTCCATCTGATATCTGATACAGAAAATATTGATCTTTACTGTATCTTTTTCATTTATCAGTAAAAAGATATAAATACCAGGATTATTTTATCTAAGTCTATAATTATCAAGTACAAATATATTTTTAAAAAAGTATTGGAACAAATTTTGCAATTTATATCTTAGTTTTAAGACATTTTAAAAAAAGATACAGGTAAATTTTTGTGATTAACTTACTAATTTTCCTAGTGTTATCACCATACTGCTGTTCTTATTCCCATTAAAATATATTCAGGGGTCAGGACTCAGGATATTTTATACAATTCCTTGCTTAGTTAAATACGTAGTATGAATGGAAAAATAATTTGGTTACAAAATTTTGAATACAGGATTTTTTAACAAAATATGAAGGACATTGTATATGACAATAGTACCAAGTGTGTTTTTCTTTTCTTAAACCACCTAGTATGTTTAAGAATTTATTGAAACAAGAGTACTGAAACCGCATGTGATATTTTTTATTACAGATCATATTAACATTTAATTATGTCAAAATAATCAGCTCTATTATTTAAACATGGATTTTGACCCAATTATATTTGACTCCTAAATTAATGATTTGGTGAAAAAATTTCGAGTTTGGAGAAAATTTTGTCACAAGAATTTCGAAAGGTGGTGTGAACCCTGGGTGACTTTGAGTCGTACCTACCCTAGACATGTGACTTTGAGTCGTACCTACCCTAGACATGTGACTTTGAGTCGTAACTACCCTAGACATGTGACTTTGAGTCGTACCCACCCTAGACATGTGACTTTGAGTCGTAACTACCCTAGACATGTGACTTTGAGTCGTACCTACTCTAGACATGTGACTTTCAGTTGTACCTACCCTAGACATGTGACTTTGAGTCGTACCTACCCTAGACATGTGACTTTGAGTCGTAACTACCCTAGACACGTGACTTTGAGTTGTACCTACCCTAGACATGTGACTAGATACCAGGCGGATACTTGTTCTCTCAGGCCAGTTGATGTACCACAGTGTACCGGAACTTGTACCCACAATTCCCTGCAACCAAAACAATAAATTATACATAAATGGAATTAATGTACATTCACTTAGATATTACAAGACCTTCATGATAAGACATAGATTTGCAGTGTTTTACAATATACAATAGTGACTACAAGTTAATCTCAGTCATTTACGTTGCTATTGTCAAATGTGTTAAGAATACACGAAGAACATGCTAAATGCTGAAAAATCAAGTCACACAAATGCAGTGAGTTGACACATTCAGTAACAAAGTTACAAGTAATTGTGTGTCTTTCATGTCCTTACTTGGCCATATCATCAGGAATTAACAGAATAACAAATAACTATGTCTTGTGTGTCTTCACTTCCCAATATCATCAGGATTTAGCCAATATGTATGTAGAGAGAAATTAAGACCCATGTAAACTCAAATGCAAACCATGACACAATAAGATAAAAATTCTTAAGTTGATATTAAGCTGATCATTCAATTATGCAACATTGTATACATCCAGTAAAGCAATCCAAGCCATTTTCTATATGTAAGTTTGACATGTAGCCTCAAGAAAAAAATTGTAGCTACAAAGAACAAACACAATACAAATGAGAGGCTGTACCATATCTAGTGCCTCATCAAATGCTAGAGACACAACTTCTCCATCCACATTCATTTCATCTTCCATTGTCAGACCCCCTCCTCGCATGTTATTGTGCTCTCCTGGCAGTCGCATCTCTCCAACACCTACGATGGACCACATTCGAAGATTGCGTCCAGTACTTCCTGTCAGGAGACGGCCACCACGACAAACTAAGGCACCTATATGTAAAATATTCCTAATCAGACATACATCTCCACCCTGTCATTGGACAGTCATCATGAAATAATAAGGAACCTTTATATTCATAATATTCATAATCAAAGGTACATCACCACCTGTGTAGATTGATCACCGGCCAGGTTGGCAACATCATCCTTCCTTACCAATCTCACAGTTGTCTGCCTCCCAGTGCATGAAGCATGTGTTATGACGGGTATCCCAGGCAGACACCTTGCCGTTGTTAGTTGATGCATAAAGTGTGCTGTCTCCTGCATATTCCATTGATGTAAAGTCTACTGATCTGCTCCCCTACATTAACATAAAAAAGGTTTGTAATATTAACAAATTAACCATCATAGTTCCTTTACATGAGATAATCAGTTTGGTGCCTTTAATAGTACAAATAGACATATCACAGAGATACCTTTTTTTAATGAGTTAACAGTAAAAAGTAAATCCTTATGAATCAAAACACTAACCATATGGTGAGTTTGTAAGAGTTCATCTGGAACCTCTGCCTCATGGACATTGAGACACACTTCATTGGACGTTTCATCAAGGAGCCAAAACAGCACGGTGCCGTTCTCCCCCACTGAGGCAAACTCATTGACAGTGTAAGGGTCCCATTTGAGTTCATGGATAGGACTGGTCACTCTGGAACTTGTCAGTATCTCATAGTCATAGGTACTCCATACAACCACACAGCAATCTCTATAATCACCTAGAACACAAGGATTATAAGATGCATAGCAGACCTTACATGAGATTCCAACCGTAGAGATTAGAAGCCTTTGATAAAGTACGAGGAAAAAGTCCAGATGAAAATAAATCCAAGATTCAGTTTATCACAAAAAGCAGATACTTCTACAAACATTCGTGAAGACAGCATTCAAACCGATACAAATTGGCAATATTCTCACTTTATACTTCTTTGGTGACATCATGCCTGCCCCACTTGGTCATAATGGGACAACTATGTGAAACAGAAATTTTAGTCACTAATAGCAAATTAAGAGGATGTAGAAGGTTTTATCAATTTGAAGTATAATAAAGGCTATTGCACTCATTAAGGTAGCACTCACCAACAGATATAAGGAAGCGGTCGTCACGAGAGAAGGCCAGTGAAACGATGTCATGTTCATGGTGCTGTAGGACTTTGTGACATACCATATCCTTAAGGTTCCAAAGACAAATCTGACTGGCCGACAGACCAAAGGAGCCACTAGCCGAGGCCAACATCTAAAGTCAACAGATCATTAGCATAAATAAAATACATGATGGTACTGAGAGGAAGGTTTCGAGAATTGGGAGTCTGATGACAAGGTATATAACTGGACAAACACTGTTTGTGGAGAGAGTTAAATAAAAATTATCACTATAATAATGGACAGTCACACCTTTGCCTAAATAGACTGCAAGGCAATGTTTAAAATCATACCAAGATTATATAGCTTAAAATATTTACTTCATTTATCATAAAATCATTTGAAATACATAGAACCAAGAACACGCATAACATACATAATGGATGTGTGATGTTTCCTGCTGATACCCTAAGGGTGGATACATACCAGACTTATCAGCAACAGTTTTGTTGACATGTTTATTTTTGCTTTATGTAACACATATTATATTCTCTATTAGTCAACACAACAACTGAGAATTCCTGAGCTTAATGAAGTATTCAGAGACAGCCCTACACATCTATTCTCCATCGAGGTCCTCTACTTTTGCCCTCTGCCCTACAGAAGATTTCCTCTGCCCTACATTAGACTTTCCCACCAGACATATATAATTAAAAGGTGTGTGTATGACTAGCCCTGTAGCAGTGGAAGCCAATATGACTAAGGTTAAACTCCCTTGGCTAAGCTGTGTGTTAGCCTGTCTGCTATCAGAGCGGTCCACCTCCCGATGACAACTAACCTTGCATTATACAATGCATCTAGTCCCATTTCCCTCTTCAAACCTTCACCTAAATACATTGTATACATGATTAGGAATACACAAAGCCAATTTGATAACTGCATAGAGAAAACATGTCAATACCTTACCTGGCAATCATTCTGTAAGGCCATTGTTGAGATCTCCTCCACATGTCCTGTAAGATGTCTCTGTTGTCCTGTGTTTAGGTCCTCCACAACAATCAAACAGCCACAAGTGTAGGCAAACAGACCTGTACAAATAAGTGTAGACAAAGAGATCTGTACAAGTAAGTGGAGACAAACAAATTTGTACAAATAAGAGTAGGCAAACAGACCTGTACAAATAAGTGGAGACAAACAGACCTGTACAAATAAGTGGAGACAAACAGACCTGTACAAATAAGTGGAGACAAACAGATCTGTACAAATAAGTGTAGACAAAGAGACCTGTACAAATAAGAGTAGGAAAACAGACATGTGAGTAAGATTGACAAACTCAATATAAGTGTAAGTAACCAGACCAGTAAATGAAGGCAAACAGATCTGATCAAATAAGTTAAGCAACCAGACCTGTACAAACAAGCATATCAAGTTTTGCTGAAGCAATACATGCTGGCCCCCACAAGCTCTTAACTTTAATGATTAACTAATTTTCTAAAAATAGTAACAGCAACCATGACCCAACAACCGTGATATTTGTACTTGTACAAATTGATGCTTTTCAAGTGTGTGAAGTTTGATGAGAATCCCTCCAGGAATGAAGACAACAGAGTGCGGACAATAGTTTTCAAAAATAGCAAAGGTGACCTTGACCTAAAAAAGTTAATGCACTTGAAACTTGTTGTCTTGAAATTGCTTCAGTCCAAATTCCATTTGAGTCGAAATAATTTTCAAGTCCCAATTTTTTCCCTTCTATATCTTTGTATTTTTAGTTCGGATGACTTGAATTTCATTGAGTCGAAATTTCGGTTGGGTCAAGGCAATTTTTTAGTCCCTTCAATTGTAAAGCAATGGAATGATACCACTAGAGCAGTGACAAACTCTCACAGACACAGGGACTGTACAGACACAGAGGAAAGCTATTAACCTGTGTAGTACTTATGTAGTACTTACCTGTGTCAGGATGCCACACCATATTTCCTCTGCCGTTTCCATTGTAGCCAATCACAGACTTGAGTTTCAGACCAGCCTGGTTTGGAGGGGCAGTGTATCTTCTCTGTCAAAAGAGAAAATTATGGGTTACTCAGACTAGAAAAATATCAACATTACTTGAATGACACATAAAAAAATAAAGGTAGAATTATGCATTGGATACTCCATGGTCTATGCGTATAATAGTTCACTGCGGCAGTTATTGAGAGTAACTCTTTCATAATATTTGTCAATGTTTGCATTGCTGAACTATGTAAAACCAGAACTATGTATTACAACTTACCAAATTTTAGGTGGACACCCCAAACCCTCTCAACCCATTCCCACATTGTTTTTCAATGCTTTCCAGAGACATACAAAATATATATAGGATCATGGCAGACTCATAAATAACATAATTACATGGGTAAAGAAACAAGGACAGACAACTTATCAGTTAACAGTTACAAAAGCTTTTAAGTGAAAAATAAAAATAAATTTTTTTGAGAAATGAAAACAAAACACACCTGTGCCATGCCATATGTCTGTTCCCGCTGTATGAAGTGTTTGTGTGAGGAAGGTTTCACTACCTCACCCTCTCTCTTTTCTCCAGGGCTAACCACAGGAGCCTTCTTGCCTTGATTCTGCTTTCCTGCACTGAACCGTTTATGCTTTTGACGCTGGGGACTGGGAGCAAGAGGTTCAACTGCATCTTCCTCATCCTACAAACCAATCACAAGTAATACAATGTCAACATCCTCATACGGCAAACAAATCACAGGTAATATGTCAACATTCTCATCCTGCAAACAAATCACAGGTTATATGTCAACATTCTCATACTGCAAACAAATCACAGGTTATATGTCAACATTCTCATACTGCAAACAAATCACAGGTTATATGTCAACATTCTCATCCTACAAACAAATCACAGGTAATACAATGTCAACAATCTCATACTGCAAACAAATCACAGGTTATATGTCAACATTCTCATACTGCAAACAAATCACAGGTTATATGTCAACATTCTCATCCTGTTAACAAATCACAGGTTATATGTCAACATTCTCATCCTGCAAACAAATCACAGGTTATATGTCAACATTCTCATCCTACAAACAAATCACAGGTAATGCAATGTCAACTAGACCAATGTCGAGGAAGGGCCCCGCATAATACCTACCCCTTATGATTGAGTTTCTTAATATTAATGTGAAAAATGGTAATACAGTATGTAAATAATTGAAAATGGTATGAATTTCATACTGAAAACAAAAATCACAGGTTATATGTCAACACATAGCAATTTTGGTTGTTTTAATGAGTGTTAGGTCAAATATATACATTTGTAATAGACAATGGTGAAAAATGGTTTAAAATGTGATTTTTGAGAATATCTGAATCATATAATGTTCCTGAATATGCTTTATACAAGCATATCAAAGTTATTGTAATTATTACCTAGTACATGAAATCTACAAATATTTGCTTGTGGTCACTGTAGTATGTCCACACTGTGTCACTTGTGCAAACAAATCAAGGTCTCTTGTCCAGACATGATCAATATGCAAACAAATCTCTGGTTAGTATGGAGCAGTTCTCATCTTTACGTAGAAAGCAACGTTGTGTTGGCAAATCACACGTTATATGTCCCCTCCTATGACAGAGGAAGATTGAGTCTTGTGCAAAAAGCAGTTGATGACAGCCTGGACTTCTAAGACATGTCTGCAAACAAATCACAGGTTATATGAACAACAAGTGAATCACAGACAACTTATGGACAGGTGTCAAGTATTGAAAGCAACTTTCATACTGCAAACAAATCACAGGTTATATGTCAATATATGGATCGACAGACAGGCAAACAAATCACAGGTTATATGTGAACATTGAACTCGAATGAGGGGCTTACTGCAAACAAACCAAGTATATGTCAACAATCTCACAAAGTAAGTTTTAAACAAATCCCAAATCATTCCTTCAGAAGATATTCTCTGTAAAACACAGCCAATCAGATTGCAGCAGCCTCATTAAATATACGGAATTCGATGTCAACATCGAACTGCAAACAAAGGGACTATATGTACCAAGTATCATAAGCAAGTTTCATCGAAATCCCATCATTCCTTCAAAATCAAATCACAGGACATGTAAAACATTCAGCCAATCAGATTGCAGCAGCCTCAAACAAATCACAGGAATTTGGCGAACATCGAACTTGAGGGACTTATGTACCAAGTATCATAAGCAAGTTTCATCGAAATCTCATCATCACAGGTTATATGTCAACAGCGAAACGGACAGACAGAAACACAATCACAGGCACCCACATCGCGATGTCAACAATCTCATACTGCAAACAAATCACAGGTTATATGTCAACATTCTCATCCTACAAACAAATCACAGGTTATATGTCAACATTCTCATACTGCAAACAAATCACAGGTTATATGTCAACATTCTCATCCTGCAAACAAATCACAGGTTATATGTCAACATTCTCATCCTGTTAACAAATCACAGGTTATATGTCAACATTCTCATCCTGCAAACAAATCACAGGTAATACAATGTCAACAATCTCATCCTGCAGACAAATCACAGGTTATATGTCAACATTCTCATCCTGCAAACAAATCACAGGTTATATGTCAACAATCTCATCCTGCAAACAAATCACAGGTTATATGTCAACATTCTCATCCTGCAAACAAATCACAGGTTATATGTCAACATTCTCATCCTGTTAACAAATCACAGGTAATCCATTGTCAACATCCTCTTCCTGTTAACAAATCACAGGTAGAATGCCAACATTCTCATACTGTAAATTAATCACAGGTTATATATTGTCAACATCCTCATCCTGTTAACTAGAATGCCAACATTCTCATCCTGTAAATTAATCACAGGTTATATAATGTCAACATCCTCATCCTGTTAACTAGAATGCCAACATTCTCATCCTGTGAACTAGAATGCCAACATTCTCATCCTATAATCCTGATCTTAGTACACACCAAAGTTTGATATTTATTTGTTCTTTAATAGATGGAGTTTTTCCCTTTTCTCTTCTTTCTGCTGCTTTTTTTAATCTTATTTACTTAAAACAAAAATATTCCTATGAAGAAAATGTGATAATAATCTCATCAATGCATTGTCAAATAAACTGATAGGCTATCCGTTTACAAAGAAATATCCTGTCTTTTCATCAATGAGAACTCGGGGTCAATATCACAGCACTCAGAACTCACAGACATGTATATATTTTACCACATTATAATAAAGAGATCCCAGAGGGATCTTGGCGCCCACCATTTGACGATCTGTTTTCAGTTCTTGAAGATTTGTTTATTTTTTTTGTTTGTTTGTTACAGATGTTCATGAACTGGTCTTCATTGAATGTACTCAATGATGGCACAAGATATTTTTATTAAGCACCTATTAGCAAATATCATTTGAAAAAGATCCCAAAGTATTATTAGATAGCAGTCAGTTACAGGTGGATAATGGACAATATGCTTGTGCTGTATTACTGTCAACATCCAAGATGGCTGCCTGTGGGCCACCTTGATTTCAAATCAGTCCAAAACAGGTACAATGCACAACTAGGGACCAAGGGAAACCAATATCTATGAAATATCAGAAGAATCCATCCAGTACTTCCTCAGATATAGCAGTAACAAGATTTTACTCTCAAAATCCAAGATGGCTGCCTGTCAGTCATCTTGATTTCGGAACAGTCCAAAAAGGTATAATGCACAACTAGGAAATAAAGGGAACCAGCATATGAAATATGAGAAAGATCCATCCAGTACTTTCCAAGAAATAGCGGTAACAAACTTTTACTTCCAAAATCCAAGATGGCCACCTGTCGGCCATCTTCAATTCGAATCAGTCCAAAAAAAGTACAATGCACAACTAGGGACCAAGGGGAAACTGCATATGAAATTTGAGAAAGATCCATCCACAACTTTCCAAGAAATAGAGGTAACAAACTTTTACTTCCAAAATCCAAGATGGCCACCTGTCGGCCATCTTGAATTTGAATCAGTCCAAAAAAGGTACAATGCACAACTAGGGACCGAGGGGAAACTGCACATGAAATTTGAGAAAGATCCATCCAGTACTTTCTCAGAAATAGCGGTAACAAACTTTTACCTCTAAAATCCAAGATGGCCACCTGTCAGCCATCTTGAATTCGAATCAGTCCAAAAAAGGTACAATGCACAACAAGGGGCTAAGGGGAACCTGCATATGAAATTTGAGAAAGATCCATCCAGTACTTTCCAAGAAATAGCGGTAACAACCTTTTACTTCCAAAATCTAAGATGGCCACCTGTCGGCCATCTTGAATTCTAATCAGTCCAAAAAAGGTACAATGTACAACTAGGGACCGAGAGGAAACTGCACATGAAATTTGAGAAAGATCCATCCAGCACTTTCTCAGAAATAGCGGTAACAAACTTTTACTTCTAAAATCCAAGATGGCCACCTGTCGGCCATCTTGAATTTGAATCAGTCCAAAAAAGGTACAATGCACAACTAGGGACCAAGGGGAACCTGCTTATGAAATTTGAGAAAGATCCATCCAGTACTTTCCAAGAAATAGCGGTAACAAACTTTTACATCAAAAATCCAAGATGCCCACCTGTCGGCCATCTTGAATTCGAATCAGTCCAAAAAAGGTACAATGTACAACTAGGGACCGAGAGGAAACTGCACATGAAATTTGAGAAAGATCCATCCAGCATTTTCTCAGAAATAGCGGTAACAAACTTTTACTTCTAAAATCCAAGATGGCCACCTGTCGGCCATCTTGAATTTGAATCAGTCCAAAAAAGGTACAATGCACAACTAGGGACCAAGGGGAACCTGCTTATGAAATTTGAGTATTATTAAAAGATCCATCCAGTACTTTCCAAGAAATAGCGGTAACAAACTTTTACATCCAAAATCCAAGATGCCCACCTGTCGGCCATCTTGAATTTGAATCAGTCCAAAAAAGGTACAATGCACAACTAGGGACCAAGGGGAAACTGCATATGAAATTTGAGAAATATCCATCCAGTACTTTTCCAGAAATAGCGGTAACAAACTTTTACCTCTAAAATCCAAGATGGCTGCCTGTCAGCCATCTTGAATTCGAATCAGTCCAAAAAAGGTACAATGTACAACTAGGGACCGAGAGGAAACTGCACATGAAATTTGAGAAAGATCCATCCAGCACTTTCTCAGAAATAGCGGTAACAAACTTTTACTTCTAAAATCCAAGATGGCCACCTGTCGGCCATCTTGAATTTGAATCAGTCCAAAAAAGGTACAATGCACAACTAGGGACCAAGGGGAACCTGCTTATGAAATTTGAGAAAGATCCATCCAGTACTTTCCAAGAAATAGCGGTAACAAACTTTTACATCCAAAATCCAAGATGCCCACCTGTCGGCCATCTTGAATTCGAATCAGTCCAAAAAAGGTACAATGCACAACTAGGGACCAAGGGGAAACTGCATATGAAATTTGAGAAATATCCATCCAGTACTTTTCCAGAAATAGCGGTAACAAACTTTTACCTCTAAAATCCAAGATGGCTGCCTGTCAGCCATCTTGAATTCGAATCAGTCCAAAAAAGGTACAATGTACAACTAGGGACCGAGAGGAAACTGCACATGAAATTTGAGAAAGATCCATCCAGCACTTTCTCAGAAATAGCGGTAACAAACTTTTACTTCTAAAATCCAAGATGGCCACCTGTCGGCCATCTTGAATTTGAATCAGTCCAAAAAAGGTACAATGCACAACTAGGGACCAAGGGGAACCTGCTTATGAAATTTGAGAAAGATCCATCCAGTACTTTCCAAGAAATAGCGGTAACAAACTTTTACATCCAAAATCCAAGATGCCCACCTGTCGGCCATCTTGAATTCGAATCAGTCCAAAAAAGGTACAATGCACAACTAGGGACCAAGGGGAAACTGCATATGAAATTTGAGAAATATCCATCCAGTACTTTTCCAGAAATAGCGGTAACAAGAATTGTTTACGGACGGATGGACGGACTGACGACGAACCACAGACACCGGGCGATTTGAATAACCCACCATCTATTAGATAGGTGGTGGGCTAAAAATATCAAAGAATCTTGACAAATTTCGATGTCAGCTTATAAAAACTTTTAACAACATTTCAGAAATTCATCAAAGACTACAGATGAATACTTACAGAATCCTGACTGTCTATATGGTGCTCAGCGAATCTAGTCCTCAATTCCGGACCAATCAAAATTGCTTCCCTGTCAGATGTACCGGTCACCAAGTCATCTTCTGATAAATATAAATACATCACCATAAGCCTGCTTCTGATTTAATACAGGGCTGTATTTGTTTGTTAATTGGACCAGGGTTGTTCATTTATGAAATGAGGAAATACCTATTGATCTCATTTTACTTTCCGATAATTCTTGACTAAGCCTTTTAAGGCTTGTTATAATATTTGCAGGTCCATCCCCAATTTATGTCTCAAATGTTACATTTAAAATGTCAACAAACCACTTTGTCTACATGCACAAACAGGACCCTGGATACAACATATATCTATAAACACCTTGTGTCTATATAGTAAAGCTGTTGTTCTCTTTACCCCTGATAACTTGTAGAATTCTGGCATCTTAAAAACACTGTAAACTAGAACTGTCATCCAGGGGTCAACTCATATCCCGGCCCCAACAGTGTTATCCATGAAATAAAATGGTTTTTAATTTTGATGACATGGGATATGCATCCTTTTTGAAAAGAGCCTTGATGCCAATTCTAAACATGTTTGTACAAATTTTCAGTGATGGACAAGCCCATGGAAAGCTTTAACATTGGATATAATCATAAAAACAACAGGCTTGCTAATATGAAGCCAACACTCAAATACGGAGGAATTAGGTGTAACATAAAAAAATAAAATAAGTAAAACTTAATCTTGTATCAGACAAGCATTTTCATTGGCAATTTTTTTATGTTATCACCCAATAACATAAAAGAAATTCATGTAATTTTGTAAACGTCGTATTTGATTGGCCAATGTGGTGTAAGAAATTGTCAAAGAAAAGAGTCCCTTACAAATTTTAACAATATTGCAAACAGGCATAACTTTGTAAAATACAAAATAAATCAAACGTGATAAAGATAACACACATTTTCAACGTATAAGGATTGTTGCCATCAAATTTTGTTGAAATCCATTCAGTAGTTAACAGTAGCTGGTACATCGCTGAATTCCCAAACATGTACAAGTTTCCGAAAATGTACGAGCATTATTGCCAGCATGTTGCATTGCACTTAGTAGTATAAGAGTTGACGATATATCATTAAAGCTCAACCTGATATACATCTGCAATGTGTAAGGATTATTGCCATCAAATTTCGTTGAAATCCATTCTGTAGTTTAGGAGGAGTAGCTGGTACATTGTTGCATATACAGAGGGTAGGAGGGACAGCAAACTTGATTCCAGTAAACCCCTTCCCTAAATTTGTTGTTGGGGGAGGAGGGGGTATAATTATGCTCACTAGGAACATTTAAAAGGATTTGATATTTTATTTGTGAGTTATCAATATATCTATACAATGATACATCTTGATACAAAGAAACAGAATATGTTGTGTTGTTAGTTTTGGAGCAATTTCAGCACAAATACAAATGCAACATTTTTCATTTCCCTCCAGTAAGAGTATATGAAGTTCAGCTAAATATGTGGCTTACCTTCATTAGAAACTTTATGGATGGAGCTTAGGTCCTCAATACGACTAGAGGAGTTGTAGCTGATTGGTCGAGGTGGGGATCGCCTTGGCAGCTCAAGATATGATCTATCCTCTATACTTCGTTCCAGAATATCATCTATGCTGTTATCTACAACATCAACAAAAGGTACATACTGATATTCACAATATGTTATTCTAATCATATGGTTTCTGGTCCTATCAATAATAAAGATACTAAAAAGCTTATTCTTATTACAGGCTGGACATTATGAAGGAATATCAAGATAAATAAAACCATGCTATGTTGGGCTGGGCATTACAAATTGTTTGATTTTATATTCTCTTTGAAAGTTTTTTCCACTTCTTTTCTCTTTTCTTCTCTGTTTTTGGTCTTAATGATAAGAATCCAAATCCAAAATGGCTGTCTGGAAGCCATTTCATTTCTTCTGAATAGTCCCAAAATCAAATGTGCACAAAGAGAGACCAAAGGAAACATAAGTATGAAATTTGAGAGATATCCATACAGTACTTCTTAAGAAATAGCAATAACAATCTTTACTGGCAAAATCCAAGATGGCTACCTGTTGGCTATCTTGTTTTTCTAATAATAATAATAAACTTTATTTTCTGAGGATTACATATTTAGCCAACGGCTAATCTTCCATATGGTCCTCTAATCTGATTTCTGATCAGTACCAAACTCAAACAGCCACAGTTAGGGACCTACTGGAAATTATACATAAAAGCAAACTTTCGAAGTCAAAATCCAAGATGGCCGCTTTGTTTTTTCTGATCAGTACCAAAATAGAACAGGCATAACTAGGGATCAAGGAAAGCATACACATGAAATTTGAAAAAGAAATATCAATAACAATCTTGCAAAGTCAAAATCCAAGATGGCCGTCTGTCAGACATTTTGGGTTTTTTTATGTTGATAGTAACTGGTTGAAGTAACTTATAGACTACCATACTCACTCGTCCTGTCTCGTTGTAGTTGCATGTAGTCTTTCTCTTTGTACTCACGACCCCTGGATAAAATAAAACTCAGTTGTGAAAATCAAACAGTAGTCAAAATATTCAAAACACATTCTTCACAGTCCACTGATTTTTGAATTGTGCCTCACTCCACTGTACCACTCCAATTCCTAATGAGTTGTTTACTGAGGAAGTTACTCACTTAACTGAAAAGGTGAGTCATGTCCTTTTTTATAGGTATACTCAATGCGGGTAGACTAGTAGACTCTCTCATTTGAAAGGGAAGGGCTCACTAAGCTGAGCGAGTGTGTTATTCATTATCTGATTAAATAGAGCTAATGACTAAGCCCAATGATTTCTGATAACTATTAAATGCCACTTTTGCAAAAACAAAGTTGAAACAGTTTAGGTGGTCTGGAATGATTCCATAATGAACAAATGCACAGGTATTGGATGTTGGAACTGACATGTGTAAATTTAAATATGCATTTTCAGAATTTCCTGTCTAGCATAAAACAACGAACAAAAGATAAGATACAATCTATTTAACAAATACTTTCTAGCATGGAAATAGGTGTGTACACCGACCATGCTTTATGCTATAATTCTGCTTACTAATAATATTCAGCAAGTTAGTTAATGCCTGGAACCCTCAATCTGCATATGCCAAATATTTCAGCCAAGCCTTCTTCCCAATCTGTGCCTGTCATTTTCTTGCAAATTCAACTGGTCTAATCGTTTCATCTGCTTTACACAAAAGGGACCTAAATCATCTGATGACTTACTCTACTGGCGATGGGGGTTTGGTGGCTAAGAAGTCCCACACATAAATGGCTTCTCCAACACTCAGTAAACCCTGGCCGTCTGGGGTGAAGAGGATCTTGCTCACATTCTCGGAGTGGCCTATGAAGACCTGAGAAAAAAGCATATAGGATTTTATAGATAGATATAACTACACAGGACAGGCATGGCTGGAGCATCATTCTTTTGTCAAACTGTTTGTCAGCCTGAAATCTTCTCTGCATTTACAAGTAATAAATAATTGCAATAACAAAGAAAAGGCCTGTAACAATCTTTGTTTTATAAGTCAGTGTAAATGCATCTTTTCTTTAAGCCAAAATCTGCATAATTTTCTGTTTGACAATGCACATATACAACATTACCTGAAAGTTGATGTCTAGCTTCATGTTGTAGTCCCAGACCTTAATAACTTTGTCCCCTCCTGTTGCTAGGTGACGTCCATTACTCGTAACTGCCAAAGTAGAACAGCCTGTCCTATGGATATTTGCCACCTGTAATAACCACACATCAAGGTGCAGGACATATGTTGTACAAAGGACATCACTAATAAGGACAGTGTACTAACTGCTTCCTTTACAAACTGCCTACAAGTTTTTGTGAGATACAGATTAAATACTGCTTGTTCAAGAAATGAAAACTGAAATATTTAAGACATATTTAAGGCTATCATAGTGAATAATTTACTTCTTTCTCAATACGTATATCTTCTATTGGTAACATCTACAGGAAAATGTTAATCAGTTTTCTAACAAAATGTCTTAATAGAACAAGACAATAAACTAACAATGTTTAAAAGCATTATGTTATGTAAAAAACACAATTTATTGTTGCAGATAACATGGCAGAATAAAATCAATCTGCTAAAGACTCACTTACTTCATCTTAAGGTCTTGTAATTGTGTGTACATACCTCAGACAGCAAACGACCAGTTCTGGCATCAAACTTGAGCAGTTTATGGTTGGAGGTGATGACTATAAGGTGTTCCAAATGTAGTGGGGCAAAGTGGAGCCTGACTGCAGCATCTAGAGAGGATCGCCCTGGATCTGATGAATTCAGATTGGTTACATCTATCCTTACTACCTATAATATACAAAGAGCTGAAGTTAGAAATCAGGCGAACAACAGTCACAGGATTCAATTAACGATACAACATTGCAGAATACACTGAAATCACATAAATGTGAATAACAAACTTCATTAAACAACAAACCTCATCTAATGATTTGGCATCCACTACACAAACTGTGTACTCTGATGGGCCAATAAATGCCATCCTTCGTCCATCAGCACTGACTGACAAAATATCTGGGGAATGTCTGGTTCCTCGTGCCACTGTGTTACCCAGGAGACGAAGGAGTTCATACTTCTCAGATGTAGCATCATAATGTGCCAATGATCCTAGGGAACAGGCACTGTAGAGGAAGTCTCCATTTGGCGAAAAGGCAAGACCTGTGATCTTCCCTCTGTGTTGTCTGCAAGTCACATAAAAATTCTCTTTTTGAGGTCTTTTATGTTCACAAGTTTTTATTTGCTTTTCAAGGGAATGAATAAAAAATGATAAAAATGTCTCCATGAACAAAGTATACACTATGATTGTTTTTATCATAGCTCTTTCTGACACCTCAGAGATACAATAATGTGATACCCTATGCTGGATTTTATACTATGTTCCACCTGTTTAGCCCCTTATCTCAATGCCAAATTCTACTTGGAAATGTACTCACTGTACTTGAAAAACCAAATAGATAATTTGCATTTACAATATTCAATTTTGTCAACAATAGTCTTGCTTTGATGTTATTTAATCAAAATACATAAGACAATGTACATAGTCTTCATTGTGAAAAAGCTTTTCTTTTACATGGACTAGATAGTGGTAACAGAAGTCTTCAAACAAAGTCAAATCAAGTATATCAAAGACCAATGATGGGACAATTGTAATCTATGGTGATATCAAATTTCAAACTCCTGAGGTGAGCGAAAAGTTCAGTTATCTGTAACTTGACAAGAATGAGCCAGATTGGTGTTGGCAAAAATTCTGGATGATATTACTTGCCCTTAGTCACAGTTGGTTTTTTATTATAAAATCTGAGCCCTCATCTCAGACAGGCTGGTCTTCCTCAATTACAGGTAGTAAATGTTACAGGGTTGTTGGGTAACAATAATCTAGTATAGCAGTGAATATCATTCCTTTATTGATGGTGAATAAATAGTGAAGTTTATAACCTGTGTTCAGCCATCATAGTTGTGGTCTGCACATTAAAAACTCTGACAACACCACTCTCAAATCCACAGGCAAATATCTGTCGTGTTGCGTGGTAGTGAATGATACAGGGGCACTCCTCGGGTGCGCTGAAGTCGTACAACTGTAAATACAACCATACAGTTTGTTACTATTGTTATTGAAAATCGTTATTTGAAAATTTGGTCAGAAAAGAAATCTCATTTGAATCACGACAATACCAAGTTTATGTAGAAATTTGTGTAACACAAGAAAAACAAAAAAACAGTATGGCCATACCTGCTGTAGAGTTTCTGAATCCCACACACGAATTGATTGATCTTCAGACACTGTCGCCATGTGTTTTCTGTATGGATCCACTGCCACATCAGCAATACGAGCTGTGTGTGACCTCATCACTGTAGTGTATGCCCGAGTGGAGATGTCCAGGGTCCCCAAGGTACCCTGTAACAACAGCCATAAGTGTATGCTTTAACACACCTACATCTCTACAGCTCTAAAACACACAACAGGATCTCTAACCATTTTTTCAACTATACAAAGTACCTACATCTCTACAGTTCTACGCAAAGATATGAGGATAACTCTCTGTTTTTAGGTGTGCTGTATGAATTATATTGAATGATATAACCTACCATTGAGGTCCCTGCCAATATCTTCAGTCCGTCTGATGTCAGGTCTATGGCTGTGACTGGTCCTTCATGTTCTATCAACATCACAAGATCACAATGAATTTTTTGGGGGATTTGAGTAGATTTAACACCAGATAAATTTAACATTACTTTTATGAAATGAAATGGTAAAATGAAGAATATAGAACAGATTGTTCTTACCAGCCTCAAGATAAACATGAGCAAAGTCCAGAGGCCATAGACGGAGGAAACCATCATCTGATCCCGTCACACAAAATGTTTCGTTCACCGTCATACAATTTATTCCAATTCCTGAACCTGACAATTAAAACAAAAAATTGTAATAATTCTGATAATAAATAGATACGTCCTCTATTTCCCGATGTTTCTTTATTTCTAACTAATTCTGTTATGGAGTTAATGAGATATCTTGTACTCAATGTTTTTATTCAAAAAGTGATCAAGGTTGAGGTTTGACTTTTATCTTGGCTGATGACCACCAAAATCTAATAAGGTCTAGAACTATGTGGTGTGATGGTTGAATATGTACATGAATTTCATCTGTCCAGGGTTTCATGAGATATCTAAGACATAGCTCTGCATGACTCCACAGGCACAGACAGACACACAAAGATAATCTACCCCTCTCCCCTATTTAAGGGAGTATGATTATCAAGATGACTTATAAACCAGCCATCACAATGTCTCTGAACTTAACACTTCCTTTTTTTTTGACTTTATCAGAATAGCATGTAAGAACCTTACTTGATCGGAAAGTTTGCTTCTCTTTGACTGGTTTGGTGTCTGTTGGCAGTAGTCGTCGCACGTTCTGAATTGATACCTTCTGAAGCTCTATTTCAAATATGTGACCAGATCTGCTGCAGGCATACCTGTACAGGTAGTATAAAAATAAACATGACAATGTCTGCTGCAGTCATACCTTTAACATATGTGAATTCATGTAACCTGACAGATATATGAACAGTGCTGACTCTTCCTGAATAATTTGTAAACAAGCAAACTGAGTAAACAAGTCCACTATTGGCCCCCACAAGCTTTAACACTTTATAAGCATGTGAAGTTTGATGAGAACCCCTCAAGGAATGAAGCTGTTAGAGCACTGACAATGATTTTCTGAAAATACTAAGTTACCTTGACCCAACAATCCTGTAACTTGAACTTGTCCAACAATGAAGCTATTAAACACCTGTGGATTTTCTACAAATAGTAAGAGTGACCTTGACCATGCTCCAGAAACACTGAACCTGTTCAAGATATTTTGGTGCTTTATTAGTGTGTGATGTTTGATGAAAATCAGACAAAGAACGAAGCTGTTAGAACACTGACAATTAATTTCTGAAAATATTAAGTGACCTTGACCAAACAGCCTTGAAATTTTAACTTGTACAAAATATCATGGCTGTCTGTAACTGTGTGAGGTTTGATGAAAATCCCATATGGAATGAATCTGCTACAGCACTGACAAACTTTGCCTTTCATCTCCCAATATATAGTCTGCATTGCACATGACCAGTTGAAACACTGGTAAACAGTATAAATTATGAGTTAACTGCTAACACACTGTTTGACAATTAAATTATGACAATTATCAGCTTACACCAGTCTGTCTGAAGGGTCTTTGTCAGCATGGTATCCAGCTTCGAAACACACATCTGTAAACTCCACGGTGTGATGTTCTCCCAGATTAACTGGGGCTGACCTCAGATGACCATCTCTCACCCGCCACAATCGAATATTATCACGTCCACAGGACACCATCCTTGGGAGTAGAACATCAGTTTTCAGCACAGAAACATAGTAACTTATACCTCTGTTATTTTTACTCCATCAAATATGAAAACGTACAGCACTACAATGATTTCATCATACATTTATTGATCAAATTTAAACTTAAAGCCCAAATATACGCAACTTTCACTTAAAAAGTAAATAGAAAATATAACCTATTTATATCAATATAGTAAAAATTTACTTATCTGAGAAATACCAAAGACGATATCATGCACTGTTATTTATATAAAAACATGCCTCCCTCTACGATCTTTGCAGGATGTGTGACATTGCACTTTACCAGTAAACGCACCTACTACATATGTACAGTTGAGTATGCAGATTGGTCATGTGGTTTATTTTGAGACAGCCTTCTTAACTTCATATAACATCTGTTTGCATTTTAAGAGGGGACCCACTTTCATTATTTTCATTTGTATTGATATCCACACAAAGTTTTTTTAACAGATACTACTCCACTTAAGTATGTTTTAATCCAAGTGGAAGTTTTCTTCAAAAATTTTCTGAATATCATAAATTTGCCAACTGATGCCTATATTGGGGTTTTAAGGAAAATAGCAGACTCTCCAACCAAAAATGTTTTACTTTTCCAAAAGAGTTCAGCTATGTTAATACTCAGTAGATCTATTTGTAACCACATCAAAAAATTGTAAATCAAATAAGTTTCTTTCCTTATAACAAACAAGTGCTAGTTTCTCTACACTGTAGATTACCTGGTATCATCAAAGGCCGCCACTTTCATGCGTACTATTTCCACATCAGTGTGTGCTTTCGCCATCACCGACACTTCTCGAGACTTGGTCACTTTGGATGTGTCCCAGATAACAACCATCTGAAACAGTAATTCTACAATTTGTTCTCTCGGCTGTGTAACTGTCACAACTTGTAAACTGATTTGTCACACAACAGTAACATCCCTATATCAACTTAAATAACAATAAAACTAAAAACTGTTTCTCAAACTACTAATATTGATACCACTGTTTCCTAAACTACTAACATTTTTACAGCTGTTTCCAAACTACTAACACTGATGCCACTGTTTCCCAAACTACTAACATTGATACCACTGTTTCCCAAACTACTAACATTTTTACAGCTGTTTCCAAACTACTAACATTGATACCACTGTTCCCAAACTACTAACATTTTTACAGCTGTTCCCAAACTACTTACATTTTTACAGCTGTTCCCAAACTACTTACATTTTTACCGTGACCATCTTTACCAACACCACACAACACATTTCCTTTGTGAGAGAAGCTGTAAAAAGGAATACTTTGTCATTAGTTTGGATTTGGATACAAAAACAAATTAAACATGACTTGTCATCAGTAAGTCGCATTCCTCACCCTACAATCTCATCCTCCATTCACAGTAAATGTACTACTACTTACATATACAACAGTATATTACCAGAACAGGTACCTCAATAAGAGTGTACAGGTCCCCAGATATTTTACAGGAATTCAGTGAATCTAAATATACTGCAAACTACATCACTTTTAAAATTTGGATATTAGTCAAAATCTTTGGTATGTCATTTATATTACTTAATTGTATATATATAATGACTAGAATTTGTCCATTAATAACTGGTAGACAAATATCACTCAATTTGTCCAATAATTGTCTGATGGTACAATGGAGATAGCTGCTGATTTACCTCAGGCAGTGAAGGGAATGAACATGTGTTTTACACATAGCAAGACATTCCCCTGTCTGAAACTTCCAGATACGGACAGCACTGAGAGAACCTGTCTGCCCAGAGGCCAGCAAGGAGGAGTTCCCTGTCAAGCTGATACAGGATACCTTTAAAACACACAACAAAAATTCTACATGTGTTAAACTGTGCCTATATATAGGAATCAAGATTTCACATGTGTCACAAAGTTTCTAGATACAAAGAAGTTAAGGTTTGACATGCTACTTAGGTACACAGAAGTAAAGATTTCATGTGTAAAAATTGTCTGGGTATCAAGGAGTAAAGATTCACACATATCACATGTGTCTTGGTATACAGAAGTTAAGATTTCAAATGTCTCACAGGTGTCTAGATAGACAGAAATAAAGATTCCACATGTCTATGTAGACAGAAATAAGATTTCACATGTCTAAGTTGACAGAAATAAGATTTCACATGTTTAGGTAGACAGAAGTAAAGGTTTCACATGTAACATAGCCTCATTGACATGAATTAAGGTTCTGAACATCATGTATAACATAAATCCAGACAATGCTTCTTTTACGGTTGGAATCACTAGATTTATGATAATTCTGTGGCGACAACACGATTCTCACCTTATCAGTGTGGCCAATAAAGAAACGCTGGTGACCATTACTAATCTTCATAGCAACTATCACTGCATGACAAGGGTAAACCACACACGCTGCATCAACTGACCACAGTGCCTGTAATACCAAAGTAGGGATTGTCCAATGTCAGATGAAAGTCTAGGTACTCCTTACTTATTCCTGGGTAGTTCTTAATGTCTTATTATGATAAAAGATATCAACAACATATTTCATTATCAAAATAAATGAAATGTATTCCAGTATTTAATGTTAAGACTCACATCTCTAAAAGAAGCTCCACCAAAACCTATAATCCTCTTCAGCTTCAGAATAGGATCTGGTTCCAGGCACTGAAAGAGAGGTCATGATAAGTTAATACTGTAAACATCTTGATGTCATTTTGTCAACAGGTCAATATCTCGATGTCATTTTGTCAACATGTCAATATTTCAATGTCATCTTGCCAACATGTCAATATCTCAATGTCAACATGCCAATATCTCGATGTCAACATGTCAATATTTCAATGTCAACATGACAATATCTCAATGTCAACATGTCAATATTTCAATGTCAACATGTCAATATCTCGATGTCAACATGTCAATATCTCGATGTCATCTTGTCAACATGTCAATATCTCAATGTCAACATGTCAATATATCAATGTCATCTTGTCAGCATGTCAATATCTCAATGTCATCTTGTCAACATGTCAATATCTCAATGTCATCAGTCAATATCTCAATGTTTTTTTGGGGTGAAATGGGTCAATCAATGCAGTAAACATCTATCAAACATTTACATACTTACCTTACTGGCTATTTTTCTTGGTCCAAGACTTGCTGGTGCAGAGAGTTTTGAAACCTAAATGGGGTGAATAAGACAAAATGTTGTGAAGAATTTCTTGTTGAATATATAAATTTATAATGGCAAGGACAAGGACATAACTGTTGTACTCCATGAATGATAGGAGTTGATATTCTCCTAACTGACCAATACTGGTAGTGAAGTGTACTCCATGACCTATTGGAGTAAAAATATCCCTAACTGACCAATACTGGTAGTGAAGTGTACTACACAAATTACTGAAGTATATATAATCTCCTAACTCACCAATACTGGTAGTGAAGTGTACTCAATGAACTATTGGAATATATATTCTCTTGGCTGACCAATACAGAAAGTGAAGTGTAAACTGATAATGAAACATACCTGTTCACTAGATTGACCCTCTTGATGAACAAGTATCTCATCTTCTGGGTGTGCAAACACATGTACCTCTCCCTGGGTGTCTGTAGCAACTGTCATGTCATCTAGTCCTACTGATGGTAGCTGTGAGGTGACCTGATGGCGTTTTACTTTCTGTATATCCCAAAGTAAGATGACTGATTGTAAAACTAGTTGTTTTTTTTAAGGTCATTAAATTACATAATACACATAGCTCTTTAGTGGTGAAAGTGCTCAGTAACTTTTTATTCTGACTAGTTTATGCAGAATTTATCAATGAAAATTTCCACACTAAAAATAAACAAAGGAATAGGAGATAAAACATTCCTTCTTGAAACAATCAGATAAACCTTACAACCTAGTGTGTGACTGTCTCACCTGTAGTCAATAAAAACTGTTACCTGTTTGGGTTCTGTGAGTTTGTGGATCATTGCGACTCTATCTGAGACACATTTACTAACATCAACTGATCGTGTGGAGACTCTTTTGGGGCTTACTGCCTTACCTACAACAGTGGTAATGAAAAGTGCAGTTCATAATGTGGTATGACAAAGGAGAATATCAGCATCTAGGATCTGGGAATAAAAAACCAGAAAATCTACAGCTCTTACAACCACACAACAACAAAATACTAGGCGTGGACAATATATTTCATGATGATAGCTGCAAATAGACCATCAATTTTTCACACTTTTTCTTTCCTTTTTTATTTTCAAAAGCTACAGAAAATTCACAGGATCCAGACATACTAGTGGAACTGTACATTGATAAAGGTACATAAAACATGTGTTTCCAAAAATAAATTGAAAGACAGAACAACAGGTAACAATTCTACTAACTTGTATTTTTACCAGTTGGGCTGCTGTACTGCATGGAGTCAAATGGCTTCTTACCGCCATCAGAGGGAAACCTGTAGAAAGATGAATACATGATTGATACAACACTGTTAGCTTGAATAAAATGAGAGACATCTACAAATTTCAATGGAAGAAATTTGTATACATTGTTATTCCAATGTATGCCAATTATTTGTTATGTTAATAAAATATTTCTTAAGGACAACCTTTGCCTAGACTGATGGTTACAACAACCATAATACAGTAAACTACATACTACATACCCTCTTTGAACATTTTGCTGTTATTTGGACTGTGACTTACAGGTCACAGTGACCTTCATATGATGCACTGCACTGGCAAATCCAGAGTGAGAGGAGAAATTTCCCAAGAAAAGAAAGCCTTGCATCCCATCAGGATATTCCTCCAGTAGAATAGGAATCCCAATATTACTACACATTTATGCAAAGATTACCTGCAATTATGGCAATCTCTCCTTATTAATATTTCAGATATTTCAATTGGTGTGCTAATCTACCTGATAAGATCATAGTGGTCATGCCAGTGGTCTCCCTTTAGGACAGGGAAGGCCATTTCTCTTGGCATCGGTGACACCCCTTGGTCCATTAGTCCTGCCTTCTTTGCTTGGTCAAGGGTTATACCTGTCAGATTTAGTCAATACAGTTACAATTAACATTTTTATCTTAATGTAATAGTTGATGAATCAGTCTGTTGATATAGAGAACTAATGCTTAGCCATTTACTGTAAAATCATTCATTTTCATGATGAATTTATTTTCATTGATTTCATGAGTACCTGGTATTCGTAACCCATGAAAGATTTCACTTTATATACAATTAGAACTCCACATTCCCAAACTCAATGAAGAAAATCCTATATCAAACACAAAGAGACATGGATCTCAGACTTAGGCGTATTACCTACCTGGATCATACAAAGTGTCACTTGTGAATATGTTCTTCACTACCATGTTGGCACATAGTCGTATAGTCTTCATGTAGGAAAATTTTCTGTTAAGGTACATAGACAGGATGTAGTTGAAGTCTAAACATAAGACTGTCCATCGTGTAGCGTGAGGTGCTGGACCACTATGATCTGAAAAGGAAATGACTGTATGTTAAAACCATTATCATACATTCAAATTATCAAGTCATATATGTACTTCTATAGGTACTGGAAACCTATCAATGTATATCCATTAAATATGTGACACTTATTACCTACAGCAGCAAGTTTTCATTGGTTTTTCCCATGTTTCAAGTAATAAAGCTTGAATGAGATTTTCAGCAAAAGCATGAGTAAAAATTACTATATTTCATCGTAATCCCTGATAGTGTGTTAAGATTTATTACTGTACTTAACCTACTAAAGACTTGTGATTCAGCAACCTGTGTTGATGTCTGGCATATTTACTCCCATAAAAGAGAATCATTGATCCACCTTGTCACATGTCTACAATTTAGACATGATTTTCACTCCAAATTGATTCAGGAAAGAAAATGGCAAGACTTGTGCTATATCAATTTTTGGAGGAATGCACCTCTGCTACATAAAATGTGCATTCTATGAAAAATTGTAATAAAGTAGGTCACTGAATCACACATTCAAGTATGCTGGTCAATATAATTCATATCATGTAAGCCAATTGGTGGGAGAGCAGTACAATTTCTGAACAACTTTTTCTTGGTAGTTCCATTAAACAGCAATATTATATATATGGTAGGACTAGTGCTACAAGACTTGGTAAATATCATAACGTAAAGGATTGGAATTTTTTGGTTGACTGTTCAGTTTACCAATGAATGGAACTACAGATAGTACCTTTCGCCTCATGGTGCTTTAAACCTTTTCAACACATTTGTTCCCCATCCAATTCAAAGTGGGTCAAGGTCATTTAATTGAACAAAATTGGTTTCAACATTCCAGTATGTCAAGCACTCAATATCGGTACAATACTACTTGGATACTGAGGAAAGATTCTGAATGAATTTAACAAATTTTATCCCTGTCACTTTGAAAGTGGATCAAGGTCATTCATTTGAATATTCTTGGTAGCTCTTCATTTCAGCATGCTAAAGACCCAATACCTGTTCTCTGGGCATCTTGGTTATTGAGAGGAAGTTGTTTAAAGGGAAAAGTTAAAGCCAGACAGGCTGTGCCTTGGCATTATACTGTACACTACACATTGATGATACATTTTTCTTTAGTTCAGGGGAATGTTTTTTGTTACACTTTCACTGATTATTTAAATTTTAGCCCTTTGCTTTACTTTCTCTTTAGTCTTACCTTTTCCACTCATAGCAGCAAATGCATGAACAGATCCTTTAGAAGCATTACAGAGAAATGGGAACTGCAGCCAAGTGGAAGTGGACTTAAACTCCTTAAACAGGTTAGAAAATGACACTCTCACAATCAGGTTATCCTGTGTGGCTAGGTCTATGTGGACAACGAAGTACTTGGTGGGAATTGGCTTGAACAGGAGGTACAGGTAGCGGCCAGTTAAACCTAGTGATTGGGTCTGGGCCTTTGGAAGCTGGATATAATTCCCTGCAGGGATTGAGCCTGTCACTTTGTACACAGTACATTTTAAAGATTTGTCCTGTTGAAGAAAAAAAATAATCTCATCAAAGGTCAAGAGAAAGAAAATATTAATCAAAATATGTCTTATTATGAACGTCATGGATGCGTTGAGAATGATTTACAGATCTGGTTGGCAATAATTTTCAAAAAAATGTCTAGTTACCTGACAATCTTATTTACCTGTTGTTCCAGTTATAAATTTACTGAGACATTGCACTGCCTCTCAAAGAAATACAAAAGACTATTTGGTTTTAATTTGATATACTTATGCATATATCTTTCTGTCAATGTGATAGCATTTACGTTATCATACCATTACTCCGGCTACTTCTCCTTCTTTTGTTGACTTCTTCCATGATGTAAGGTTGAAATGTTTAAAAACATTCACATACGGATGTTGCCACACTGTTTAATACAAAGAACATTCTATGGTTAAAATGAATTATTCAACTAGTACAGTACAGTCAATAGAACAAAATCACTGATACACTTGTAAGTCATGACACTACATATTTAAAATCACATCACAGCAATAATTCTGATTATAAACTAAAGCAAATGTTTGGTAGATCACTTTCTGTTTAAAACAAAATGAAAATGATTTGTATGGTGGCTATCAAAAGCGTTACTTTAATGTAAACTTTGCCCTAATTACACACTGATAGACAGTGATGTAAAGCATTGTAAAATACTGAAATGGTTAAGGAAGTTAAGGAAATAATACTTTATTCGGGAGGTATATATTAATCCTCTATGGGGATTTGACCTTGTGACTTATTTAAATCAGACGTTTAAAAATGTCCCTTGTCGCGAATAGGGATATTGTCAAACAAGCGATATAAATGAGTCCCAGGGAGGAATCCAAAAAGGAAATAAATGTATACTGAAAATATATTTCAAAAACTCGACTCTCGTCTGCGGCCAATTAGACTGTCTGCGCATAGTGTTAAACGAGTGATATACTCTGTTTATTCCAACATCTTTTATCAGACACAAATCATACTTATGTTGTATATTTCGCAAAAAAACACTCTTTATGCAAAGTTTCTTATTTCCTTAGCTGACGACCAACACGCGATTTGTGACAGAGCATGTTCCATCACGTCAATGATCCCGTTGAACACTTGTGCAAAATTCCATGAAAAGTAACTTACAGTGTGACATTTTGGATGATGGGAATGCTGAGTAAGATATTCCGATAAAGATAATGATATTTGACAAATCAGTATATGGTGCGTTCACTTAAACTTCACATGCTGCTTCGTCTTCCTCTGTCATTTTTTGGGTTTACCGCCATGTTTTGATTTGTATGCGCACTGTTTCTACGCATAAATACATCAACTTCCTGTTTTTTACGGGCGCATTCGATTACAGTAAAAACTACAAGACTAAGACGACGTATGAAAATACCAATTCATTTACTAAATTTTTGTCAAATTTTAATCTGAATCATGAAACACAAAATTTATGCATACATATAAAAGAATTCGCCACAATCATATACCAAAATGGTATCATGTCTGCAGATTTTTTTAAATAAACAGTGTGGATTGTGCTGGCTCATCCACCAATGGCTACATGTTCGAAAATACATAAATTTTGATCATTAGATGATCTTCAGTTGCAGCATTCTATGTAGCAGACTTCACTCTGTACAAATAAAATGTTCCATCCCACCACACCTGTAAAGCAAAATAAACCTATGGACATGTGAATTACTTTTTCTTTTAAAAGACTGCAAATCACACAATAGCCTTATCAAGACTAAAATTGGTTTTTATAAGGCTATTATGTGGTTTATTATTTCTAAGTACTATTGAAAATGAGTTCACAAGTACCTGTGTAAAAGACGAGTAAATGACCCTGACAAACATCTTGACTTTGGGCATTTAATTGATCCTTGACATTAGGTGATTTCAGATTATGTAGTCAAATCCCATATCAGAAGGGTCAAAACTTCTATGAAAAGACGTGTGTCAAAAATCATTGGGAGTGAAAAAATACTCTCTAGGGTCTACTGATGCAGTATTGTATCATATATCAAATACTGAGTTATCCTCTTATTATCAGATTTTCATCCGCATGGATGGAATCTAGTTGATTTAAGCAATTGGTGGCATAATGACAACATATTCATTATTAACCTAGGCAACAAGTTCAGTTTCAAAGTTGAAAATGTGCTCGACCACTTGGGTTTTATCCTGGGTACTTTGGTTTGTAAGTTGACAAATTTGTTTCACAATTGTATAAAAATAAGTTTGTAGATGTACTTAGAAACAATTAATTCACAAGATTTCAAGGGTTTGTAACCAACCGTCTTGCTTCACATCCAGCCTTTAAGAGTGTTGGAAAGGTGATCTACAAGAAAGCTAGGACAGAAATTTCAAACCTCCACCCTGGCATCCCATATTTTAAACCATAACACTAGGAGACATAAATCAATGTATATTTTCAGTTTTTATTTGCTGATATTTTTATACTTTACCTAAACCTTAAGAACAAGTGACTTCATCATAACGACATTGATATGTATTGAGATGTACCATATGGCCTCACATCCTGAGATAATGATATAGGTAGATTGTTGGTCTCTAAACAGTGATTAGTTTATCATATGTATCTTAAGGTCTCTGGGATTTTGAGGTTTATACCTATGTAAATTGTTTTGCTAAAAAATGTTTTGGTTTTGCTTTGTTTAGTTAAAAACAATTAGATACAAGAAAAAAAGAATGCCTGTTGTGTTTTCATATGTATTTAATTTTGCCTTATGAAAAAGTTAGCCCAGAAATTGCTACTGATTTTGTGGAAGGCATCTATATCAATAAATTCTACCATGACAGTCCAGATCTAGGGAGAGGCCTTGCTAAATGTGTTGGTCACAGAGGAATGATAGGGTTCAGAGAAATTGATCTTAACACGACACTGTCATAAATATCCCCCACTAAAGAGACAAATTTTCTGACACCACTTAATGCCATATTAATGATGAACCCAATTTCATAGGTCTAAAGTATCAGAAAAGTTGATCAAATTCAGTATACTGTAGAACAGCCCTAGTAAATAATTAATTATTACCTGTATATAATTAGTTTATCAGATACGGACGATACAATTCTTCTTAACCACATTTGAACTAAGTCTACAAATCATGAAATGTATGTCAAATTCAGTATTTGTAGTATATACTCTGTAGAACAATATTTGATGCATCATACATGATTTTATGGTTCATAGTGTTTGAGTTTCCCAGATGTGGAATGCACAATTCCTCTTAACCAAGGTTTTAACCTGAAGCATTACAGGTAGATCAAATTAAGCATTTACAAAATACACGTTGTCAAACAACCCTCCCTTTCTGCCATGTGACCTGACAAAGAGTTATATCCCTGTAAACATTTCAGGAAGTGATTGCATTTCACTATGGGACACCTCCAATGATATGTTAGCGTAGCAAGTTCAGTGGATGTAGGTGAAATACAAAGAAAGTTATGATGTGTACAATATAATCTTGATGCTGCACATTGACCATCCAGCTAATGTTGTCATGTCACGTCTTGTCTTACCTTTGACAAACATGTCAAAATCAGTCATCTGTTTCTATTTTTTCAATAATACCCTGAACTTATTTGTGAAAGGGGATAAAGATTCTTGGAGCATATTTTTGAGTTTTTCTCTTTTTTTTTTTTTTTTTTTTGAAAACTTAACAAAATCCAAGACAGTCACCTGTTGGCCATTTTGGTTCCCAATCTGTTTCAAAATGTAATGTGCACAACTAAAGACCATGGGAAACCCTCAGAGTTCTCTGAGAAAAAGTGCAGACAAGAAAATTTGTTAAACGCAAGGCAAGGTAAATTTACTCAACTAATGATAGTTGGCCAAAAATATTGAAGAAACAAAGTATACCAATTAGTATAAAAATTTATTCAAATGATCGTTGATTATACATAAAGAATGGTTATTACTACAATGTTGATCTAGATTTACAATGGCACTGAATGTAAGGTGATAATATGATCAGGAATTCCTAATATTTACAAATATGTACAAATATAGTACAAAAATATAGAATACAGTACCATTATATTAAAACTAGGTTAAGTTGAATCAAATATGAATTGCTAGTGTTCACCTTTAAACAACAGGATAGTATGGCAATGTATCCTTAACATTACCTACCAGGTATTTTACAACCTGGCATGGAGGTCATGTGATGACCTCTTCTCTGCACTTACATATGTAGTACTTTATAAAGGTCATGATCTCATGATTCATACTAATCTTAAAACAGGTATAAAGGTCATGATATAATGACCTCAAAGGTTATGATCTGTTGACCTCTCTCTTAATATTACTAGCCAGTTGTACTTGCCTGTCAACCATGGAGCTCTTTTTGTACAGAGGCGGATACACAGTGATGTAGCCATTTTATTACGTATCCTGATTAGATTAAATTTCATTAAAACATTTAATGTTTATGTCTTTCATTTTAACATTACTTTCATCAGTTTATTTGTAAGAAAGTCAGAAAATTTGGTCTATAAATAAAGTGGCAAAAATTGTGAACACCTGACAAAGCAAACCATTATGTTGCACTAATTCAGAAAATATGATAGATTGGTAAAGTACTCTTTTTTTGCTGATACAATGATTTACATCAAAAATATATTTATGTTCATAATGATTGAAAAATGTGAAAAAAAATCTTAGGATCAAACCTCTTTTGAATAAATACCACTAGGTAGCAACATCTTTGTTTGGAATAGGTGGTTCAGATATTGTTCTAATACTCTGCAATAATCCTGGTAACCATGGTAACAACAAATCCAAGTAACTATATTCCCGTTCTTGATTGACATAGATAAAAAAAAGGGGAATGTATACTTTATAATTTGCGTATGTAAAATATCCTCCTTTGATAAGAGATTCATTCTTACATCCTTCAAACAGTTTAAAATATGGAATGATAACATGCATGGTCAGCCATTCACTGAGACTGGCTCACAATCATTCTGGGTGACTGCTGACGTTTGGCTAGAATCAATATATTGAATTAAAATGGCCAGTTAAATCTTCAAGTCATACCATACACACATCATACACTCAATCTAATAACATAATATTACTAAAATATATCCTTACAATTTCAAATAAAACTTTAAAAAAAAATTCAGATATTTAACCACAAAAAGTTCACCTGATAAAACAAACTATTGCAGTTTTAGGTAAAATCTTGTACAACTTGATTTTTACTAATATAGTATTTGTGTCCATCAGGAGCTAACCAAAACACCTGTATCATAAACCTGTTAAAATGTTTTGTTTCTGATTGCATAGGTAAATTCAAACTTCAAGCTCACTTGGTCAGAAAATACAGAATGTGAAAAAAATTAAGTGACAATAGCCACAGAAATTATAACTTATGCTACAAAGTCTTGTTTACATAAACTCTACAAAAAGACATGTGACACCTACTTGCTGCCATTCCCCTACCGAGGTAACAGTGGTCAACACAGGGTATATGTTACCCTACAGGGTTATATGTTAACCCACAGAGTATAGAAATCACTCTATGTAGTGGTTATTCTAAAGCTTTCTGTCTAAACACATCATAAAGCTGGTGTCTTCTCCAAAATCCAGTTCATATTACTTAATATCTAGAAGAACATGTCCTGTTATGATTAGGTACCAATCACTATTTCAACAGTCAAAATGTCCAGAAATTGTATGTTAGAGTTGATGATATACTAGGCATCAAAACCTGTAGCCAATTGTCTATCAAACAAAACTATTCTGCGTCATTCTTCATGCTGTGTTTTTTTTTCTATCAGAATCTATCTGCATAAAAGTAACCAGCATGTTGAATATGATGATAGACTAGACTTAAATCATTCAGGTAGCTTTCTATCAAATCTTTCTCTTTGCTCTATTTGTATGTAATTTTCGTCCTTGACCACTGGGTTTTAAAACTCTGACTCTGTTGTGTGTGGACCATCATCTCTGTTGAGCAAAACACGGGTAGTGTCATCCCCACCTGGTGGTTGTCTGAAATCCCAAAGAAGAAAAAAAATCATCAGTATTAACAACAAGCTTTCAGATTTTAAACAAATTTAAAGGAATTATCGCAAAAATCAAATAGAATTAATTCAAAATGTTTGAAGTAAGTGAAGTTATAAAATACAGTCAAACTTTGATGTTTTGAAGTTCAAGGGACTACCAAAAAAGCTTGGGATACATCGAGACTTTGACATCTTTTTCCATATTAATTACAAGAGTGTTTGACGATGTTCTGACGACAGTTTGCCTGAATCTATTGGAGAATGCATATTTGACAAATAAAGTTTCTTTTGTTTTTATGCTTAAAACTAAAAAGTGGCACTTTGGGAATGAGTGAAGTCATCATACAAGTGATAAGATTACCTCTGCTCATTTTCAAATTCCATAAATTAGACCGAACTAAATGCCACCACCACTATGGTGGCGATGAACATCACATGACGTCCCATTAACTTCAATTAAAGATCATGGCTTGTAAGTAAACAATTAAATTTTAATCTGTGTCCAGTCATTAATTAACCCTGTAACACAGAGCTAATGATAGCAGGCTATCACAATCCCATTGTCAGGTAGCACTCTTTGTGGAAGTGTGAAATTTTGCAGTGGGATGAAAAAAACCTGTACAGTACAGGTAAATATTTTTTTTCAAATCATGAGGTATTAACGACTATGTTACCATAGCTTTCGGTCCGTGAAAAAGTTTTGATACATCAAAATTTTTTATTTTATAACACTTTGATTCATAAGGGGTTAAGTAAGTAGTAATATATAGGAATAAAATTTGGGATTGGACAAAACTTTGATACATTGAGAAATTTGAATCATTGAAGTTCAATTCATAGAAGTTTGACAAAAGATCAATTTTCATTATCAACAGCTAAGTTAGTCTTACACTGTTAAGAAGAGTGTTTTTTAATTTCAAAACATCACAAACTTTATCAATGAAAATAAAATGAAAAGGAAAGGGGTAGTTTCAAATATGTTCCATAAAATAGCTCCCATTTCTGCCAGGATGGTTCTCCATCATTTCAGTGTAAAAATGCTCAGGAGTTGTTCCCCTTCCATAATACTCTTTACTTACACTTCTCTACGTGGTTCACCCTCAGCCTCCCTTCTCTTCTCCTCCCTTCTTCTATCATCCTCCATTCGCCTTCTGTCATCCCGATATCTATCCCCTGGGGGTCCTGGTGGGCGCCGCCTATCATCTGGCCCTGGAGGTCCTCTCCTTCTATCTCCTGGTGGTCCTCTTCGTCGATCATCAGGTCCACCAGGAGGTCTCCTTGGGCGATCATCTGGTCCACCAGGGGGACGACGATTAGGGTGGGGCATGCGAGGACGATCAGGTCTAGTCCTGTCATCCGGTGGTCCCCTTGGTCGATCACCAGGAGGTCTGCGCCTGTCATCTGGACCTCGTCTGTCATCTGGACCTCGCCTGTCAGGGCCTCTTGGTCTTCGATCATCAGGATGTCGACCTCTCTCTTCATACCGAGGAGGTGGTCCCCTAGGATCAGCATCTCCATATGCCCGATTCTCATAGCCAGCTTTTTTGGGACGACCCTCATGATCATACGTAATTGGCTGTAAATGAAACGTTAAAAATAGTCAAACGTGTCTGATGTTGATCAAGTGATTACCTCCCTTACACCATCATAACCATACAGAGCAGGACTCTGTAGTTATATTAAAGATTAGCAAGTAAGTATGGTGCTAATTTTTATTAAAGCAAGTCCATCTCGAACATGCTTCACACCAACAGAATTTACAATAGAACATCTTCTGTATTTAAAAGACTTCAAAATTTATATAATAATATTATAAGTCTTACTCACCTGATAGGGTTTGGGTTGAACAGGTTGATGAGGTGTTGTTCCTGATTTCAGGTTGTCTCTGTAAATATTGAAACACATCAGTAAAGAATAAAACCCAGCAACATTTATCAGTAAATAACATCTGATAAGGTCAGATACAGTTAATTTGGGTCAATACATCACAAACCAATTGAGAAAGTTAAAATAAAACATGACACAAAATTGTTAATTTCGTTTGACCAAATGACTAAATCACCTGTTGTCAGTTGGTCCATCTCATTACAGGTTTGATGATTTAGTTGGAGTGGATGTCATCACACTACATGATAACAATACATATGATTAAATCTGCTTTAGTGACAATATATTACAGTCTTTACCTTGTTTTCTCTTCATAATTCAGTCTACTTTTGTGGACAACGGCTACACCATAGTCACCAATTGGTCGAAACTAGAGCAAGAAAGAACACAACAAATTACAAAAACCAACAAGAAAATATTAACATGTCGACATAATCAAAACTCAAATACGATAAAACTTAGCATATCACACAAAGAAATAGAATATTTCTAAATGAGGTCATTATGAAGACTACAAAATTTCCGCAATTTTCATCTTTTGAAGCCTGTGTTTCAAGCTTGTCCGTATTTGATGACTTCTTGCACCAATATTGTGATAATGGGGACTGGCCCTTGAATACTAAATCAACTGCGACATGAACACTGACTTTAAAGTTTCTAAATTACAAATTTCAAGTAAGTGGCTTTTCAGGAGAACTATTTAATATGCAATTATCAAGTAATACTGCTTATGTATATTGGCCTATAATCACGAGCACGACTTCCACTTGTCTTAACTAGAGTGCCAGGCCGAGTCCCAGTAGAGATATTAAGTTAGAGATATCGTTACTTCTACAATGTACCTTCAATTTTTTTTACATTTGCACCCATTTCTGTTGAGCAAGGTTTTTTTCTTCTTCAAAAAATTGCAATTTTTATGTGCCTTTCAGATTTGTCAAGATTTCCTTGACTTTCCACTAGAGCTCCCAACCCAAACAAGAGAGATCATCCGGTCTGACTGTTTGGAAGGAGGGATCATCTCTGGTAGTAGATGAGAATCTGTCTATTTTAAACATATATTGTATATAGTACTTTGTGATATATACCTATGAATTATATAATTAAACGTGACCATTACCTGTGAAACGTTGAAGATAACTCTTACTCCATTGTATGAGAGTTTAATTTTGACATGCAGTAAGAGATCATTCTAACCCCACATTAAACTCAAATATATTTACCACTAAATCCCTCCTGTAGGCGTTGGCCCTTCGTTTGCCTTCCACTACCAGAAACACCGCCAGTCCAACACACAGCAACATAATGACGATGAAGGCGGGTCCTAAAAATTGATCGTTCCAGTCCCACAGGTAGACGTGCCGCGTCCTCAGAGTCACCACCAGAATACCAACGATGCCCATTGCCAGCCCGACTACAAACAGTACCCCCGCCATCAGGCAGCAGGGCCGTCCGGGGCCCAGATTCACGCCATTCAGCTCACCTTTAATCTGTCCTTGAATGAAGTCGTGATAGGCCACAACCGTGTCCTTATCGATGTCATGACGACTTTTAGACATCGTAATAAGTCTAAACTCTTACGAAAAACAAACTGTATTCCTCATCAGGAACTGTATTTTTGTAACAGTTGTTTCACTTCCGTTAATTACTATCCCACAATTCACCTGTATTTACCTGACTCACCTGTGACATGCGCAGTGGTCGCATACCTAGAACACCATAAATGATCTACTTCAAATATAGATTTGAAAATTATTTACGATGTAAACAATAAAAGGGTTTCATATCGAAATGAAACAACGACGATTATGATATCCACACATATGTATATTTATTGACTGACAATTTACGAAATACAGGTAGAAAAGGTAATATTGTTCAGGGCAAATAAGAAAGTCGTCATGTGCCTGCTATTTCATGAAATTGATATAGTCACAAATTTTCTTTCGCTAAATATGAGTTTGTAATTTTGTTCTTGGTGACAGTTCGGTTATGTCAATGCTGATTTATTGGAAACGAACAATTACAAGCTAAAACTACAGTATTTTTATTTATGAATTATAGCTATGTTCACTATAAAAGGTTTTATCGCATAGAATAATAGAAAGTGGATTTGGTAATGGTAGGAAGAGTAGAGAAAAGAAGAAGACGCTATATTAGTAGGATGTGAATATGGAATAGTGGAACAACAGCGTTTGTGCCGTCTGGAGTCGGGAAACGCCTCTCGATTTAATCCTATGTAGCCGTATGTGGGTAGGTAGGTTGGTTGGTAGGTTTATCATGTATTAGACGTATACGTCAAAATGTTTTGATATTCTACCAAGTCAAGTATACGTAAACGGGGCATTTGAATATTAAATTACATAATTCATTTCTTCGATTAACACATTACATGACAATCATATATTCTTATTACTCCCACTTTTACTAGAATATATTTATCGTAAGTCTTATAAAATATCTAAATAGACATAATTTGTTACCCTCCAACTGTGTAATTACTCTACATAACATTCCCACTCTAGTCATGTCCTTACTTATATAATTAAAAATAACTTACTTATCTTATCTCCCTTCCCTTCTCTATATATTTAGCTATCCGCGCCGCTCTGTTTTATGTCTCCCTTGCCAATAATCATACGAGTCACTTCAATTTTATTCATAACTGCTTCAAGTGATTCAAAACATTTCATCTCAGATGTCTCCATCAGTTCTTTTTCTACTGACTACGGTTGTCTCATTCCATCCTCAAACGATTTAATTCAGCTTTAACTAGTTTCAAGCGGATTCTGTTGGAAATGTGGTCATATAAATATGTATATAAGTTACGAGGAGCTCATCTGTTGAGAAAACAAACGCTATCGTTCACGTCTATTACAAAATTCTTTCTTTCCTTCTGCAACGAATCTTTGGAACAATCTGAATAACGATATCGGAAATTCACCTTCATTATATTAAATGAAATGTAAAAACATCTATGTCTGTGGACAGTAATATTAACAAAAAAATGTATGATGGTGTTATTAGCATTTTAGCATGGTATGATGGTGTTATTGGCATTTTAGCATGGTATGATGGTGTTATTGGCATTTTAGCACGGTATGATGGTGTTATTGGCATTTTAGCATGGTATGATGGTATTATTGGCATTTTAACATGGGATGGTGGCGTTATTAACATTTTAGCAAGGTATGATGGTGTCATTAGCATTTTAGCATGGTATGATGGTGTTATTAGCATTTTAGCATGGTATGATGGTGTTATTAGCATTTTAGCATGGTATGATGGTGTAATTAGCATTTTAGCATAGTATGATGGTGTTTTTAGCATGGTATGATGGTGTAATTAGCATTTTAGCATAGTATGATGGTGTTTTTAGCGTGGTATGATGGTGTTAATAGCATTTTAGCATGGTATGATTGTGTTATTAGCATTTTAGCATGGTATGATGGTGTTATTAGCATTTTAGCATGGTATGATGGTGTTATTGGCATTTTAGCATGGTATGATGGTGTTATGGTGTAAATATAAATAATGATGGCAATCATTTCTAGGTAGGGAGGATGGCTGTCTATTTATCTACCCAACCCACCCTATCAACTCGAACCTTCGATTTCACTGTGATACGTTTCATCGCTTTGTATGTTTATTAATAAGTTTATTTTTCACGCCATCACGTAATCGCAATCCTAATTATGTTTTATATAGGAGATGGCATTTATAAGTTGGAACAAATTGCTGAATAATCCTATTGTCATATTATGTCAATTAAATATGTTTAAAATACAAACGTGTGACGGTCAGCGACGACGGATTTTGGAGAATGTTCGGAAAGACACAAAATAGCAAGACATCACTTTATCTAATCTAACACATTAGATAAAAGAAACGTAGAGCACTACGCAAGCATATACTGGATAATTCATGGTATGAGCCATGTTCACATGTGAAATATTCAACTTTAGCTATTTCGAAAACAAAAATAATTCAGTAATAATTCAAGGTTGCATTGAATTATAGACTTAAAACTTTTGACGAATGTCTACTCTGACTTGATTGGTAAATTATTATAAAATGTGTAACAGGTAACCTTACTTAATAAATTTTTGATTTCTTATCTAATTAATTGCGTTAAGAAAAACACATTCCTAGTTGAATATATTTGATAGTTCACCTTTGAGTCCGCCGTCATCTTTAAAGCTGTTCCAACGTGTTTGCCGTATTTCATCATTTAGGTCCCCTTGGCCTATAGTTATGGTTTGACATAAACATATCTTGTTCCGGTCGGTATAATACCGATTCTAAAGCTAGTATCTCCTTCTGTATCATGCAGACGCTCTAAAATAGGAACTGAGGGACATTGTAATTTCAGTACATGTCCAGCGACATGGGATCGCCACACATTTTGATCTAATGACACTCGTTATTGAAGCGTCATCTTATAACTTTTTTACAACACATTTAATATACTTGGGAAGGTTGCGACTAGACAATGTAATCACACAGTAACTTACCTGTGAGCCTGTATCATTTTGTTGTTAACCTCACCGTCATGCACGTGTTAAAAGATTGCCGAGATCTACCTAGTAAATAGAAAAGATGCTGAGACTAGGAAGTTGTATCACTTTTTCAATTCAGTATAACCATTTTAACCGTATTCTCTGTGGAAAGGGACCAGTTAGTCTGTTTCTGTTACAGAGTCATGAAGGGCATACCACTATGTCGTCTTGCAAATATAGGACGATGTCAGAGAGGAGCAATAGTGAACAGGTGTTGTTATTTCAAAACATTAATACATACGTAACTCGTCAGAGATATACAATGACTAATGCCATAATATTAAGCCACAGAAACAAAACTGACAATAAACTTGACAAGCAAGTTAAGGGTTACAGTACCAACAACTCTGGGTACGATAGTGGTGGCAGATCTCGTTCAAGGAGAGTAGATCACCAAATTGATAGAAATCAATATGATGAAGAGGAGAAAGAACAACAATCTTCTGGAATTCCAGATGACGAGTCGGAGGATACTTTCGGCAACCTGTCGAGACATATCAACAAGACTCTTCCTAGCTGGGTACAGGAGGATCAGTATGTAGTCTTTTTGGTTGAGAATTCTCCTTTACTGTTTAGTTTTAGGGAGATTGCTGAGAAAAATATAAGATACCATGATGTAGATAAGATATTTTTGGCAAGTACCAAACAAAGTTGTAAGATTTCTCACTTTTCAACAGATATGGATGATTAATGTTATTTTATTCTGCACTTATATTCGCAGATACTGAAAGTTACAACAATGAACTCCAATATCAGTTGACTTGATGTTTCACTCCATAAGAACACCACTGATACTGATCTGTACACAATTTGATATTTGGATATCAAAACTTGTTTGAGAAATCCAATATATGAAGGACCCTGAAAATCCAGAGAATTCAATCATGAGGGAATTTTAATATATCAAGTATGTTTATAACATTTCTAATTTAACTTAATATGGATTACTGTTCCAAGGTTCACTTTTTAACTCCTTTACAGATTTTGTCAACCTCTTGAACAAGAAAAGCCTCACCGCCGCCTTGCAGTGGAAGGTCGCCGACACCCACAAGACTGGTACTTCAAACAAATTATAGCTATGGGAAAGGAAGGAAAGGTATTTGATCAGTTGATTTGACAGATAACCGAAATGCTTATTTCCTCCAATATATATCAGGTAGTTTATACTTGGTTCTGATTACTTTTGTGTAAAGTCAGCATCAGTTAAGCTGAACATGACATACCTGTTTATTAATTGTAATTCTTGATGTAAAAAAACTCAAATAGATATTGCAATGAAGTCCACATGGCAACAGAAGACCTTGAAGTGTCTTTGAGCTCAGCACAGCTGGTAACATATATTTTGTTCAGTTTTTTCATTATTATTATTATATGAGTTTGAAATATGATTATGTTGACACGTGGTTTTTCTTGAAGTGTTTTTTTTTCAGACACATGGTACTTTTGACTGCAAATTACCATTATTGTTTGTTCTAGCTCAAGCCCTTGTAAATATTGTCACAGTTGTCTCCCCTTAAATAAAGTATTCACTGTTGTAAACTACAACCAGTATGTGTTTTTATACTTTCCAAAAAATGTTTAACATGTTTTCTCATTTTGAATATATTTGTATAAGATTAGAAAATGTTAGAACCAAGGATAATTTTATGCACAATTATCCATATCATTTACTGTAACCTTGACTCTCTTTCTTATACTGATAGATCACAACATATATAGATACAAATATATAACATGTATCAATAGATTTACCTGTATGCTGCGTGTAGGTGCTGAAGGCCATTGCAGTCCTAGATGACTGGATGTTGGTTAGAGACAGAGTCATGCCTAATGAAGATATTTATACAGCTGTCATAGGAATCATTGGACGAACAGGAAATGCAACTCTGGCCTTCAAGTATTTCAATAAGGTTAGTGAGAGTACACAACAGAAAGGTCAAGGTTTGGAATGATTCTGTATTTACGGTTTGTGAACCCGTTAACTTATCACTAGACATGTAGTGATATTTATTTTTCCATAATTGTACATTATACACATAATATCACAGATGTAAGGACATATAACAGAATTGCACTCAAACATTCTAAGGTCATATTAGTGAGACTGTTTTTTGTCCGTCAATTGATTCATTACTTTCTTCAAATGCAAGTGGCATGTTGGAGGACAACATGGTAATTGCCTTGTATTGCAGAAAATAACATAATTTCCCATCTTGTCTTCCTGCAAAACGCGAATAATTCCTACAAACCAAGATTATCAGTATAAGGATGGGTTTTCTTTTTTGTTTTAGGTTAAAATCAGACACTGTACACAATCTTTCATTGTTAACTTTCAGTTATTCAATTAATCTTAGTTCAGTCCTAGTTATTTATTCTTAAATTACATTTGGGACGTGAAAACCATTTGGCAATATGCAAGAATTTGCTAACAAATACATTGTAAAATTAAATGAAGCAAAATTGAAGTTTGGTATGTGAGTTAATCTTTGTACAATTTGTGTTGTTGTTCTCCACATTGCTTGGTCTTGACTAAAAATCATTTGCAGCGGGATGGATTTGATATTTTCATGCTGAATGAAGTTCTGTCTGTAACCTCTAATTTTTTAAATGATTGGTTCCAAATTTCATTGATTTGCTGAAAAGAAATGTCAGTTTCATTTTCAGATGAAAGAATATGGTCTGCAGCCGAATGAAGCAACATTTACTGCACTGTTTAATGCTTGTGCTAATTGTCCAGATAAGAAAACGGCTCTAAAGAAAGGGTACACTCTTCGAAGGTACATGCAGCGATTAGATATCATACCTAACATTATCACCTATAATGCAATCATTAAGATGTATGGACGATTAGGAGATCTACGTAATGCCTTTCTTGTAGCAGATGAAGCCATCTCAAATAGGAGGGCTGTAGACTGCTTCTTCTTCGGTAGCCTGTTGTCTGCAGCTATCAGTGATAAAGAGGAAGGACTTCTGTTTGCCATTGAAGTAAATATCTGTTCAGATGTTTCCTATGATTTCTGTTTAGTGTAGAAATGTATTCTGAAGCCAGACTTCATTGGGATATTGTTTTCTTGTTTTGAATTTTTTTACTAAGCATCTGTAAACTGACACACTGTATAGCCTACCCATTACTTTTAAAAATTCAGTACATGTTTATTCATTATGATGTGTTATGTAGGTTTTGTAAACTCAAAACAGTTACGGGTATATTCACTGTTCTCTTATGTATTCCAAATAGGTTTTGATATATTTTAATCTCAGTAAACTGACTAATATCCAAGCCAGACAGATTATTATGCAATAATAAAATATGTTGTTTTAGATTTAAATATTGATCTAATTGTATTGATACAATGAATAGATGTTTATAAAAAAGAAATATTTAGATCAATTTTGTAGGAAGAGACATTATCTCTGCAGAATTTTTAAATACAAAATATAGTGGTTGTTATAATTATTGAACAGATATGGCGGAAGATGAAGATTATGAGAGTTCAGCCTGATGTGTTCCACTATAAGTTGATGTTACAAGCCATAAAGGAATGTAAACTGGGGAGCCTAGAACAACAGAGAATCCTCCTACAGTCTTATGTACCCCATAGGAAACTCCAGGAGAAACAGCAACAGTAAGTAAGACAGGATAGAAGTACAGTGGACTCTCAATAAACCGAATGCCAATAGTCTGGAAAATTCACAGTCCGGACGGAAATGTTTGGGAACAGATTTCCAAAATGTTATTCTAAATTTGAATTCCGGCTCCGTAAATACATTTTGGGAAGGAATAGTCCTTTACTTAACAAGATTCCCTCAATAGTCAGGAAAGTTTTGTCACCACAAGGAGAGTTCTGTTGCACTCTGTCAGTCGTGTCACAGGTGTACACCCAGTTGATCGCTTGACACTGCATAGTCAGAACAACCACTGCCAGATCATTGATTGGGTGTTCAACTGTGTAGGTCATGTCAGTTTTATACAATATGCGTTTGTTATAGCTGTACATTTGTAACTATGGCATGCATTGCCAAATAAATACATTGTAAAAGGTAGTCTTGTTTTTTAGATTTTGATAATTAATTTGATATCTATTCATAACAACTTGAATTTTATGTATGTAAACATATTTTTATATCTGTTATTTGTAAGGAAATTTAATTATGATGCCACAGGACATTATCTATCAGACTTACACAGGTTAAACATAATTAACATGGCCTCATTTCCTTGTTATCAGTAATACACCTTGATTTTGAATGGATCTGTTGTTATATTAATGTGAGTATTTTTGTATTTTAAGTCACTTTACCTGTTATTTAAACAAACATTTAGTAAGAGAGGAATTGAATTTGTGAACAGTTTTTATGATCATCTTACTGGAATTAAGGGAGGGATCTAAATCAACTGATGCATGACTTACCTGGCTGTAAAATTAGACTAAATTCAGACAGTAACAGATTCTGTAATTCATCAAGAAATTCACCTCAGAAATGTAGCTGCATAGATGTAAACACATTATGCAGCACATATAGTTTTCAGAAGGTATACTTTGTCTAATATTTTGAGTAAATAATCACAAGTTTTCAAGCAGATGTTTTAGACTCATCTGAAAGTAGACTTCAGTGAATTTACAACCATTTTTATTTCTGTAACTTTACACAATACATGTATTGTAATTAAAAATACACATAAACACTTGTATTTGCAATATATACAGCGTGTGGAAAATAAATACTGTTGAGAATTAGATGCAGAGTCCTGTATGTTGTAGCCATGTGAATTATTCAGGCCACCTCTTCTTCACTGTGATTGAGTAGCTGAGTGGAACATGTGTAGCACAATAGTTTCTATTGCCAGGTTTGGTTCCCTGATTGGGAATGAAATGTTATCACTCACTTCCCCATGGATGTGAATTATTTTGTTACGTATTTTCTTGGCTTTAGACTAATATAAGACTTTTCCAGGTAAACAGGAGTGGTTAGGGAAAGCTTATTTAATGTTTAACTTATGTCATTTGCAAACATCCTTTTGTGGGAATATTTACTACACTTTATTTGTACAGAACTGGAGCAAGTCAGATAACAACACAACAGACCAGGCCACAACAACATTCCAGAGGGAAATGTTATGGTGAACTGCAACAAGTGCAACCTCAGAAGTCTCATGAATCACTCCAACAAATTAAGTAAGAATATTTGAGTTTCTTTATGTATGAACAAACTGAAGAGATCTCAAAAAGAGCTAAAATTTTAGAAGATTGATTACCTCGAAACTTGATAAATTACCTCCACAAATTACATTTGTGTTTAGATATATTACATTTCAATGATGTTTACCTTGAAAGTAGCACAGATTGATTATCATCTGCTATCCTGACTCTTTTTTGATGTATATTTTGAGACAATCTCTGTTATGTGCTTCAGACAAACAGCAGAAGAATCACACTTGGAACAACATAAAGGACCTGTTCCTGAAACTGTTTCCTTGTCCCTAGTGTCAGAAGACACAACACTGCCGTCTGTTGAGTTGGTCTCTTCTCCTGAAAGACCTAGTACAGTAGAGAAAATTCCTGATTTGTTGAACCCACAAGATTCTTTATCTGAAGTAGTTTCTCTTGGTGACATGTCTGACAGTGAGGATAGACTTTTACTAATGGGTGGTGTTGGAGGATTCCTAGATAGGATGAAGGCTGACAGTGTTAAACCAGACATAACTGTATTGACATGGTTAGTTGAAATGTCACGAGGAGTGGAAGACAAAGAAATCATTCTGTCAACACTCACAGGAGAAAGAATAAAGGCTGACTGCACATTCCTCAATGCTCTTATTCGCAGTAAAGTAAATGGGGAGACATTTCAAGATGCTAAGGTAAGGCATGTCTTCATGTGTTTTTGTTTGTTTTTCTGTATTTTAGCAATTCATTATCACCCTTGTTATTGAACATTTTCATTTTACTGTTATCAAGGTTATGAAAATTAGATTAAATGTTAAGCCTAGCTAAAACAAACGTCTCCAGTAAGTCTGGTCTGTGAGTTCTATCCTGTTCTTGGGCGGCTGAGTTATGTGTCATAGCATGGAAACATTTGAAATCTCAAAGACAAATGACACATGGTTTGATCACTCTCCAAAGGTTGTAGTCCAGGGTTAGAACATGGTAATAGTTGAGATCTTTTTTATAAACATAATCTTGGTGCCTCTGTATCCAATGCAATACTGAGGGAAGATAATCTCTGGTTGTAATCATAAGACCTTTGTAAATGCTTGACTTATTTATATAGGGTTCTATTAATAAAGTACAACCTGTATCAAATCAAAAATAGAATTTGTTGGGAAACACAGGTGTGCTGTTCAACTTCTTGTTTAATAGGTTAATGAATTTCCATGAACTAGAGATACACAAACATGATTCATGGTTGACATGTATTAAGTCTTAAGTTAAGTTAAATTATTTTCATTGAAGATATCGTACAAATATATAGCACCACAAGGTTTCCACATGTATTTTTTTAAAATCGATGCTCACAGAAAAAAGGTCTAAAGCTGAGATCAATATTCTGTTGAATATGTAACTTCTCTAAAGTGTTTCAGAGACCTTGGATTAGTAACTGCCTACTAAGTATGTTGTCTCTGATAAAGAAAAAACACATTTAATTGGTAAAGAATATTTGTCAGGAAATAAGCTCATGTTTGACAGTAAGCTATCCCCTGACTTTGAGTAAGTAAGAAGTAATGTAGTGACTACTTAATACTGGAGAAACATGGTGAAAGAAAGAAGATTATTGAATATAGTTCTACTTGTATGTATCAATTTGTTTTTCAGGCTGTTTTAAAACTGTTTACTCAATACAATGTTGTGCCAAACAGGCAGACATATGGAAGTCTGATTTTCTGTGCGAGGGACCCAAAGGATGCCGAAAGTATCCTTAATTCTATGGAGGTACTTATCATTGGATACTTCAATGATCATTTCCATTCTATACACATTGTTATTGACTCCTGTGCCTGTCCATTCATTTCATAAAAAAGACATTGATGTCCATCAATAATTTTGTTTTATTTTTGCACTTGATCTAATAGAATGATCAAATTTGTTTGAAAATGTTCAGGAATGATTCTTAGATGATGTAGACTAAGTGATATCCTTTGTGATACAGTTTGAAAGTACAATAGTCATATATTTATGTTATCTTTACTGTTATAAAACAATCAGTACTCATTTACTGTTATAGATTAAATGACATAATTTTTTTTGGAATTCCTTTGTACTATTTGCAGTGGTAACTGAGTAAATGCATTGTTGTTGGGTGCTTTGTTCTCTGTACGAGTCCCCACCCAAATGTAGACTAATAAACATGTACATAGTGTATAAAGTCAATCATTATAAAATAATAAGACACAATTTTGTGTTTTCAGAATGCTGGTTTCGTCCCAGGTATTAAAACATTTAGTTTACTGATTGGCAAAATGCCTGAAGGTTTTGGATATAAGAAGAGTTTACTTAGAAGGATGACAAACCAGAACGTACAACCAGACCTTCATTTCTTAAAAGTCATTGAAAGACACTTACAGAGGATAAGGGAGAAAATACTATTAGAAAAGGTGAGTCAGAAATTTCTAAAGTCATTCACTTAACAACAACAGCGAAAGTAAGTTTGCAAAGGATTTGAATTTGCGAATAATGCTGCTCACAAATAAATGCAAAATATAATTCCTTGCAAAAAATAAGTGATTTACAGTACACATGTATATAAATACACACTTCATTTAAATATCTTCTATTCTTTTCCAGCATAAAAACAAGAACAAGAACAATGTTTTAGAAAGAGAGTTTGAAGACTTCAATGTGTTCTATAAGGACTGGCTGCTTAAAACTCCAATAGCCGAGGAACCCCATCAGTTGAGTAACTACAAAAAGAAAACTGAAGAAAGACATTGGAGGCAAATGATGACTTAATGTTTCCAGAAACTGCAAACAGTTGAACAGTGAAATATAGTGCAGTACATTTGTACATGTGTTGAAGTTGTTCTTTTCCTTCAGTCTGTTATATTTAACATTATTACTGGTATACATGTTTGACTAGAAGTTTTCCAGCCTAGCGGAGGACTCTTCTCTTCTGAAAGTCAAATCAAAAGTTATTCAATACTGATCTGGTCTAAACTTATTTGATAAATCCATACATCATGATTCCCGGAATTTGAAACAAGTTATTCAACAGTGATAACAAATATATTTTTAGTCCTTGTAACATTTGTTTTGTCTGCTAGATAGTTGCCAACCCACCATCAGGCTGATCTCAGCAGATATACTGTAGAATTCTGTTGTTTCAGTTTGATTCACCATAAAAACCCGTCTAAACAGCAAGTGTAAGCAAGAGAATGTATCGGGCATTGTTACAAGTGCTTGGTTGAAATTTCGTATGTGAATTTCACAGTTGTAGATGGCCAGGCTTCAAGCAGAAACAGGTTTTAAAAAGTTTTTCTTTTTGACAAAGATCTGTTTGATTTTAATTGTCATTGCTTAACTCTACTACTTTTATGTTGAATATCTGTATTTAAGTAGGTACTGACTGCTCGACAAAATTCTTGGAAAAAGGACTGCAGTACAATATTACTAAACTTTCAGTTAGCCATATATGGTGCCAAAGATGACTTTCTGTATAGCCATTTCTTTCTGTCGGGACAATGCTTTCACAATTAAAAGTGCAACAATGAGACATGTGGAATCAGTCTCCCAACACGTCATACCGCAAAAATTTGAATAGAATTTGATCGTTTTGAAAGCAAACCGCGAAAAATTAATATCTCTTAACCCACAAATATCTGGAAACAAGATGCAAATACTTCTGTTCTTTCAAATTTTAGGGGTTTTTTTTCCAAATATTTGATTTTTCATCAAGACAATTTATTCTTAGTTCTTCAATTTCTTTTTGGCCAAGTATCATAAAATATCTTTGAACCAAATAGTTATTTTGAAACTATATATATAGAAAAAATAAAACTTAAAGTATTGATACATCAGTATTGTAGTTTATTCTTTCAAAAGTCATCAAAGTATGATGCACATATACACCTTCAACAAATCTCTTACTTATAAGTTACATACACCAACCATAATGCATACAGGTTATGCATCAATATATCAAGTCAGAATTCAGAAAATTACCATTTCATATACAAAAGTATACTTAGAAAAGAAAAGACTTGTTATATCATTACATCTGTATTATCTTTGTCATCAACAAATAAAACACACCAACCACAAATCCATACTGATAATGCATAAATATATAGTGGAGTAAAGGTTCTACCAGCTTTAGTTTGTGGGAGTTTCCCCATCGTCCGAATTATTCCTACCAGGCATCAGTAGACTCCGAACAATTCTATTTTGCACATATCAATAACTGAGTTTCTGCCAAGGATAAGAAGTCTTTGTAGTACATGTATAGTGTTTACATATTAGAAAATGATATTTCACTTCACCATTCTGAATCTGCCATTGAAATAAATAGTAGGATAGTTGCCAAGACTGCAAGCAGTTGCTAGTTTTGAGTCCCAGAATTTACATGACAATGTTCAATACTATATTCATGTTACATATAACAACCAAATCTCTCATTCAAGTATCAGTCATGAACTGCTTTCATAACTCTTTTACAGAAAACATAATAAAAAGGTTTTCCAGATTTACGATATTGCACTGACAAATTTCTTGCCGGTAACAACACGAATACATCTTCTATTTATGCAGGTAAAACACATCACCTCTTCCACAAATCTCTACCTTGTAACACACCTTTCACAATTCCTTTCACGTAGCACACTTGCATCGCAAATCTCAAACATAAATAATGAAAGAGCTTATTAATGTTTCCATTACCAATATGGAATGATGTGAATTTAAAACACAGTCTAAAATACATGCCATTTTTGGAGACATACTACAATACCCATAAACATTGTTCTAATATACATATATAATTAAAAAAGGAAAAAAAAAATAACAGTGTTCAGTGACAAGGTCAATGGATTTAAATGATCACAGTCCAGACATGTCCCTGTAATGGATTACAGTTACCCCAGTACACAGACATGTCCCTGTAATGGAGTACGGTTACCTCAGTACACAGACATGTCCCTGTAATGGAGTACAGTTACCTCAGTACACAGACATGTCCTGTAATGGAGTACAGTTACCTCAGTACACAGACATGTCCCTGTAATGGAGTACAGTTACCTCAGTACACAGACATGTCCCTGTAATGGAGTACAGTTACCCCAGTACACAGACATGTCCCTGTAATGGAGTACAGTTACCTCAGTACACAGACATGTCCCTGTAATGGAGTACAGTTACCTCAGTACACAGACATGTCCCTGTAATGGAGTACAGTTACCTCAGTACACAGACATGTCCCTGTAATGGATTACAGTTACCCCAGTACACAGACATGTCCCTGTAATGGAGTACAGTTACCCCAGTACACAGACATGTCCCTGTAATGGAGTACAGTTACCCCAGTACACAGACATGTCCCTGTAATGGAGTACAGTTACCCCAGTACACAGACATGTCCCTGTAATGGAGTACAGTTACCTCAGTAAACAGACATGTCCCTGTAATGGAGTACAGTTACCTCAGTACACAGACATGTCCCTGTAATGGAGTACAGTTACCCCAGTACACAGACATGTCCCTGTAATGGAGTACGGTTACCTCAGTAAACAGACATGTCCCTGTAATGGAGTACAGTTACCTCAGTACACAGACATTCCCTGTAATGGAGTACAGTTACCTCAGTACACAGACATGTCCCTGTAATGGAGTACAGTTACCCCAGTACACAGACATGTCCCTGTAATGGAGTACAGTTACCCCAGTACACAGACATGTCCCTGTAATGGAGTACAGTTACCTCAGTAAACAGACATGTCCCTGTAATGGAGTATGGTTACCTCAGTACACAGACATGTCCCTGTAATGGGAGTACAGTTACCCCAGTACACAGACATGTCCCTGTAAAGGGAGTACAGTTACCCCAGTACACAGACATTCCCTGTAATGGAGTACGGTTACCTCAGTAAACAGACATGTCCCTGTAATGGAGTACAGTTACCCCAGTACACAGACATGTCCCTGTAATGGAGCACAGTTACCTCAGTACACAGACATGTCCCTGTAATGGAGTACAGTTACCTCAGTACACAGACATGTCCCTGTAATGGAGTACAGTTACCTCAGTACACAGACATGTCCCTGTAATGGAGTACAGTTACCCCAGTACACAGACATGTCCCTGTAATGGAGTACAGTTACCTCAGTACACAGACATGTCCCTGTAATGGAGTACAGTTACCTCAGTACACAGACATTCCCTGTAATGGAGTACAGTTACCCCAGTACACAGACATGTCCCTGTAATGGAGTACAGTTACCCCAGTACACAGACATGTCCCTGTAATGGAGTACAGTTACCTCAGTACACAGACATTCCCTGTAATGGAGTACAGTTACCTCAATACACAGACATTCCCTGTAATGGAGTACAGTTACCCCAGTACACAGACATGTCCCTGTAATAGAGTACAGTTACCCCAGTACACAGACATGTCCCTGTAATGGAGTACAGTTACCCCAGTACACAGACATGTCCCTGTAATAGAGTACAGTTACCTCAGTACACAGACATGTCCCTGTAATGGAGTACAGTTACCCCAGTACACAGACATGTCCCTGTAATGGAGTACAGTTACCTCAATACACAGACATTCCCTGTAATGGAGTACAGTTACCCCAGTACACAGACATGTCCCTGTAATGGAGTACAGTTACCCCAGTACACAGACATGTCCCTGTAATGGAGTACAGTTACCCCAGTACACAGACATGTCCCTGTAATGGATTACAGTTACCTCAGTACACAGACATGTCCCTGTAATGGAATACAGTTACCCCAGTAAACAGACATTCCCTGTAATGGAGTACAGTTACCCCAGTACACAGACATGTCCCTGTAATGGATTACAGTTACCTCAGTACACAGACATGTCCCTGTAATGGAATACAGTTACCCCAGTAAACAGACATTCCCTGTAATGGAGTACAGTTACCCCAGTACACAGACATGTCCCTGTAATGGAGTACAGTTACCCCAGTACACAGACATGTCCCTGTAATGGAATACAGTTACCTCAATACACAGACATTCCCTGTAATGGAGTACAGTTACCCCAGTACACAGACATGTCCCTGTAATGGAATACAGTTACCTCAATACACAGACATTCCCTGTAATGGAGTACAGTTACCTCAATACACATACATGTCCCTGTAATGGAGTACAGTTACCTAAATACACATACATGTCCCTGTAATGGAGTACAGTTACCCCAGTACACAGACATGTCCCTGTAATGGAGTACAGTTACCCCAGTACACAGACATGTCCCTGTAATGGAGTACAGTTACCCCAGTACACAGACATGTCCCTGTAATGGAGTACAGTTACCCCAGTACACAGACATGTCCCTGTAATAGAGTACAGTTACCCCAGTACACAGACATGTCCCTGTAATGGAGTACAGTTACCCCAGTACACAGACATGTCCCTGTAATAGAGTACAGTTACCCCAGTACACAGACATGTCCCTGTAATGGAGTACAGTTACCCCAGTACACAGACATGTCCCTGTAATGGAGTACAGTTACCCCAGTACACAGACATGTCCCTGTAATAGAGTACAGTTACCCCAGTACACAGACATGTCCCTGTAATAGAGTACAGTTACCCCAGTACACAGACATGTCCCTGTAATAGAGTACAGTTACCCCAGTACACAGACATGTCCCTGTAATAGAGTACAGTTACCCCAGTACACAGACATGTCCCTTGAATGGATTACAGTTACCCCCGTACACAGATATGTCCTTGTAACTGGTTACTATTACCCCTATATACAGACATGTCACTACATTTGGTTATTTATTTGAGAAGACATTCCCTATAAATGATTACAGTTAACCCAGTTATAATATTATAAAAAAATTACCTTATCCATGTATAAACACAGGTTTACATTACACTTTATCATAGCATGTTCACAAGTTGATGGAAATATTGCTGCTCAATGAAATTTGTTTCGCTTTATGTAAAACGATGTAATTTTTGTTTCCAAATCAACATAAGTTATACATTCAGCTACATTACTATTGTGTGTATAACGTTTAAATAGATAAATCAATAAAAACATTCTGCCAATGTTTGTCAGATCTTTCCACCAATCTAGCAAGTATCACATGATAGGTTGGGAACAGGGTGATCTTGCAGTTCTGTGTTTGGTTAGTTACCCATATATCCATGATTTGATACCTATGAGCTATTCATAGGTCCATTTGTACTTCGCTCACTTCATTTATAAAGATCATCTGTTGACTATTTTTGGCTACTCTGTTCCTCAGACTCTGGTGTTGTCATCTGCAAGTCAAATTGATTTAGTGTTAGATTTAAGATAAGAGTCCTACAGCAAATGTATAATGTTTTAGAATATTTTAGAATGGGAAAATATGCATAGAATGCATTTCAAGTGAACCCATGCCCCAAGAAAGAAGTTACATTGAATAAGTAGTGTAGGAGGTAATGCTCAGAAAAATGATTTTTCTTTTAATGTAGATCAAATATGAAAACCTATGTCAGAGTGACCTAGTTTTGATACACAACACACCACCACACCTAGGTGGACCGATACATATACCAGAAATATGAAGTTCAAGTGAAGAATTGTAGGAGAGATAAAGCCAGGACAAACATTTTTATTGATGTAGGTTAAAGGTCAAAATGTAGGTCTGATTGGCCTACTTTTGATAGAAGACACATAACTTTGCAAAAGTTAACACAAACACTAAGGATAATGTTCCAGTGACCAGAAGTGTAGGAGGTAGAACCCTGAAGGACAGACACAGCACAAAACTATAGTACAATGTACCCACAATTTTGTTAGGAACTAATAAATAATTACATAAGGAGCCATGTGATTGCATCAAGGAGTGATCAGTCAGATTTAAAGAGTAGTTGTCCAATAGAAGGAGTGATGTGTTGGAATTATGGAGAGATGCATAATATTTAATAAGTGATGTTTCAGATTTGAGAATTGATATGTGGAAGACTACAGAAGTTACATGTTCAAGTATTAGGAAAAAAGTTGGAGATTTAAGACTTAATGTGGATAGTAATAGTAATGTGACAACTATATTTATCTCAGATTTGTTAAAAGCTAAATTAAGGGCACATTCTGACAAAGAATTACATACTAAACATATAATGACAGCAATTTTTTTTAATTGAAACAGTCAGTATATCAGTGATACAAAACATGTACAAAACAAAACAAAAATCAGATAAAATTACCAACCGATTTCCATAACTGTCGCCCAAGAAATCCAGTGGCAACCGATGTCAGCTTCTTCTTTGATCCATATTTGCAACGAATGTAACCATACATGTTTGCACCATTCATTATTGTCCCTACTAACACAACCATCTGCAAGTAAATGGTAACCATGGAAAATTCATGCACAAATAACAACACAATCTGAATATCAATTCACACCGAATCTACTGGAAAATGCTCGAGAACTTTGAACACTTGTTTCACTATTATATTCACACAAGGCATATAAAACTCGTGTGTCTGAAGAAAACACAACCTTCAAATACTTACAAACCATTTAAAATTAAGAGTAAATAAAGTTCCAAAGAAGAAAACTATCCAGATAACTTGACAAGCGACCAGTGAAAGCCAAAATATCCTCGATTCTGCAGCTGTAATCTTCTTCTGGTGAACACCCTGTAACACAGCAACTATCATCTTAGTCTGCCATATACAGACGTCACACTACAACAAGCTTAGAATTAGATAGATGTATCTATGCTTTAAAAGACTCCATATAGCAAATTTCTTATATCTGGGCAGTGCAGGGGTCTTATAAAGTGATGCATGAGTGTAGAACTAGTATTTTTTCTCATTTTACATTTGTATATGTACATACAACCACATAATTTAAGTAATGGCCTGGACATTTTGGTCGTTATCCGCAATGAGATCTTGGCCTTGATCACGCAGACCTGAAAATGCTAATACACTTCCTTGCCATAATACATAAATCAATGAAATGACATGAATAAACCAAAGTACACCGGTGAGCATAACACACCAGACTTATCTTATCATTTGGAGAGACTTGTGTGACTCGTGCTGTACTGTACATCAAACTCATGTGTAATATCACCTGTACATATATGTAGCGATTTGTGCAATATCACACATGTAAAATAGAACATGTGCAGTGTGATTTATGTAAATGATGTGTCACTTGACTTTTGTACAGTGTAACTTGTCATGGACTTACCTTCCGGGATTCATATACCCAATGACTAATGCCGTCATCATCCACATAATTCCACCATCTTAGACCCACGAGTAACCTTCCTGTTAAATTGAAAATATACTGTAACCCTGGTAAAATACTAGCCAAAAAATACTGCTCAACTAGAGAGAACTTAGCTCAATCGGTTGAACATTAAACTAGTAATCCAGAGGTCTCGGGTTCGAATCCTAGCAGAGACATTGAAATAAATACTGACCTCTTCAGGAATAATACTTAGCGTTACTTTCACAAGAATCGCTGTAACCCCCGAAAACTCAGGGACAAGTTATTTCCCAGAAGGGAAGTTTGTAACCCAGGTAAAATACTAGCCACAAAATACCACTCAGCTAGAGAGAAATTATCTTAAGCTTGATCAGTTGAACATTAGACTGGTAGTCAAGAGGTCTCTGGTTCAAATCCTAGCAGAGGCATTGAAATGAATAATGACCTCTGTTACAATACGTATCAATTGTTTATTCCAATACATTTTTTTTCTTTAACTGATTGCATTAATTTCATTGAGAAAAAATTCAAAATACTCTTCAAATTTCAAATATCAGCAAGAAAGTACAGAGCATAGGAGGCCTACCTGTAATGTTTTTCACAGTCCAGAAGTCCATTGACAAGAGAATGACAATGAGGACAAAGTTAGTGATGAAGCTACTGCTGAACCAGCCACAGAATAAGTAAGCCAGAACAGCTGCAGACCGGAACATCACATGAAAGAACACAGCGATGGGGTGTCTACAAGAAAAAAAATTGACTCATGTTCATGTTATGCATTGAAGAAATGTATTTGTATTTAGTAAATAAAGTTTAAGTTTTCTAAAGAAATTTTGTTAAAATACAAGCTTTAGTTATATATGAAACTTGTGACCTTGTGATTTCATTATCACACAGAGCTTGTAAGTACATTTTAAAAATGCTGAAATCGAAATGAAAATTGGAAAGTGGTAGGCACTACCAGTCTCAATTTTTTTTGTAATTATTCCTCTGCTTTTTTTCAATAGCTAAGAGTTTATTTCCCATTTGTTTGATACTAAGAATTAGACATATCCATGCACATTTTCAAAAGCACTCCTTCATCTTTCGTTGCACTGAGTTATGTTCAGTTGATCAAGACCTAATGTCTAGGGACCTGGAATCATATTCTATTTAGAGAGTAGTAGAGCTATATATGTAGTTTGGAAGCCGCTGTTCTATTAATGTGAAATTGTACTTTCCTGCGATTATTGTTAGCTTTATATGACTTGCTTGCACACGAATACGACTGGATGGAAATAATTTGTATCACCAAAGTTGAAAGGGGGCGTCTCACACCTTTCAATGGGTGGATATTTAGAAAATATATAAAATAAGTAAGATATTGTAAGTTTTCAGCTCACGGTAATCGGTCCGCGACCAAGACAAGTAAAATCGCGGATAAATAGTCGGAACACTTCAGACCAACTTTTTATTTCCTTAAAATTCATATTTTTTTTAAATAATTATAACAGATACAGTATCTATACCCAGGTACATTATACTGTATTGATGTCTTGTTTCAGTCCGATTCCTCTGTTTCGGTTATTATAAAGCTACATATTATTCTTAGGATAGCATTTCATCTGTCAAAGTAGGCAATTGTCTTCAGGAAAGAGGAGACTTTGACTATGTAGTGAGAATAATTATTATATCGAACTTTAAGATTCGTCTTCTGTCTATTTCATCTTCCTCGCCAAAGTTTAACGTTACATCGTCTGTGGCGTCCATTGGACCAGAACTGCAAATGTATTTTTCTGTTTTGATCCCTCACTGCCCCGTTGGAAGCGGAAGGATGAATGCGTGGATATTCAGAGTCATGTAAACGTTTGGGTCATTACTAAATTACGGAACGTGAGAGAGAACCATACGGAAAAAAATCAGGACTATTTATTATATGAAATGCCTTGTTATTGTGAACGTTAACTAAGAAAAATGTAACACAAAAATCGTGTTAAAAACTTGTGTCACTTAGATGGCAATTGCACACTTTTGATGATCATGTCTGTACAGGTAGGGCACGCGCACAAATCAGGCAAAGACAATCAAATGACAAATCGATTCATGCATGCATACTTAGTAATTCACTGAAATAGTAATACACTCCAAGTCGATAGAACGGCAGAATTTCGGATTATTCTTAAATACATGTACTATGTTAACTTCACGTTGGTGGTTAAAATTTACAAAACTACCAACGAAAAGTACTCTGGAAATCGAGGAAGTTGCGTTTAAGAGAGATCACTTTGGCACAAAGGGGAAACGGCAGTGCCCCCCCCCCCCCCCCCCCCCCCCCAAGAAAAAGAAAATACGTTTTGAGAGCAAGACTGTGTTGAAGTGTTTGATAAAAATACAAGTATTTAGGAACCAAATCCACAATTAGTGTTAAAAGTGCGTGCCTTTCAGCGGACCAAATGTTTTAAATGTCTTAAGTGTATCCATTTTAAAAATATCGTCCTTTTTACGTGCAAATTAATTAACATTTAAACGTTTCAGTAAAAAACAACATTCATTTGAATTGTACTGTTTATAAAAGCGCCAAAATATCGCTTGAAATTCTATATATCTAACGATTTCTGTTAAACAGATCGGGGTTAGCCGTTTTGTCGATAACCTGATTTTCAAAGTTTTAAAACTGCGAAAGTATAGAGGTTGCCTCCCTTCATACAAGGATAGGTAAAAGCAATTGACAAGTTAAGTAATTGAGTTATTCCCCCTGCGCCACGACAGACGTTTAATTGGAGACGGTTTCCTCCCGCGGTCCACATGTACTCCCAATTGTTTTAATTAAATACATTATATTATATGGTCAGATGCTTCAGGAACGTTTCTTCATCATTTGAATACATATTATTTTTGCCATAATTTGTTCAAAATGTTGACAGATACATCTTTCGGAAACCCGTTTGAAAAAATGAAGTATTTCTCTCTTCGTTGAAATATACCAAATAACACGATTTTGAAATATAATTCAGGTTGTTTTACTCCAGTGTTCACCTGGATATTTATATTAGAGATATACCAAGCGTGGAGTCAGGAGTTCCTGTCAAGTCCTTACGTGTGCTCCTTACAGTCCCTGGACTGACTTACCTATGACTTTGAGTAGACACTAGGGAAAGGTGCTTTGGTATTTGTCAGAAATGTCTGTCGTCCCACACAGATCTGTGGTTACCCTTTACACCGTGAGAAGTAAATAAGTAAGAAAGCAGTTAACATGCATTTAAGCTTCCCATAGAAGGCGACTATAATTAGTAACAAGGAATTCCTGTGTGATGACTGTCCAGGCGCTGGACCGTAGTGGTACGCCGTCCTTCCGAACGTGATCTGACTCTTCAGCATCATTCATGAATCTTGAGAGGATTCATTGGTACCGGAACTACTTAATATTAACATACAGACTAGATATACTTTCTTAGATTGATCATTTGAGTGTTAAAGTAAGATTTAGCCGCGACCTCTTAAGGACGACTCTGTGCTACATTGTTTACGTCAGACTCATTTCCTCCAGTATGTAGGGAGCCGGATTGTACACAAACAACCGTCATAACAGACTGTCTTCTGCTGAAGAATTTTATATCTGCGTAACCGGACACACGGCATTGAAACAATCGAAAATGAAATAAATAACCAGGGTTTTGAGAGGGGACTGACGGTCTAACGACACGAGGACGATATGTCTGCTAAAGGCAGACGTAGACTATCTATGTAAAGGAATTTGACTGAATAACTACACCTGCGGGGCACTGACAGAGTAACGACACGAGGACGATATGTCTACTAAAAGGGACTGACAGAGTAACGACATAGTGACGATTTGTCTACTAAAAGGGACTGACGGACTAACAACACGGGGACGATTTGTCCATGTAAATGGGACTGTCGGAGTAAAGACGCTGGAGCGATCTGTATATGTGAAGGGGACTCGGGACGATATGTCTACTACAGGGGACTGAGGGACCAACAACAGGGGACGATCTGACTACTACAGGGGACTGAGGGACCAACAACAGGGGACGATCTGTCTACTACAGGGGACTGAGGGACCAACAACACGGGGGCGATCTGTCTACTACAGGGGACTGGGGGACCAACAACAGGGGACGATCTGTCTACTACAGGGGACTGAGGGACCAACAACAGGGGACGATCTGTCTACTACAGGGGACTGAGGGACCAACAACACGGGGACGATCTGTCTACTACAGGGGACTGGGGGACCAACAACAGGGGACGATCTGTCTACTACAGGGGACTGAGGGACCAACAACAGGGGACGATCTGTCTACTACAGGGGACTGAGGGACCATCAACACGGGGACGATTTTTCTACAAAATTGGACTGACGAGCTAAAGACACGGGACGATATGTCTACTAAATGGTGTTGACTGGCTAGCGACACGGGGACGATCTGTCTATTAACAGCAGACATAGGCGATCTGTCTGTGTAAAGGGGTTTGAAAGACTAACTGCACGTGGACGATCTATGTACTGCAGGGGACTGACGGAGTTATGATATGGGGACTTTCTGTCTATGTTAAGGGGTTTGACAGAGTAACTGCGCGGGTAAGATTAGTCTATGTAAAGGAGACTGACGGACTAAGGACTCAGGGACGATATGTCTATTATAGGGGACTGATGGACCAACAACACGTGGGTGATCTGTCTACGTAAACGGGTTTGAAGGGCTAACGACACGGGAGTTTTCTGACTAACTTCACGTGGATGACAACGTAAAGCGGACGGTACTCAACGTTAGACTTGTCCATGTGTGTTCGGACCAAGACGTCAGACTCCTCACGACCCCAATTTAGTTAATTACAATGATCAGTTTACAGCTAAGATGCCGTTGGTATATAGTCAGCCGGGTGTACAAGCACTGGCCATAAAATTACTAGTTCTATTCAGGAAACTTAACCCTCTGAAAAAAGGATAGATCTATTTCCATTAATTTTATGTAGGTCGCTGGTCGAGAGTCGGCGGATGATGAGACACGACACACAAGTCAACGACAAAGTAATAAATTTCAATAAAGAGTACAGGTAAATACTGTGTTCTTGTGACCCAAAGAAAGGTTACCGCTATTTGGGGAAATGTTACACCCCAATTGCTGTAACTATCAAAGCACAGAAAAAAAACGTAAGTCGTAAAACAGACACATTTTGTACATCTACAAGCAGGGAAGATGTGGGTTATCAACCCAAAATTTATTGGGATGTACCTTGAACAAGTAACTTTAAACAAATCGAACACTGGATTTGCCAACTTTCATTCATTCATTCATTCTGTTTATTTTTCCGTAAGCCATCCGATTCATTAGTTAAATAACAAACACATAATCACATAATGTGGTACAAATATGAAATAATGTTATACAAATTAGGTTAAATAGAGAGTAAGCTTACGATGGTACTGTAGTGTACAATTAGTTCTATCAATCACTAAATTCTATGCGTTTCCTTGATGCACGATATAACTGACATCATGCATTACCATCGAGTATTCGTGGAATAATTGAGAGGACACCATTACAGTGAAGCAAATAATTAAAAGGAGACTTAATGGCGGTAGGAAGAGGATAGAAAACAATTACTAAGACACCTTCCTGTGTTAATATTGGAACAGAGAACAATTAATAGGAGCATTTACGGTGTTAGTAACAGGGTAGAAAACAGTTACTGTAGAGAGTTTACGGCGGTAATGACGGGGTAGAAAACTATTACTGTAGAGAGTTTACGGCGGTAGTGACGGGGTAGAAAACAATTACTGTAGAGAGTTTACGGCGGTAGTAACAGGGTAGAAAACATTTACTGTAGAGAGTTTACGGCGGTAGTGACGGGGTAGAAAACAATTACTGTAGAGAGTTTACGGCGGTAGTAACAGGGTAGAAAACATTTACTGTAGAGAGTTTACGGCGGTAGTGACCGGGTAGAAAACAATTACTGTAGAGAGTTTACGGCGGTAGTAACAGGGTAGAAAACAATCACTGTAGAGAGTTTACGGCGGTAGTAACAGGGTAGAAAACAATTACTGTAGAGAGTTTACGGCGGTAGTGACGGGGTAGAAAACAGTTACTGTAAAGAGTTTACGGCGGTAGTGACGGGGTAGAAAACAATTACTGTAGAGAGTTTACGGCGGTAGTAACAGGGTAGAAAACTATTACTGTAGAGAGTTTACGGCGGTAGTAACAGGGTAGAAAACAATTACTGTAGAGAGTTTACGGCGGTAGTGACAGGGTAGAAAACAATTACTGTAGAGAGTTTACGGCGGTAGTGACGGGGTAGAAAACAATTACTGTGGAGAGTTTACGGCGGTAGTGACGGGGTAGAAAACAGTTACTGTGGAGAGTATACGGCGGTAGTGACGGGGTAGAAAACAGTTACTGTGGAGAGTTTACGGCGGTAGTGACGGGGTAGAAAACTTACTGTAGAGAGTTTACGGCGGTAGTGACGGGGTAGAAAACAATTACTGTAGAGAGTTTACGGCGGTAGTGACGGGGTAGAAAACAATTACTGTGGAGAGTTTACGGCGGTAGTGACGGGGTAGAAAACAATTACTGTAGAGAGTTTACTACGGTAGTGACGGGGTAGTGACGGGGTAGAAAATAATTACTGTAGAGAGTTTACTACGGTAGTGACGGGGTAGAAAACAGTTACTGTAGAAAGTTTACGGCGGTAGTGACGGGGTAGAAAACAATTACTGTAGAGACTTTCAGTCGAAAACAATTAACGGGGAAAATTACGAAGATTGTTTAGCAAATAATGAATCT